ATGTAGTTATAAATGTAAACTAAATATAAAATATATGTGGCTGGTCATGATAGTATCTCTAATCCTCATGAACCCCCCCATGCTACCCTCAATTACGCAAGTATATAAGTGGAGTTACATATCTTCAAAGGACTTCATATATGCTTAAATTCAGAAAGAAGTGAAATACCCTGGGACCAAGGATGGGGGCCTTGATAGACAGATAAATTCAAGATCGTTGATTTATTTTTGTGAGGCCATGTGAATAGCCACATCAACTATATCCCATTGTCCCCCTAAGGAAAAGTTCAATTCATTTTGTTTAGAACCCCTATAAACCTAAGTTTACTACCCCCCCCCCCCTCCTCTCAGTACTTCCTCAGCCAAATTGAAGATTAGAAAATTGTGAGCCCTTTTCCCAAAAAGAAAAACTCCTCAAAATTCTTTCAAAATCATGCAGTTTTTCAAGTTCTTTATTCATTGTGTTTGGAACCCCTGACATCTCGCTTTGCTGACCCCCCCACCGCCCCATCAGTACTTCGTCCTATATGCTAAATGAAGATAAGAAAATCATGTGCTATTTCCCAAAAACAGATGCAAAACCGTGGGTATACACTACAGCTTGTTCATTAAATATGATGTTGGGTGACCTAACAGACCTGTGGAACAGTTTTTCTGAAAAAATCTGTATCAATTGCGCTACTGTTTTGTGTCAAATGAGTCGTGAATGACCCGAAATCTCACCCCAGCCTGATGTATAACTTCAGGGAAAGAAGGGACCCATAATTCCTGGGGTTGAGTCACATGATCTGAACAACCAATCAGACTGAAGGATTAACATGTTTCATGGTGCATTTCTTAGTTATATTAAATGTCTCAAGGCTGTCTTGTATCTTGGGTTACTTCTTAAATGTCTTTGATGTTTTCCTGCACTATGCCAGATATACATTCATGCACTATTATTTCAGAAAAAATCACAATTTTGTGGCTTTCCTGAGTATATGTTTTTAAGCTTCCCACAAAATCCCTGTAAGCAGTTCTCAAATATGGGAAATGCTACTACCCGAGTGAAATAGGGAAATATCAACCAGTGAAATCAGAGAGTAATTCCCAACAGTTTCTGAGATTACAATTTTATTAAAAATGTCCTGATTTTTTCAGGATTAATTTACAACAAGGTGCAAAACCCAATTAGTACTGATCCATTTCCCTGTACTTATGACCAAAAGGTCCATCCCCAAGTTCTCTTGTTCCTTACACCCTGAAGATAATCACGATTTTCATGTCTTTTTCATTCTTTTTTCTCAAAAATTTGAATGAACAGCCTGATTTTCTTACATTTCTATACAATTAATAGTGTTGACTACATCTCTATATAATTTATTCCTTGCTAATTCCACTCCTTTATACTCTATCTTGCATTTCAAAACATTACCCAACCCCAGCAGTTTCCTAACAGGAGCTGATAGAGTGGTCATTCACCATTAAATACTAGTAAGTAGGGGGATCTTAGGAAATGATTTTGAAATCTGAGCTGGGTTTCAACTGTGTCCATCTGGACCATATGCGGAGTTTGTCATAAATAAGACATAAAAGGAAACCAATCATGCCCATATACAAATGTTGTGCTACCAATTAAGAAGTGAGGATTTATAGATAGATACCCTCTAGGGATACCCTTTTCCAATAATATCAACAATATTATTTACTTGACTCTATAACTCTGACACTTAGAGTAAATATTAAGGATTTATGGATATACATGGAGTTGGCTTACAACCAGCCACATAACCTGTACCCCCCCCCCCTCCCTTCATCCTGGCCAATAATTCTTTCAAAATCACTATTTCAATCATAAACTTATTTTTTGTTATGAAAACTAAACCACTCAAGTCTAGACAACTCCTACGCTCAACTTATCCAGCAATAAAATATAAAATGCAGACATTTAAACATTAATTGAATTAGTTTATGTAAATATATTTTATTTATTTCAAAGTGAGAAATGGAAGGAATGAGATATGCAGATCTACCCTGTATTCATGGGCTGGTAACTTACCCTCTAAGTTAGGTCAATGATTTTATAGTTGAACATCCAACCAATCAGAGAACAAAGAAGCCACAATACTAATGCATAACATTGAGAATTCACTTTGGTGTAGAATGCCTCTGAGTACAAATGTTGATCTTTTATATAATAAAGAGTATGACCCAGCTACTTTTTACAAAGGGTAATATAGAGAACTAGAAAATGAAGTGTGTTATTTTGAAATGTTTACCAGTTTAAAATTTTCTCTCTCAGCTTGTCTGATCCAGACACAAATTTCCTGAATTTTTAAACAAAATATCCAATTTCTTGCATTTTTAGAAAATAAACAATACAATGTGAACTCTAGCCTGTTAGCTATTTCTTGCTTTTATCAATTTTTACAATCTTTGCATTCGGGAAAAAAACATGGTCAGCTTGACACATTTGGTGTATTATTTTACAAATGTTTGTGTAGTTTAATTAAACTCATATTTACAGCACGTAAATTTGGAATTGAACTTTTAAGGAAGTTGATCGCATACCACATCTGAGACAAAAAAAGAAAAAACAAAAAACAGGAAGACGCAGAATTCTATCTGATGGCAAAAAGGAATCATGTTCCATAAAACATCAGAAGTTTTTTTTAAGAATACAGTATTATAGGCTCCACATCCTAAAAGATTTTAAGTAGGATATTTGTGTTTCTGTATGATGTTTGTGAGGCTTGAATAACCCAGAAGGCCACTCTCCCATCAAAGAGTTTGGAAATTTTCTCATTGAACCATTGTTTAAAAGAATACTTGCTTGTTTGACGATTTTCAAAAAAATTCTGAATATTCATTAAATTTTTATAAATTTCTGATCAGCTATTAATATATAATTGAGAAAAAATCCAACAATCACAGTATTTTCAAACTTTTTCAGAGGGGTGTAAAGTGCTAAACCATTCTGAAATACATGCTAAAAGAACAGAAAGTTATCTTTCATGTCATAAATCAACTGTTTTCCAACTCAGCTAACTTAGAACCCCTGTGTACTTCTTTGAACTCTGTAGCCCAGTCTGCCACATTTACTTTCATTTTTTCAAATTGTTTTGAATGAAAACATTTTTTCTTTGTTTTTCATGAAAAAATATATTATGCAAAAGATACTTGAGGTTTTTGATGGATTTTTTATGTCCTTTTTTCAAAACCTTTTATTTTTATCAACATGTTAAATGTTTTGAATCATAACATTGTTTCTGATGTACAATTTTAAACAAATGAGTTGTAAAAACTTCTGCATGTGTTTCATGTGAATTTTAGTATGTTGCTAAGGTGCACAACCCACTGTGTTATGAGATAAGTCAATCCATAAGTGATACCATATTTAAAGTGAACCATATTTCAAATGAACCCGTATTTAAAATGAATCCATATTTCAAATGAACTCATATTCAACATGAATCCATAATTAAAATGAACCATATTTAACATGAATCCATACTTAAAACCCATAATTAGCATGAACCCAAATTTTACATGAATCCATATTTCAAATGAACCCATATCTTAAGTGAATTTATATTTTCAAATGAACTTATTTCATGTGAACCCATAAAAACATGTTTAATGAAAATCCTCTTAAATGAAGCCATATTTTAAGTGAATCTTTATTTCAAATGAACCCATATTTTAAGTGAATCTTTATTTCAATTGAACTCATATTTTAAGTGAATCTTTATTTCATATGAACACATGAAAACCTTGTTTAAAGTAAATCAATATCTTAATGAAACAACATTAGGAAAAGACTCAAACAAAAAATCTACTGAAAGTCTAAATGTTAACATAGACTTAAAAGTGAAGCCACAAATCACAAATTAAACTTAACAACCAGTCTTTATCAGCAGATTCAAACACTGAAGATGGAAGTGTTTAATTCCATGTTTATTTAAAGGTTTAATCAGTAAATTGTCAAATTCTTAAGCCATGTTATCTCACAAGAAAATGAACCACATTTTCAGTGATTATGAAACCATTAATGTATCACTAACAATCCAACACAACTATTATAACTATATTGCACAAGGTGTACTTTTAAGATTAGGCTTAAATTAAAAAATGATTTCGGTATTTTTTATAAAGATATGATGAAATAGACAAGAGTAACTTCCTAGCCTGAGGGTGGTCTTCCATTTTCAGCATAGTCTATCTTCAAATATGTCTCCCTTATGAAATAAGATTAGTCTCGAAGCACTTAAAAATATAATTTTGCTTTTTTGGTGGATTATCCAATCTTCACTTATCTTAAAGTTTTGAGTACTCTATATATTTCATATTTCTCCAACTTTTGCCATTTGCAAGAAATTATGAGAAATTCTAAGAACAATGGGATGTTCTTTCTAAAAGGGGTGGATTTATAGACAGAAGATCCTTTCAAGCACCATCTTAAGCTTAACCACACAATCTCAAGTGGATGAAATATCTCACTTCAAAGTAGAACTCTGGAGATAATTTGGCATGATAATTTGAAGTTCTTAATCCTTGTAAAGAATTGTAAAGATTACTCCTTTCATAAACTCCAAGGCAAATTTGTGAACACTCATTAAATACTGGTTTAATGAATGCATTTTCCAATTTCAATAAATGAAGAATAATTAAGAATCAAAATCAACCAGAATTCTGATAAAATAGACCATGCCAACAATAGACGCATTATACCATGTAGTTTTCAATCAATGTATTCTAAAAAATATTCCTAGGTTTATAAAATATAAAAAGCTGGTACTTTCATATATTAAGAAACTCTTATTTGAATAAACCAATTCAGAAAGATGTTCAAACTTAAACGTCCACAAAGACTTCACAACAAATCCTAATTTTCAACTTTTTTGCTTGGCCTAACTTTTTTACTGGTAGCCATTTTCTTCTGCTAAATGTTAACCTAAATCATTCCAAGTCTTTCCCTGCTGTCTTGGACTCTCAGAAACTAGCAAATAAAATATACTCACCCCTGCCACTGTGTCAATTGTTAATAAAGCTATAATCGCAATGACAAATCTGAAAAAGACAGAAAATTATAGTAAAAACTTTGAAACTTTTGATCGTCTGCATTTCAAATGAGCTGATATTGCATGTTTTAGAATGTCGATTTCTGTGCCTTTTCTTCAGTTTTCAGCAACAGATTTTACAAAACATACTTACAATTGTTTCATTGTTCTAGAAAACGGCGTGGAACTGGAATGCCGCTTACAATTTAAACAGATACTAGATAATAAATTGTCCTCCATTTTTGAAGTCTCCGCTTCAACCGTCTGCCAAAGTTGGCACCGATCCTCTCCTCGATTTTGACCGAACTGCTATACAAGCCTTCGGTCAGATCAAACCTTGTGAATCTATAGGTATTGAAGTATCCAACGCCGTATTTGCTGGTGAGTTTATCGTCCGGACTTCATATGAAAATATGAGAAAATCTCTGTACTCCAAAAGTCCTGTTTTGCCTTCACCAACTCACGGCTCACGAAGGTACAGATATCGAGTCAAGGGACCCACTCAAACTAATCGCAGACAACTTTTATGGTTTCAATTTTATTACGCGTATTTGAAGTAAAATTTCAGTGACATTTCTTTAAAGAGTAGCTACTTGTACCAAAGTGTGAAAGTGAATGCCAAAAAGCTACCTTTACATCATATAAATGATTAAAACGAAACCCTAAAGTGAGAAGCAAATATTGACTTTGAGAGAGCCCCTAGATGATTGACACCTCTACACTAATTGGAATTTCCTTCCGCTGAAAGTAGTTCATCACTAAAGTTAGAACATCATCAGATTACTGTATCAAAAAGTTATTTCCTTTACACAAAACAAATATATTGAGGATTCCTCGATGATTTTGATAACTTTATTGGTATATGTGATCTAGAAATTGAAGTTAGCGTGATTTTGACAGGAAAATAGTTCAGCGTAGGGATTTTTCGTCTGTACTGCATGTTGAATTCGCAAGATGGTGGAAGTCTGAAACAGGGATTTGAAAGGTGCTCAAAATCTCTCTGTTTCCATAGTTTTTAGGAAGATAATGCGTGGATGCTGAAGTGCTATAGCAAGTTCAGTATTCACTTGGAGTGATTATAAACTTTATAGACACCATGATTCCACGGACGCTTTACAATCAGCAGAACAATTTACTGATTCTGGTTGTCATTTTTGCGATATGCGTTCAACTTAGTCAACAAGCGGTAAGTTTAAAAAATATATATTTCGTTCTAAAACATCTCAGTTCTCAGATTCAATGATTGTACACATGATTTCCGTCATGCAGAACATTTTAAAATCACAATTGGACATTTTGCATATCTGAAATGACGATATAGGAATTTGGGTGAAAATTTCTCAAAGTTCCGATTTGTAAGTTTAGGCCAAGCCAATTTGATTCTTCAATGCGTCCGGAGAAAAGTTCGGGACGTACCAAATGATTTTATAAGTGGGCAGATAGGGGGTAACTTGTCAAAACTTGAATTTTTTTATAAGTTTTAACTTTAAAATAACTTCACCTGGAAAATTAATCGGTTGCAATTAAAAGAGAAGATTAGAGAAGTTTAATTGATATTTAAGAAGGAATTAAGATTTTTAAGTTACTTATGATAAGATTATCTTCTGTTATGAAATGTTTAAATATTGGGCTAATTATCTGTTCATTAATTTGCTCTGGTATTCAGATCAAAAATAAATCACACTTGGATGTATATATTTTATTTGTTTTAAGAATTATGTTAAGGAAGTTAAAAAGTTAGAATAAAACTAATAGGATGTCCCATCCAAAAAAGTTCAAGTGATAAAATTTTTTTTAATTTTTACAAAATCATTTCTCATATAGATCATATGATTAGAGATTCCATAAGAAAACTTACAGAAAGAACTTTTTTATTAAGAATGCTGATTGATAAAAATGTTCATAATTATTCTTCATTTATTTTATTCTTTTTCTTGATCATACATTGGAAAATGATATTCTAAAGGATGATAAACTCAAAAAATCATTTTTCATTGCTAAATCATACTTTAAATATCTGGTGAATTTTTCCCAAGAAAATGCTCGATTTTTTTTGCAAGGGGAGGTCACTGACATCATTGCCTGACATCATGTACTTCTAAGACCCAGACATGTAGGGGGGTGAAAGTGCAATGCTTATCACAACTTATTGAATACTTTAAAGCAACACTAATATGCATAATCTGTAAACTAATAGTGATAATATATAATACAGTGATAATATATCTTTTTTATATTTAGGCACTTAAAATAACATGAATTATAGCAAATGTATAAGTACACCATCTGTAATTACACAGTTTTCAGGAATATTGTTTTTTAAGAGATACAGAATCAGACTTTTTTAAGTGCACTAAATATTCATAAAAGTGGCTATATAATGGATATTATCATATGGGAAAATTCTGTTTTTATCACTTCTTATTGTATGCCCCGTGTACATATGTAATCTTATGGCTTAGGGATTTATGTAAATAATTTTAAGATATGAGGGTACCTTTGATCAGAAGTTGTCAAATTTCGGTTAGTATCAAATATTGGTGATGATATCCCATTTGTTCTTCTATTTACTCAGCAAAACTTCTTGATAAAGCTCTTCTCTATCTATGGCTTCTATGGCTTCTTGAAGGGAGGCTACTTCAGATCTCTTGTTGTGTTTAGATGCCAAGTCTTTAGATAATGTAAATGATAGAGGTGGGCCTTTTAGTCTTTTGATCATGTGAAGTGTCTACCACCCCCCCCCCCCCATATAAAGGGAAAATAATTCCAAGCAAAAATACAATAGTAGAGGCCCATTAATATATTTTGGACAATTTGTTAAATACTAAGGGGAGGGGTGCAGAGGAGCCCTACTTTGAATTGAGACAAAAAATGTTTTTTAACTTGCATTCAATTTTGCTGCAAAAGTTTTGCATTTGAAAGGAATATCAAAAATTTTACTAAATTGCCCCTGCACAAAATCTTGTTCAAAATCATAAGAGAAATTGTATGCATATTCCAATAACCACATCTTTCTTCACATAGACTGAATCAAAGCCCTGTGTTCTTTGTATATGTATGCACAATTGCCAAAGGGAAAAAAGATTAAAGTATAAAAAAAGTGTTGAAATTAGCCAAGTTCATTAGACAAATAGGCAGAATTTCCATGAATCCCTGTGACTAGCCCTCCTTGTGACTAGCCCTCCCTGTGACCTGCCCTCTCTATGACTAGCCCTCCCTGTGATTAGCCCTCCCTGTGACTAGCCCTCCCTGTGACTAGCCCTCTCTGTGACTAGCTCTCCCTGTGACTAGCCCTCCCTGTGACTAGCCCTCTCTGTGACTAGCCCTCCCTTTGACTAGCCCTCACTCACATAATTCTGAAGGCATCTCATTGATCTCAAATGGACTCGCATGGAACCGCAGGGATTAGAGTAAGAAACAAATTTCAGCTATTACATAGATAACAAATCTAGTCACAGAAAGTGAATTTCTGATGATCTACAGACTGATTGGATATCAACTAGATCAAAAATTACCTCTAATTTTAAGAGTCTCATGACAAACACCTCTTGGAAAGGGTAGAAAGTAAAAGAACTTCCAGACAGGAGATCTATCACAGTGCAAATAATTAACCCTGTGGGTGTATAGTAGAAATTCCTCAATGCTTTTTTTCACTTCCGAGACACTGTAAGTTCTTTCTTCTTAAAATAGACTAAAGCAGTGAGCATTTGGTTTGGTTTTAACTAGCCCTTGCAAATATTTATCTTAGCCATGTCTTGCAAAATATTTAGCACAAAGATATGATGTTGTAGGAATCTTGTAAGAATCTCTGTTTTGTATATATTTATATTTAGGAGGAGGAAATGAAAAATTGTTCAAAATCACTTGTTTATATTTATGAAGAGGAAATGAAAAATTGTTCAAAATCACTTAATAAATGATGATAATGATGATGATAATGATGATAAATGATTTCTTTGCAATATGGGGAACAGGAAAGTTGGAGGGAAAACAGCCAATAAAGACATTTTTGTCGTCCGTTAATGTTCTGAGCTGCACGGTGGTTCGTATTATACAGCATGGTTTAATTGCTTCGTCATGAAGCATATTTGACGAAGAAGAGCTTCACAGTGAAGGATTTTGTGGATGTAACACCTCAAAATTCATTTACTATGAAGCATTTTTATCGAAATGCTTCAAAATGAAGCAATTTAACATGTTGTGTAAGTCTAACCATTATCATGTGTATTGATATAACATTTGACTAGATCTGCCAAACATTGGATTAAGATAATCCTCTAATCTGAAAATTAATCCACTAATACCCTTTTATTTATAAATAATCACTTAACATTAGATAATACCAATTTTTGTTATCTTTACACCCCCTCCAAAAAGTTTGACAACTTAGAGTATCTATTTGATATTTGATAATGATAAGCGTGATAATTCTTGTTTGTGATTTTGTCATGAATTACATAAGGTTAGAAAATTACTACAAATTTTAGAAAGTTTTTTGAATTGCCTGATGTGAACAGGCCTTTACATGTGGCCCGAGGGGCTGTATCTATTACTTACTTTTGGCCCTTTTACAGTCAACTTGTCTGTATTTTTTCATGATACCCTTTTTATTTATCAACATTGCGAGATAATACACTTGTGTAGAATTTCTCTAAGTCTGGCCCAAAGCCAGGGGGAGGGGGGGGGTTCAAGGCCTGACTTTAGAGAAACACCTTGCCAAAAATCCTTTCATACGCAACAATTCCAGAAACAATTGTGTAACGATTTATCATTAGTAGGACTGAAATGTCAAGGCTAACTACCTACACAACTTTGTTGTTGTTTTTTTACATAAATATTTTTGTTTTCCATATTGCATATGGTTTTATGGCTTCCGTTCATTTAAGATAATACGATACAGCTGTAGAATAATATTTCATCATAGTAGTCATGGTACCCCCCTCCTCCTCCCCCCCCCCCCGGGTCCCCTGGCCCCATCCATGGCCCCATATGCCCATCATATTTCTAAGGAGATGGTGGGTTATTAGGCCATACATTTCCAAACCTAATTTTTGCTTCACACTTTTTTTTACCCTCCCCCATTTTTTTTACCCTCCCCCCCATAGGAGGTGCATCAGCTTTTGCTTTGGGCCAGGGGGGGGGGGGTTAATATGCCAGATGCAAGAATATCATCATGAAATCCACATTTTATAGTCAACCACTTGGGATGGACTTGTAATAATTCCAGATTTTGTAGATATCTTAAAAACATATTTCTCTGATCCAAACATTCTATGCAACCTCTTAAATATTTTATGCCTCAATCTTGGATCTTATATCCTAGGGTCATTTTCAAAATCAGAGGGGTCAAGGGTCAACATTAATCAGTTAACCCTTTTCAATCTGATACTGAGATTTGCATGTGTTTTTCTGTTGAGAAATATGAATAGCTGCTTATGAGAGTTAAATGTGGTGCTCAAGGGGTGGTAAGTATTCTTGGAGAATTCATGACTTTCTGCATACACACATGGAGAAAGAGTTATAAAAAGGAAAAATCAGTGTAACATATGAATGATAAGGTCAGACTGTGAAAATAGTTCTTTTTTGTGGTTTATGCCTACCTCCCTTTCTCTTGCAAATATACCATATCTTTATTTGTATTTATTAAATGAATTCATAATTTTAAGAATTTCTGAGATTACGAGACTGCACTAGATGAAGCCATAAAAAAGCTGTGCATTGCACTGCACTAGATATGCCAAGCACTAGATATGCCAAGCACTAGATATGCCAAGCTTGGTAAGCATCATACTGTACCAGATTTATAAAGCTATAAAATAGTAAAATAGAGCACGCAGAAGAGATAGATTATCAAAAACCTGGCATTTTTGAATGATTTTGATGATTAGTTGCCATAGTAACAATATTAGTTGTTGGGTGGCCTGACAACAAGAGAAACAGGTTGGAGATTCCAAAAGTCAAGTTGTAGTTTCTAGAAAAAGAAGCAATTGAATTGAATAAAGATGAAGAGCATCAGAAAGCAAATACCCTTTTCACTACTAGTCCTACTCAGAGCACAATAAATACTTCTAGCCCCATCAGACTCAGGGCAGAAGGAAATGGCATTTTGGTAGGGGGCTGATGGCTTATAGGGGGGGTCTAGTTGATTATTGCTACTCAAAGTACTTAGCAATCATCACTTCGGAAATTAAGGAAAATATCAGGGAACGTTTTCTAAATTTTGAATTCAGCCATATTTTTCGACTGATTTGAGCTTTTCATACTAGTACTGGGTTTTTAAGATAAGGGTGTTGAAGAGCTAATAGGGCCTAGGGGAGGGGGGGGGGGTCCCTTAATTATTGCATTTTTGGTATAACCCCCCTTTTGCCCCACTCTATCTCAGTAATACACACATAGGATAAACACTATTTTTCATCCTCCCAGTGCATAATATCCATACAATAAACAACCAAGATATGCATTAACCCGGGAGTTGGTATTTGAAGGAAATTAAGTTCTGATTTGAATTTATTTGTGGTTTGATAAAAATGTTAATTGTAAGTTGTAACACAATTTATTTAGTACTTGTTTAAAAAACAGTTAGCCCTTGTTAAGGTAATGGTATGATATTGTGTCATTTTGACTTTAACCCTCTCTTACCCAGATCATTAAATCAAGTGCCCTTATATTTAACCATTCACCCTAAGTACCAACTCTTGTACCCCACTCTGAGATCATCAATAACTCTAAGAATATACTTTTACAGGCATTAACTCTTAAGACCTCACTCCTCCTACAACCATTTTTCCTAAGTACACTCATTTTACTACCATTAACCCATTAAACCCCATCCTCATTAAAAATCAACACACAGTCCTTATATGGCATTTAACCCTTATCTCCCAACTTCCATAATCAAGGGCTTAAAACAAGACTGAAGTGGAGGCAAATACAGCTGTAACTGCTCAAAGTAGATGTGAAAATGAATTATAATGTGTGGCTTCTTATAACATGAATGGTGAAGCCAATACAGAAATACTAGAGATAAGGCAGGTTTTCCAGATGAGCAAACAATGTCTGTGGTACTTGATGGTCCATCATGTTTGAGATTAAAAGATACAAATGACCAATAGTTTGAAATAAAATGGAATTAGAAATTAAGATCGAAGGTGCATAGTCATTAAGACTATAATTTATACAGTCATTTGAACATATTAGAGATTGCAGTCTCCATCAAATTTCTCTACCCCCCCCCATCTATCTATTTCACCTCGAGGGTGTGAGGTTGGAATATTTTTGGAAAAATTAGAGCCCCCTCCTTGAAAAAAATACAGCCCCTTGACAAAGTAAAACTTCCTCTAAATTAAAGGGTTAAAAGACTTTGGTGAAGTAAGCATTCAAGGGGTTAAGAATTGAGGGACACACTGAAAGAAAAAATCGAACCCCCTCATCTGAAAGAATAGAGCCCTCTCCCTGAAAAATTAAGAGCTCCCACCTGATAGAAAGCTGGTTGTTGGCCTTTGAGGAGTTAAAAGAATTTAGGGGAGTAGGCATTCAAGGGTTAAGAGTCTAGGGACATACTGGAAGTGCAATTGGTAATAATAAAACATCAATTAAAGTTTTGAGTGCTCATCAAGATCTCTAGATGACCATTGTGATTCCACTTAGCATTTGGGGTAACGTCCTGTTCATTTGTTACATTTGTCTGGTTGTGACTAAGCTTAGGCTAAGTGATAACATGAACATTTTAATAATATGGGTCCTGAAATTCAAAGAATGACACAATTTAGGTGTAACTACTAGGTGTGTTTACTATTTACTGAATTTCTGAATTTTCTTGATATTTTCTTTGTGGAAAATAATTTCTTTTAATCATTCCAGGGACGATTGAAATACCCTCCTGGACAATAACAAAATGGTTTTGCTTCTGTAAGAGTTCTCCAAGAGCTTATGATCTTAGATAAATAAAATAAAAAAAAGTAAAAACAAAATACAAAAATCTTCAGCCTTTATCATGATTGAATCAAATGAGTAAAGATACAATAATACAATACAATAATAATACAATACAATACAATAATACAATCTAATACAAGACTAGTATTAGAGTTGGAGATGTGTTTTCAATATCACTGGGTGTGTTTTCAATATCACTGGGTGTTTTTCTCCTGCACAGGGTATGTTTTCTATCTGTTAATGGGTAGCTTTGATGCTATAAGTTCCAGAGTAAAATGAAATGAGAAAAAGAGCTGATCTATGTCTGGATGTGGTATCTTGAAAATATCGTCAATCGCGATTTTAGATTTTCAATTGTCTTTTAAAGAATCAAGATAGGAACATATTAGCATAAATCATTTTTAAATAAAAGTAGTGTACAATAGTTTTCTGATGAAGTAAATAGGGCTCAATTGACATTGTTTTGGAGATTTTTTGGGATATTACAGTTTGTTTCTGGTGTTACATTGTACTACCCTTCGCATTTGGTTAGCTTCTTAAAAGAGAGCTTCGTCTTGGTGAAACAATGGATGAAAGTTTTGCACTGTGAGGCTGAGAACCTATTATGATAAGCAAAATAGTAAAATATCAGTAGGCAATGATCTCCCCAGCATTAAAGCAAGTGAGCGCAGCACCCACCTGAGATTTTGAAAATAGGCTTGCACCCACCTGAAAATCAACTTGCACCCACTTGAAAATGGGAAAATCATGAAAAATGGGCATATTTTGGCCAATTATGGTCTGAATTGTGAAAATGAGAGAAAAAATCCTGTGGAGATCACTGGTAGGTCTATAGGACATCAACTGGTCATTCCAAACAGGAGAATCTAAAGGCCATGTGCCCACTCAAGATATTTTACAGGAACCCAGATTCATGTGAATCAGGGGTACAATTGTTCTTGTGTTATTTTTATGGTACATTTTATGTTTATTTTATTATTCTTTATAGGTCTATAACTGACCCTGTTATCTCCTGGCAAGGTCTTGAACCGAAATTAAGCATATCTCTAAAATGTCATGGTGATAGTGTTTTAAATTGCAAAATAGAGTGGAAAAGAGTGAAATTAGCAAGGAATAAAGTAAACAGGCATGTAGTTAACACTCTAAATTGTATAGAAATGCAAGAACATCAGACACTTCATTCAAATTTTTGAGAGAAAAAGGTGAAATAGACATAACAGGCATTATTTGCTGTATTCTGAAAATTGTGAATATTTGCACTGGATGAAAAGATTTTACTATCATACAGTGTTCAATTCTTTAAAATGATGACTTTATGGTTTATTATTTGAATGGGTTTATTAAACAATTCAGAATTTTACCCCATTCGCATCAAATGTAAACAACGACATACTTGTTTTGATGGAAATAAATGCTTACATGACATTAAATCCTCAAAAAGATAATTGCATGTTTTTCAATTGTGTTTTCTATGTACTTTCAGGCCTGCAAAGGATGCACAGGAGATATATGTTTTTGTAAAGGCACTAAAGGAAAACCGGTAAGTTGATTTAAGTGTTTTTATAAGGGACAGAAAAATATGAAAAAATAATCTCACCCACCCTCTCCCCTGAGGAAATTAAGCACATTTTTTCAACAACCGTTGACATTTTCACTATCAGTAACAGATAGTTACTCGTTAGTAACCATTTGACGTTACAGAGTGGTGATATTCTCTTGTATTTGCCTAGTTGTTATTTTTGACTCAAGTCCTATTCTTTGAGTAGAGCAAACACTGTGCTTATACAAATATTTAGTCATTATCACAATCATATGAGGTTCAGGATATTGGGATTATCCCAAGGCTTATATATCTAGATTAAAGTACATTGGTCATGGGATAATCCTCATATCCTGGCAGCAGTGTAATAATCTGTTTATCCACTGTGGTGGACAGATAATCCCATGATAATAATATCCACTGATGAAAATACAACTTTTTACAATCCAGTTTTGTGTACAACAAATATTTCCAAGTATGGAATAAATGAAAATTTGGGAAAGGGGACTACAAAAGAAAATTTGGAAAATGAATATCTTGATAAAATTGCATTTTAAAAAAAGAAATCAATTAAAGTGTATAGCAAAACAGTAATTAAAGTAATCTAATTTCCCTATTACAGTAATTTAAGTAATATAATTAGCTTAGTTTATATGAATCATAACCAGATCATATGCTTTGGTGAAAATATTTTTATGGCTATTTTTTGACAATTTAATGAATTGAATATATAACATCCAATAATTTTGAATAGATACCATTTTTATTCACCAGTTGATATTTATATTTGGATAAGTGAGCATCACAAATAAGCACAAATATTTATATGATTAACCTAATTTTTGATGTTTTTTCTTCCAGGGGGTAGGTGGCCTTCCCGGATTGCAGGGTTACCCTGGCAACCCCGGAGACAGGGGCCCCGAGGGGAAAAGAGGAATCAAAGGGTTCAGAGGGGACACTGGTGAAGTTGGAACCCAAGGACCCAGAGGAATAAGGGTATTGTATATCATACTTATTGTAAACGGATATTGTATATCATACTTATTGTAAAAGGATATTGTATATCATACTTATTGTAAAAGGATATTGTATATCTTACTTATTGTAAGAGGGTTTTGTAGTATCAATAATATTCGTTGTAAACACGTATTGTTTATTCTTTTTAGTCTTTGTTTATTCTATTGTCCTTGTTTCAACAGTTATCGATTATTTCTTCAAATTATATTATAAAGTTAAGAAAAAATATACAGATATTATGATGATCAACCTTTGTATAGTACTATATTCTGTATACCCAAATTGTAAATAATTGTTGATAAAAATGATAATAAGATAATTCTATTTTTGTAGGGACATGAGGGACTCATAGGGTTGCCTGGGGTCTCAGGAATACCTGTAAGTATGAGGAAAATGAAATTAACTTCACTATCAACGAAGGTCATGTTTTAAAAGGGAAAATTTAGTGGAAAAGAGTGGAATCAGAAAGGAATAAAGTAAACAGGCATGTAGTTAACACTCTAAATTGTATAGAAATGCAAGAAAATCAGGCAGTTCATTCAAATTTTGAAGAGAAATTGAGTGAAATAGCTGTAATCGGACGGACATATTTTGCTAAATTCCAATCTGAATTATGCAGAAATGCAAGTCAATTCAGTCCATTCATGTATTACAGAGAAAACCATGAAATACATATATTTCTTGTTTTATACATTGTCAATTTAGTGCAATGAATAATTGTCAATTGCTTTTGAAGCATTATAGACTAAGCTTAACCATGAAATATTCATGACCATAGTGATAGCGGTCGGATTTGTCCAGTTTTTCTCTAATTGTAATGTTTCAACTTTCTGGTACAGATTAACCACAATTAAAATTGTCATTTCATATTTTGGAAAAACACTTCTTTTTATGGAATCTTTATACACAGGTACTTCAATCTGTAAGTATCAGGTAAAATAGGAACATTGTACTTGACATAGCTTACATTGTACATGTGTAATATATGAATTGGGGAAAAAATCAAAACATTAAAAATAGCCATTTCATAAGCAAACAGTCTCGCTGAATAATATCACATATAGAAAGAAGAAAAACAATTTGGTGTTTATGACACAATTAGAAAAGTTTACATGAAATGTAAAAAATATTTAGCTTTGTGATTGTTCAATTCCTTTTTCTCTAGGAACTGGATATGATCTATTACTTTAAAAGATAAACATTTCTTATTTTGTGTTTACAAATTTTCAATTGTAAAAATATTTTCTTAAAGGACCTACATAACAAATGTGTTGAAAATAATGAGTTAGAAGGTCATTCACCAAAGAACATAACTTCATGCTTATCTACGGGATGCTGAAACTCCTCCACTTCTCAATTTCACAACAAAGTCTCTTTGAAAATAATAGCAAACTTGAATAATATTTAGATTTGTGTTATGATTTATTTGACAATCATATTACTTTTTTGATAATTAGTAGTGTTCTACTGAGCATCCCTCAATCAATATCAGTCCAGAATGCAGCCCCAAGAACTAGTATACAGTTTTGGAGTCTGTGCATTAATCTGCTCACACTCATTTAAGTTCACTTAAAGCCCCCATATGAAGTTTAAAGGCCGCATATGGCCATGTAAAGTTTAAACACTTTGGCTTATATTGCAGTATTTAAATATGGCGGGAAATTTGAATATTTGAGAAATAAGAAGCTGGCAACTTTGTTTTTTCATAAATCTCTAGTAACTAGTAAATGAAAGATAAAAACATATTTTCAAACTGTACATTGGTCGTTGAACTCTCCAACTTCTGTTTTTCATGAATAAATGTGACTTTGATATCTTTCTGTTTTGGGATTAGGATCTCAAGACTAAGAACAAAGGAAATGGAATTGTTTACCATATTATGGAAAATGTGACTGCATAGACAATTTGCAATGAGATTATTTGACCAATACTTAATCTTAATCTCTATTTTATTGAGTTAATCCCTTGATGTTTTAATCCTTTAATCTCATAGTTTAATCTCCAAATCTGGAATGATGGTATTAAACAAGACACATGTGGAGTATTTTAGCAAAAATGAATTATTTTAATCAAATAATGTACAATATGTGTTGATTTGAAGTGCATGGACTTTGGGCTAATTTAAATTTGTATTTTACAGAAAATATGGAAATGGTTAACCAGGTGTCTGTCTGACCAGCTCAATTTTTGATTTAAAACACAGATATAGCCAACGAATTTGTTCATGTCTATAAAAATCATAGGAAATTGAAGGTTCGGATGTTCCGAGTTAAATTTGTTTTTGGCATATGATCGCATTTCAAGATATAATGACGCTGAGTCAGTATTATAATTGACCACTTCTATTTTTATTGAAAAAATGTTTAATTTTAAGTTAGAAACATTGAAATGCTCCTGTCAATATGCAGTGAATCAATAGGAAATAATGGTTTGAGAAAAAATGAAGAGCGAAGCATGTTGATCGGTTATGGCTTTCAAAATTTTTCTAAATGATTTTATACATGTCAGTGATAAAGAAGTATTGTAAGTGTTTAGTTTTCTGAGAGTATTCATTTTTGTCATGGTAAATGATTCTCCAATGTTTGCCTAAAGTTCATTTAAACTTATATGTGAACATAAGTGAAAATTGCAGGCTGTACTTTTTTGTGAATCTAGGGTAAATAGGGACTGAGTCTCTTCAAAAGACAGAAACCGCAGGGTAATGAACCCAAAAAACAAGGGCAATCATAGAATTAAAGACCCATCGAATCAGACAGTGTATTAAGTCCGAGAGAGAAAGTCTGGGGCAATAAACTAAAACATGAGGTCAATCATAAAATCGTTCATGTAAATGATGACATTTTTATTAAGTCTGGGGATATAACGTTTTACCACAATGTCCATATTTGGTCACTACTTGAGTCAAGTGCCGAAACCACTATAAGGGACCAGACCAAAAATGACAGCAGAGGTTTTGATTAGGGCTCACAACAAAGATTAAAAACATGATTGCTGTAGATAAACAAAGGTCGTGGGTTTGTGGTGCTCGAGCGAATTTTTTTCAAAATTATGCAGTTTTTCACCATTCTGAGCACTTTTCGAGTGATTTTGGCTATTCTTGGACCAAAGTTGTCAAAAGTGAACCACAAAAGTGATTTTTTTTAAAAGAGTGAACCCTTTGGCAAATCCTGGCTATGGGCCTGAAACCTATTGGCATTCAGTCCATTGCCCAAATGATCAACCAGTCCATTGCAAAAAATGATAGGTGGTTCCCATTTGGAGTCAGGCAGTTTGGAGTTTCAAACACTAATTTTAATATGAAAATATAACAATGACATTATAGAATTTGAAATAGTGTTTAACAACAAATGGTGATAATTATTGAAATGTATTATTTAATCATTATATGGAAAGTGTACAATTCTCAATTTCTCAAAACTTCAGCCAATTGGTAAAAAGGACATTTGCCTGTCTTTTTGCTGTTTATTAAACCCTGTAATTTATTTTTACAAATGAAATTGAGGGTGTTGTTCAGTTCTAGACCATTGCCCGTAGCCAGCTTTTACCAAGGACAGTTTTGGCTAAAATATCATGCGTAAGTGCTCAGAATGGTGAAAATTGCATAATTTTGAAAGAATGTCTGGCTAGGGGGGAGCTCCCCCTGGGTACTGGTCTGAGACCCTTTTCTCTTTTTACGCATTGGCCGTTGAAATCAAATGTCGCTCATATTTATTTCTTGTTTTACCTAACAAAGCCAGACTTTTCTCTTTTATAATATTAATTTTGCGGTATATTTTTATCTCGTCCCTTGACTTACATCATTTGTACAAGATAAAAATGTCTGCGGAAAACCACAAAATTACTCAAGTTTAAATACCAGCTTGTGTACATATGAGTATTTCGGATTAATTTGAGATTCATATGTCCTACTTTAGTTGATGTCATTTAAGTTGTTTGAGTCTAAATCGGACAATTTCCACTCTTTGTAGAATCAAAAGTGATGTTTGTCTGATGTTCTATTCTTGGGTACATTGCACTTTAAGCTTGTTCTAAGTGTTAATTAGTTCCCTCGAATACATCTTCTTATCTCAAGAACATAGTGCGAGTGAGCCATAAAATGTCTAGAAAGTCCTGTTTTTGATTATTTAAAGCCGTTATGAACATCACTCAAGAAAACATAGAGAAAATACATTTTGGTCATAGTTAGAATGCACAAAAAAGAGATATACTGGCTTTATAGAGAAAAAAATCACAAAAAGCTGAAATTTTGAAAAATGGGAAAATAGACATAGAACAAGTTTTCGAGATAAATGTAACACTTCAACTTGTTAACTCTTTCAATTCCGATAAATTACATGTAGTTAACCCATTAGCAGCCAACAGCCATCAATTTATATTCCACTCTAGGAGGATTTCCATGTATCCTTAAAGTTAACCTAAGAAATGTTTGAACCCTTTAACCTTGTTGTTTATTTGGGATTTATTATGATGGTGGTTTTCTCAGACAAACCTACAGGGTGACCCCAAAAAATGAGCTTGCATTTTTTGGGTCACCATGTACTTCTAAAATCAATTTGAACAAAATCTTTTGTCTTCACTGGTTTTAGCCAAACTTATCATATCTCAGTTTTTGGTATTTTTTTCTACTAAAAATGTGAAAATAATTTGAAAAAAAAATTATCACAAAATATCTATCCCACAGGCTTTTTGATCAGACAGGTTTTACTGTATATAGTTCAAAAAGATAAATGAAAGTTACGTCCAGTTTGTCTTGTTTATTGCAATGTGGCTTTTGAACATATTCTTTGTTTATGTGGATATCTCAGGTCAAGGAGTTCAGGAAATGATAATTCAAAATAGTTTTCAAACCAGAGGCTAAGAATTTCCTTTTAATCCAAATGAAACCTATCTAATGCAAACAATACGGTTAATGTACCCTCTCCGTTGGATGAGGCAAATTTGAAAAGATGAGGCAAGTAGGCGAGGCAAATGTTAATAGATGAGGCCAATTAGGCAAGTTGGTGAGGCAAAGCTGATTAAGAGGCAATTTTATGAATTATCATGAAAGTTCATTTTCAAAATGGTATTGATGTTTTCGGAAAAATTTTGGTGAATTAGCAATCGCCCTGCCGGCCTCATGGCCTTTTTAATGTATGTCCAGGCCTGTAGCCAGGGGGGTTCGGGGGGTTCGCGTGAACCACCCCCCCTGGCCAAAATTTCTTTCAAAATCATGCAGTTTTTCACCATTCTGGCCATTTTTTGTGTGATTTTTGGTCAAATAGGCAAAAGTGAACCCCCCTAGAATTTTGGGAAAAGTGAACCCCCCTTGAAAAATTCTGGCTAGGGGCCTGATGTCTGTGTATGTCACTTGGAAACTTTACACTTTACTTCGCTTAACTTCGCTAAGAGCACTAACAAATATTCAGGCAGTTTTTTCAAGACAACTTACAAAATATATTTGATTTTACATTTGTTTTTCCGTGATGTCTTTGAGGAGGTAGATCTCAATAAAAATGAAAAACCGATCAGTTCAGTAATGGCTGAAGGGCCGTGAAGTCGCAGTTTAAAGCGATGGCGATCCCATTTTCCCTTTTCAAAAAAAATAAATCTTTTAAAATACATTCATACAGAGGAAATATATTTTCAAAAGCGTGAGCAAAAACAGAAAATGTTTGGCAAGGTTTTCAGCTTATAAGACATCTTTCTATGACTTGCATTTCAAAATGTTTTGGCTAGTTCAAGATGTTTTTTTATTTTTTTAGTTTATGTTTACTCTATTTTTTGATAATATCAGACAGTAAATACAAATAAAAATAAGTATAGGACCTACGCCGAGGCATTATTGGCCCCGTTAAAATAGGTTACAATGTAAATATAAAGGACATAAAGTCAAGATGTCTTGAGACACCGTGGATTATCTTACCTCTAAAATGTTTTATGCAGGGGGTCTTAGATCTTCAGTGGCGTAGAAACAATATACGCCAAAACGCCAATGCGTAGTGTTGAAAAGCTAGAATGAAATAGCTTAATAATTTCCTTATGTTCTTTAGTCATATTTCCTCATTGTTAATAAATTGTACTCTTTGCAAGGTTTTTGTTCCTCTGTTACTTTTTCTAGCTTCGGCCACGATAAATGGCACTTTTTGGCGTAAAAATCAAGGTGATTTGGGGTAGAGGGTTATGATAGTTGGAAGTTTAAGCCAGTAAAAATGAAAGTACATTTCAACTTCAGTTCTAGGAAAGCAATTACCCTAATTTCTATTTTATTTGAAATATAATAGATTATTTTTTTAGGAAATAAAGCATTTAGGCACCAATAATTATTTTGAAAGGAAAAAAACAATTTACCACAAAATGTCACGTTGACTTTTGCATGGGCTTTATTTATCTTATAAAAAAAGTTGAAGACATTAGAGTTATGTTGTATCATCGATCACGGACATGTTTCTATTGATCATACTAGTTTCTTTAATCTGTATTGTTGAGATTTAAAAGATCGGCTTTCCATGGTGATTTTATATCATGAAAAACATTCGAACATTTTAAGTACAATTAGAAAGGTATTACCATAAAAATTACGTTTTACGAGCATAAAAGAGGCGTTTTGATTCGTTAAGATTTGACACAATTTTTTCATATTTTTGGCGTAGTGTTGAATTTACACCTTCCTACGCCCCTGATCTTGGATGTGTAACCTTTAAATAAACAAGTTTTTTTTTATTTTTTAGGGTCTCAATGGAACTGATGGGCCTGTAGGACCCAAAGGTCTAGATGGCTGCAACGGTACAAAGGTAAATCACTAGATTGAAATAGAAGGGAATTAGCAAGGAATAAAGTAATCAGGGATGTAGTCAACACTCTAAATTGTATAGAAATACAAGATTGTACTCTTTTAATTCTATAGAAGTGCTAAATATTAAATATACACTCAGATTTTAAAATGCCTTTCTTGAGTGAAATTATATGGAAATTTAAGAAAATCAGGGAGTTTATTCAAATTTTTTTTTTTTGTTAATGTTATTTGCCCATTGTGTTTATACAGGGTGAAGAAGGCTTAAGAGGACAACCGGGTCGACCTGGAAGTGATGGTTTCCCTGGAAGAGATGGGTTCCCTGGTCTTCCTGTGAGTTTATTTATTTATTATGTAATTGTTTTGTAGGAGGTATTAAAGGTAAAGCATGTTAAAAGTTGATTATGTTTAAAAAGAGAAAATCAGACAATAATGTAAGAATCATTTTACTTTATATTTTGTATTTTGATATTGTACTGTACTTTGAAATGTATCCCATTGTACTGTACTGTACTGTTCTGTACTGTACTGTATTGTACTGTATTGTTGTGATTGTATTGTATTGTTTTCTATTGTACTCTATTGTATTATATTACAGGGTGCGCCGGGTGAGGAGATATCAGGACCCGGAGGACTTGGACTGAAGGGAGACAGGGGGGAACCAGGACAAGATGGATTTGATGTGAGTTGTGATTGTCAGACTGATATTGTAGTCAGGGGTTATTGTAGTCATTATAGTCAGGGGTTATCGGAATGGTTCATGTAAACTCCAGGAATTCAAAAATATTTTAAAGGGCAATTCTAAACTCAATATTATTTTTTATATTAATAGTGATACTTGGCCATAGTCTATACCTAAACATTGTGATGTAATATTTGAAACGTTCATATTTCTCATAATAACATGAATATATACTTTGAATATTCACGATTTGTAGCACTGTATTATTTTGATAATATCTTTTATTGATTTCTTTGTACTTCTTTGTTCATATATATAACTTTTATGGACATCTTGTATCATGTCACATCATGTGATATTAGTCACAACTACTCACTAAAACTACTATCTAGTACTAAACTTTACTAAATATAGAAAAGCTATATTTCAGCCACAAATCATCAAACTGGCATTATAGATCCCAATAGCATTGCATTTACTGTATTTATGTTCATGTAGAGTATAGATATGGCCGTGAGAGTCGTACATGTAAAATTGTTAATATAAAATTAATATAAATAAATATTGAGCCAATTAACACAAAACACAATACCTTGGAAAATAATGGCTAATTTAAGTTAATTAGCTACAAGAGTTTACAATTTGACATATCTGTTAATTAGCTCAATTGGATATATTATAATACCATCTCCAACTCATCTTCTTGGGCGAAAATAAATCTCCAACTGGTGGTGTAAGCTGGGGAAGGAGGTGAGGGAAAAGAATCGAACTGTATAACTTACATTGATGTTAATGGATTTTGTACGCACCTAGGGAGAAAACCCTCCAACTACAATCCTATCGATATCTCGTCCAAAGTCTCATCTCGTACTCTCGAGATCTGAAGCTTGATGTTTCGTTCAGTGTAACTTACCAGAAACATTTACCTGGGATAACCGGGGAATGGTCTTCTTAGGGCTTGTTCATACCTAAACCTTAACCGACTCTCACATTGCCATAAATGAAATTATTGTCAATAATTTGAATTACTATTAATTAACCTATATTATGTTTGTTTGGATATTCCAGGGCCCACCTGGACCTGACGGTTACCCAGGCGACCAAGGGGAGGATGGAGATGTTGGGGAGCCAGTAAGTTTCATCAAATACATAGCAATTATCCATTGGTTATGTGTTGAAATCAGAAGTAGGGTAGAAGAGTTGAATCAGCAAGGAATTTTATTACATTTGGTGTGTGATCAACCAATCACAGAGTTAGAAACATGACATGTGATCTGTGTTCAACCAATCACAGTGTGAGAAACATGACATGTGATCTGTGTTCAACCAATTACAGAGTGAGAAACATGACATGTGATCTGTGTTCAACCAATTGCAGAATTAGAAAAATGACAGTCATGTGATTTGTGTTCAACCAATCATTGAATGAGAGACATGACATGTGATCTGTAGTCAACCAATCACAGAATGAGAAACGTGAAACAAAATCTGTGTTCAACCAATCATGGACTGAAGAGCATGTGGATATCAATAACTGACGTCTTTGTTTCTATTTTTAGGGTGATGCTGGAATTCCTGGTCTTCCAGGACCCAAGGGACAGATGGGACTCGGAGTACAGGGACCCAAAGGCCAAAGGGTAAAACGCTTAAACGCTTTCACATGAAATGTAAACTTAAGAAATAAATACTGTGGAAACAATTGAAAAACACATTCATTGCTATTATTTCATTAATATTTAATAGGATCAATCTTTCATTTGACACTAATGTTATAAATGCCTGAACAAATTTTACATTGAAACATATTCATTTTAGGGAGCTCCAGGATTTCAAGGACCCCCAGGTCCCCCAGGTAAATCTGCCGCCATTGGGCGCCCTGAGGACTCAATTCGTCAAGGACCAAAGGGATTCCCTGGTGTGAAAGGTCCGGATGGTGACGGAGGTGACATGGGACTTCCTGGACTACCTGGTCGTGATGTATGTACACTTTTATCATTTTTACTACTGAAGTAAAAATATGAATATTATCTCCTATTGGGGATGTATGGGCCAAAATATTTTGCCCTATATATTAACAGATCAACAATGTAGTTTTTGAAAATCTGTGGATACCTACCTATCTACTTTTCAAGAGGGAACATCTCAGTGAATATCATATGACATGTGACCTGTGTTCAACCAATCAGACTTAAAAACATGACATGTGGCCTGTGTTCAACCAATCACATACTGAGAAACATGACATGTGACCTGTGTTCAACCAATCAGACTGAGAAATGTGACCTGTGTTCAACCAATCATAGAATAAAAAAACATGTGACCTATGTTCGTCCAATCACAGACTGAGAAACATGACATGTGACCTGTATTCAACTGATCACAAAATGATAACAGTCACAAACTTTGAAATATGTTGAATGTTTGAAATATTTATTTAACAGGGTCTTGACGGAATACCTGGTGCTAAAGGAGACGCTGGAATGCAAGGAAACCAAGGAAAGAGAGTATGTACTTTTTACATCAAGTTGTTATGTTTTGGATATTTTCCAAATTATTTGTTTTTGCCAAAAAAGTTTGTCATTTTACTATAATTGTAAATTTACTCCTGAAATTACCTTAATATTTTTTCATTCAGAATAATTTCTTTTTTTCTAGGGCAAGAGAGGTAAATATGGACCAGAGGGCGCAATTGGTCCTAAAGGATTCTCTGGAAGACCTGGCCCAGATGGCCGAGATGGCTTTGATGGAGTGAAGGTATGGATGACATTTTTATTATTAGCTCACATGGTGAGCTTTTGCAATCACTCACTCGTCCGTCTGTCTGTCCGTCCGTCTGTCTGTCCGTCCGTCAACAATAGTGGCACGTTTTAAAACCTCTGTCGATAGGATTCCTGTTTTAAGTTATTTCTGTCCAACATCAATACAGAAAACTCCCCTATGACTCCTGGTTCAAAAGCTCACCTATTTTCAAAATGGCCGTCACTTTTGTCTCGCGAAATTCACTTTTGACCCATTTCTTAGCTTTACAAATAATTTCAGGTGTGCTACATTGTAAAAATCCATGTCAATGTAAAGGGTAGATATATGAAATAATTTTGTTGAAAAATTATATCCATTTTTTTATTTTCAGCCATTTTAGTTAACATTGATTTGTCTATCTGACTCGTAAAATCCACTTTCCGTAACAGTGGCACGTTTTAAAACCTCTGTCGATAGGATTCCTGTTTTATACATTGTAAAAATCCATGTCTATGTAAAGAGTAGATGTATGAAATAATTTTGTTACAAAAAATTGGCAAAATATTATATCCGTTTTTTTTATTTTCAGCCATTTTAGTTAACATTGATTTGTCCATCTGTCTCGCTAAATCCTCTTTTGGACCATTTGCTTAAAACCTCTGTCGATAGGATTCCAGTTTCAAATTATTTTTGTTCAACATCAATACAAAAGACTCCCCTATGACTCCTGGTTCAAAAGCTTGCCTGATTTCAAAATGGTCGCCATTTTGTCTCGCGAAATTCAATTTTGGCCCATTTCCTAGCTTTACAAATAATTTCAGGTGTCTTGCATTGCGAAAAGCCATGTCACTGTAAAGAGTAGTTGTATGAAATAATTTTGTTACAAATAATTGGCAAAAATTATATCCGTTTTTTTTCAGCTATTTTACTTAGCATTGATTTGTCCATCTGTCTCTCAGTCAGTCCAAAATAGTGGCAAGTGGCTTGAAATAATTTTGTTACAAAAAATCAGCAAAAAACTATATCCGTTTTTTTCTGTCACCATGTGAGCCCAGTACCCACGGTACTAATTTTTGATTTTTGACTTAAGCCCGTATGTACCTTATTTTCTCGTGTAGTATTTTTTATTTCCTCTTCAACTTCTTACATCCTAATGTATACAAAATTTAAGACAATTTTTTTAATAATGACTTCTTGCTCTGCCCTACAGGGAGCGCGAGGATCTGATGGGTTTGATGGTCGGAGGGGACCCCAGGGAGATATTGGACCCCCAGGCACCGGGAAGGAAACCAAGCCTAGGGTAGGGCCACAGGGAGACCCAGGAGATGATGGATTCCGCGGACTTCCAGGTAAGAAAGAAACGTCTACAGGAAGTAAACAAAAACGTTGAGCTCACCTTTTTGGGTCACCCTGTATTTATTGAAAGTTGAGTCAAGAAAATATAGAAAGACTTGACTTATCATATTATACAAAATACATCATACAAAAATGACACCTTCCTCTACAGCAGAAACAAATAAGTGATACATTAATTGTGTGTCATGGAGAGTATGTCATTTTTTGTGACACCTTGTAGATAATCATAAAATACATTTTAAGTTATTGAATGATTTGAAGTGCTATACAAGATATATTGTGCTTGAGAAATTCTGTTTTGGCACCAGACCCCACATATAAATCTTGAATTAGCTAAATGTATGGTTTCCACAACATTTGATGGCTTCACTGAGAAAATAAATATAATTTTGTAATGTCTTAAAATACTTAATATTTTCATATGTTGTTAAAGGCAGAATCAGATCTGTGGGGAGTGACAAAATTGCAAGCAATATGTACAATTGATCTCCGAATGTATTCCTTACAGGCTTAAATATAAAATCTCCCAAATGATCCGTGAAATGTTATCAATTGGTGAAGTTATTAAGATTCAAAGTGCAAAAATGGGGGGAAATATTTAAATTCTCCCAAATAAAGAATGGTATCCATTTTTATACAAAAGTTTGCGTATTTGTAAAAATCGTTAGTTTTCCTCAGATAAAGTATATACTTGGGGTATTTTTAGAAAATAGACATGACAATGAATAATATGAGCCCAAACTATTCTAAGATTGAAACAATTTTTGTCAAGATAAAGCAACAAAGTAATGAACGTCATTGCTAGATCTGATCCTGCCTTTCATAAGTGAATCAGCCGAGGTTTTATTTATAATAAAAAACAAATTTCCTTTGTTTATTAATTTAAGTAGATTACAGTACTAAGCATTTAATGGGGTGTTTTTATCACTATTATGTACATACAGTGTATTTATATGATTTTAATAAATAAAATGAAAATTTTTATTTTCCCATAGGACGGGAAGGTCGTCCAGGAGAACCAGGTTTCCAAGGAGAACCAGGTTTCCCTGGACCCAATGGATACCCAGGAGCTGATGGTATCCCAGGATTCTCTATGAAAGGTGACACGGGAGATTCAGGACTGCCAGGATTGGATGGAATCCCAGGACGACCAGGGCGAGTCGGTCTACCTGGTAGAGACGGTGACAAAGGTCAACCAGGTAAGAATTTTTTTCTGGGTTAGAACTTGTAATTACTTGGGATATTAAAGGTACCCCCTTTTTTAAGAGAACATGTCCGTGAATATGTAAAATTATGACCCCCCCAGAGATTTAATACAGTCCCCCTCACAATTGTTTTTCCAGGTAACCTTATTCGAACTATTTTCCTTATACCTTTACACTCAATGGCAAGTAAATACTATGAAAGGGACAAAAAATTCTGAGGACCATAATTCTAAACATTCATGTACATATTTTTTAAAAATGTATACCTAATTAGTTTTAGTTGAAAAAGTCTGAATAGATATATTGATAAATTTTGGCAAGGCTTACTCATCTATGCAAATGTCATAAAAAGGTAGCTTTTGTCAGGGTATAAGAAGAGTGAAACAAAAAGTGTCCATTACTTATTGATCTCCCCTTGTATAACTTATTGTCTAATAACTTCCTTTCCTCTATTATTGTCTAATAACTTCCTTTCCTAGGGAAACTTGACATTTTATGTGAATAGATATTTTGACTTTCTCTATCATACTGTATTTCATCAATGTTATGATTGAATACGATGGTAATTACAGAAAAAGAAATTTGATTTGGTGTTTAATTACAGAATATCTTTTCATTAACCTTTGATTTTCAGGTGAAACTGCTTATGGCGACCTAGGAGATAGAGGGGATCCTGGTCGACCAGGACGTGATGGATTTCCAGGCAGTAGGGGGCCCCTTGGAGATGAAGGAACAAAAGGACGTCGCGGTAGCTTCAGGGGTGAAGGTACCCCAGGGTTCCAAGGTCCACCTGGAATACCTGGTGATCCCGGAATTAATGGAATTGATGGACGGGATGGTCTTCCTGGATTGAGAGGTACATTGACTTTTATTAAGGTTGTTCAAAGAGTTTTGCCCAGATTAAGATATGAAATATTATTTATTAGGGTTGTTCAAAAAGTGCTGCACGAATCTCTATCGTTGTGAGAATAATTTTAAACCAATCATGTTCATATTTGTTGTGTATTTTTCCGTGAACTTATTGAATGACCTGGTATTTTAACATATTATGTGTGAGTTTAGCGACATTAGTTAAAATAATGTACAAAATAACACTTAAGGAATTGGAAGCTTTAAGAGAAAAATAGCAAAAGATCTTTTAACCCTACCCCTTAATCTCTTAATCTCTACTCCTCTCTAATTCTATCTTTTATCCAAAAAGATAATTGGTCGGCTATCTCTGATTGTGTAGAATTGGTTCTCTCCCTTACTGGTTCATACCATTCACTGGTTCATACCATTTACTGGTTCATACCATTTACTGGTTCATACCATTTACTGGTTTATACCATTTACTGGCTCATACCATTTACTGGTTCAGACCATTTACTGGTTCATACCATTTACTGGTTTATACCATTTACTGGTTCATACCATTTACTGGTTTATACCATTTACTGGTTCATACCATTTACCGGTTCATACAAATCACCCCTTACATATTAATTATAGGTGGCAGAGGTGATGATTGTGGCCCATGCCGTGATGGAATAAATGGTCCTAAGGGGGACCAAGGTGACGATGGATTCCCAGGTCTACCAGGCTTTTCAGGTCCAAAAGGTCCAAATGGACGCCCCGGAGAAAAGGGTCTACCTGGTCTCAGAGGCAATGATGGCTTACCAGGATTAAATGTAAGAATTTTTTATTAAATCAATAAGGTTTGCAGCTTCATTTTAGAAATAGACCAGTTGCTAATTACATGGATAAATAGATGGCAGCACTTGTGTTGGTCTGGCTGTATACCAGTATTCACAATGGAAAAACTTACAAAAGTTAATCAATTGCTTGATTTCAATTCAATTCAATTTCAAAGTAATTCATTTAATTTTTCATACATTAATAATACATGGAATATACAGGCTTGTGTACAACACAAGGGGGGGGGGGGGTGTATAACTGCCCATAATAATTTTTCCTCAACAGTTATGAACTCTGTGAACTTGCATTATGTGGTTCATATTACAAAATGATTTCATAACATATTTATTAGTTACTTCCATTCTTTGTTATGTAAAACTCCATTGACATAAAAAGTAAAAAACATTGTTAACATGGAGATTGTAGTATAACCTTAAAATTGTAATCCTTAAATTAATAAAGGTATTTTAACATTGAGTTAATAGGTAATTAGCATGATCTTTTTTTCGAAAAAATTAAATTCTGGCAACCTCCCCAAAAATTACTGTATTAACCAAAGTTCTTCTCATAGAAAATTATGCAAAAAATTCAAATATTAGATATTCCATCAAATAGAAGAAAATATAAGTCCTTCATGGTAAATATGTTAAATATGTAAATACGTTAAACATGAAAATTCGTTGAATATGTAAAGGATGTTCAGTGTGCAGTAAGGATGAGTGACGGCAGCACTACAGAATGGTTTGACGTGACCTGTGGTCTGAAACAGGGGTGCAAATTATCGCCCACGCTTTTTTCGATATATCTCAATGACCTTATATCAGAAATCAATACCACTGGATATGGCATTGACATTGGAGGGACTAACATAGGTATTTTAGCATATGCAGATGATATTATTTTGATCGCCCCAAGCCCAGATAATCTACAACAACTACTTAATATATTAAATGAATGGTGCAAAAAGTGGAGAGTACAGATTAATAAAGACAAAACCAAAATAATGCATTTCCGCCCCAAAAATGTTAATCGATGCCAGAAACAATTTATATGTGGTGAAATTACACTTGATTACACACATGATTATAAATATCTGGGACTGTATTTTAATGAACATCTGGACTATAATGAATCAGTAAAAATACTCGCAAAATCTGCCAACCGAGCTCTTGGAGCGGTGATTGCCAAATTTAAATCCTTTGGAGGATTCCCATATAAAGTATACACAAGACTTTTTGAAACTATGGTCCAGCCAATTCTCCTATATGGAGCTGGAATATGGGGTACAAGACAGTATTCATGCATAAATGCCATACAGAACAGAGCATGTCGTTATTTTCTATGCCTTGGGAAATGTGCACCAAACATAGCCACCACCGGAGACATGGCATGGCCATCAATTTACACTAAACAGCGTGTGGAAATTGCACGTCTGTTCTGTAGGCTAACTAACATGGACCATGACCGTCTCAATAGGAAAGTCTTTATATGGTCATCATCATGTACTTTTCCAGGACGATCAAAGTCATGGGAAATGCAGACTACCTTGTTATTTGAATCGTCTGGAACAGAATACTTCAATGAACCATATATATCTAATGTAAAGACAAAACTTCAAGCCTTCAAGCAACTGCTTATTTCGGCGGATCACACCACATGGATGCATAATCTCTGGGATGACAGCAAAGCTCCAATAAATGGTAACAAGTTACGTACCTACAGGCTACACAAAACACATGCAGTTGAACCTGAGGGTTATGTTGTAAACCAGCTCAATAGGAACCAGAGGAGGCACATAGCTCAGCTTAGATCAGGGACACTGAAAATCCATATAGAGACTGGCAGATACTGTAGACCACCAACTCCCATTGATAACAGACTTTGTATATGTGGGACAGGCTCAATTGAAGATGAAAGACACATTCTTTTATCTTGCAATATGTATGAACAACAAAGGCAAGAACTTATAAACAAAATGAATATTTTATATAGTGACTTTAATCAGTGCAATAATCTAGTTCAATATGCTCTCATTATGAACTCCAACCTACATAGGACTTTAGCCAATACATTGATTAATATAATGAAACACAGAAGAACATTAATATTTTAATATGGCTAAACTGATTATATTTTAAACACCATTTTAAAAATTGAATTTTAATGTACTACATTTTATAGTCTCTCCTAAGCCGGCAACGGCTTGATGTCCAGGAGACATGTGAGACTTTAATAAACAAATATACTACTACTGTAAATATATTAAATATGTAAAATCAGTGAGGTTGCAATGCAGTATAGCAAAGCTTTTTTTTATTAGATTGTCATTGCTTAGATAAATATGGCTTAGAAATCTTGGACACCGGTGGTTATACTTTAGTCGAGGAAATTTTGCAAATCCAGGATTAAAGTAAAACACATTAAATTTGTGGAGCTCTTGATTATGTTGTGAAATCATGAATACTTGAAAAAAGATACAAATCTATAAAATTGATCTTGCAGGTTGGATTAGTGGTTACTTTTTGTGGATTGTGTTAGGTGTTTGGCAGTTGATGTTCACATTGTTCAGCATACAGTGTTTGGCATCTGGTGTCTGTAACAAATGACAGGTGGTGACATTTTGCATGTTTATGACTTGTTTTACATATTGTTCTTTATAATTACAAGGGACCCGATGGACTACCAGGACTTGATGGTCTTGATGGTGACCGTGGAGACTTGGGAGAGGCTATTCCTGCAACACCAATCCCTGGCCCCAACGGATATCAAGGAGAACCTGGATTCCCTGGAGGTCAAGGACTCAAAGGAGCAAATGGTTTCCCAGGGCAACCAGGCTTTGACGGACTGCCAGGAATTGACGGACAAAAGGTGTTTTTTATTCAATGTTTTAATCACAGGCTGGTATCGAAAGATTTGTCTGCTGTGACTGAGGATGCTATTTTCATAAAAACACAAAGAATACTTCACAATTTATTTTTGGTTTTGTTATATAAGAAAATAACTTACTCCATGCAATGGATATATCATTTGCGCGTAACCTTCAATTTTGTTTGAAGTCCAATAACGCTTGGAGTAAAAGCTATTGAAAGCGGCGCCAGGGTATCATACTCTAAAATGTACCATTTCTTTTTTAACCTTTTAATGGCATGATATAGTGACACAATAATATTTACATATGTTTTCAGCATAACTCTGAATGTATTAATGAGATCTGGATGTATTGGGTCTTTTTAATTTTTTCATAAAAAATTATGTTCAAAATTTTGTCCGCTGTGACGGAGTAGTTTCACAGTTCATATTTGCAACTGCTCCGTCACAGCGGACAAAACATTAAACATTATTTTTTATTAAAAAATTAAAAAGACCCAATACATCAATGTTTTATTAATACCCTCAGAGTTATGCTGAAAACATATGTACATATTATCATGTCACTATATCATGCCATTAAAAAGTTAAAAAGAAATGGTACATTTTAGAGTATGATACTCTGGCGCCGTTTTCAATAGCTTTTACTCTTAGCCGTTATTGAACTTCAAATAGAAGTGAATGTTACCCGCAAATGATATATCCATTGCATGGAGTAAGTAATTTTCTTTGATATAATGAAACATATGAGTTAAAAAATAAATTGTGAAGTATTCTTAGTGATTTTATAAAAAACAACATGCTCCGTCACAGCGGACAAATCTTTCGATACCAGCCTGTGTTAATACATGATACAAATTACAAACAAATTACAATACATGTCTTTAAATAATTCTCGGGAATTAGGACAAAAAGTTGATTATCGTGGAAGAAAATAATTATGATTGCAAAAATTAATGTATTTATGTTTTGGATCATATTTGCCAGCGGCCATGTATCCTAAAATTTTACATTCAATAGCATTTATAATGCAACCATAGCATTTCCATGGTAACATATTAGTCACATGTGCTCTGTTAAATACATGCCATTGGCATATTTCGAATTTGTTGACACATAAAACATGGGCATGACAAACAGTCTTTGAAGTTATGATGAACGGTCCCCTTATAGGGTATCCTCTCAGAAAACATCAATTTTTTCCAAGCACCGAAGCAGCTGCCTTCTGCAAGGCAGCTACAGGAGAGCTGCATGGTGACCATGCAGCCAGACTGACGTGTTGTCATGACTATGGCATGTCTTATTTCTATGGCAAATCTAGAAATGTCCATACCCTATGGTCCATAAGAAATGGAAACACATTTAGGCAACCCTGAGATTTTCTGTGGACACCACAAGTGTATCTCAATACCATAATACCAATACCAAATACCAATACCATATTCTAGCTGTAGGGCAAAATTAGCAAAAGTTCACATTATTTACAGCCAATTTTATGATTTCTCTTAAACAGGGAGAGGAGGGTGAACGAGGAGTAGATGGTTTAGATGGACTGCGGGGTATAGATGGCGACAGTGGACCAAAGGGTCCAAGAGGACAAGGAGGAAAAGGGCAAGCTGGAGATTCTGGACGCAACGGATTACCTGGCCTAAAAGGTAAGATAATTCAATGATCAATGATACCCCTATGTATGGTTACTGGCCACGCCTGTAGCCAGCTGAAATTTGACAATCACTCGAAAACTTTTTTTTTTTGATGAAAACTGTATCAGGAATCATAGTCGCCTCCTCTTTATTGTAAAATTTAGGTACCACACTGGTACATCAAAATAGGTACTACTTTGGAACATCAAAATAGGTACTACTTTGGTACATCAAAATAGGTACTACTTTGATACCTCAAAATAGTTGTTTTTTTACCTCAAAATAGGTACTTCTTTGGTACTTCAAAATAGGCACTACTTTTTGCTACCTCAAATCAGGTACCTTTTCTAGGTATACTCAGTAAATTCTTAGAAATATTAAATGTAATTTGTTTGTTTTTTGTCTTCAGGGGAACAAGGTGAAGGAATTGATATAGGACAGATAGAGTTTTTCCCAGGTCCAAAAGGTTCTCCGGGTGAGCCTGGTAGAACTGGGATAGATGGATCCCCAGGAAATCCTGGTAAGTTTGTGCTTATAATACTAAATAAAAAGGCATTTTAATTTATTTAAGTGTCTACTTTTTCAATATATGGAGATTGATTCCAATATTTTAAAAGAGGGCTTCAGCAACACTCTTTGCCTAAGGCCTGTTATACTTTGACCCCCCCCCCTCCCATCATCTAATGAAATTTCAAAATGTTGATTTGTCTTTCACTTGAATATTCAAACAAAACGACACTATTCGCTAACAAAACAGTCATTTACCCCCCTCCCTAATGAAACTAACTTTTAACTAATCGACACCATCCCTGTTAGTTGGTCTGCATCTGCCAAATTAAATAATTTGATCAAAATTCAGCTTTGCATTTTGAATTTCAGTCAAAACCTTAATGCATTGATAAGCAGTTGCCATTTATGCCATATTCAAACTCACATTACTTGACTACACAATGAACTAAGTTTCATTTAAGAATGTTGTACATTTAACTACAATGAACTAAGTATCATTTAAAAATGTTGTATATTTACCTACATGGACTAAGGTCAGACTGCACTTTCCACCATTTTGATGACCATGTGCTTTTTTTCAGATGAACATAACTCATTCCAAACACAGCCTAAATCTTTCATTTTTTCATAAAAAGTGCTTTAGTGTACCCAGATTATTGATTGAGTGTTAATGTTTCTTTAGAATGTATAAATAACTAGAAAATGGAGTGGTCTTCATTTCAAAATTGCAAAAACTTCTCATCACGCAGATCTGCCTTAAGTAAAACTTATCAAAATAAAAAACTAAAATATGTGTTCCTACAGGTGACAATGGACGAGATGGACTCCCTGGATTTGAAGGGTCAAAGGGACTACCAGGTGACAGGGGACGTCCTGGCAGAAGCCAGAGGGGTTTCCCAGGAGCCAAGGGATATCCTGGTCTCCCTGGAGACTCCGGGTTGCCAGGGGCACCTGGTCAGTCTGGAGAGTCTGGACGAGATGGAGTGCCTGGTCTTGATGGGCCAAAGGTAGGTTATTGTTAAAGTCCCCATATAAAGTTTAAACCACTTCATGGCTTATATTTTAACCTTTACATGAGTTATTATTGAGTTATTGTTTATTATCTTACACTTATTGTACTAAATGTATAATAACACTAGAAAATAAATTTGATATCTATTGGCAAAATGAATAACTGGAGGATATCGCCACGATATACTCCGGAAAACCAATATGGGGAGGATATCATGACGATATACTCCAGAAAACCATTATGCGGAGGATATTGTGATGATATACTCCGCTTGTTGATTTCCCGCCAAATTGAACTATTTGACATGAAATTTAATTTTCAATGATATTATACATTTAGTGCACTACAAGTAAGTGTAGGTTAATAAGAATATCCTATGATATTTTCATAATATCATTTCAATCTACTCTGTGATATTGATATAGATATCATATATATATCAATATCACCTCGTAGATAAAAATGATATTCGTAAAAATCCTATAATTATTAATTTATGTTTATTCTGTGTGTACTTGAAGTACGATTTTTCTTTAAAAATTGTACAATATTAATTGTACAAGATTAATTGTACAAGATTACATGTATTTTAACTGTACCATGTTAAATGACATGTATTCTGGAGTAAAGTACCATATTGTTTATTGTATTACAAGTATTCTAATGACATGTACTGTATTGTACAATAATTTATTGTACTCTACTCAAGTATATTGTATTCTAATGACATATATTGTATTGTACAATGATTTATTGTACTCTACTCAAGTATATTGTATTGTAATGACATGTATTGTATTGTACAATAATTTATTGTACTCTACTCAAGTATATTGTATTCTAATGACATATATTGTATTGTACAATGATTTATTGTACTCTACTCAAGTATATTGTATTCTAATGACATGTATTGTATTGTACAATAATTTATTGTACTCTACTCAAGTATATTGTATTCTAATGACATGTATTGTATTGTATTCTAGGGGCAGCCTGGTTCAGGTTTTGCTTTGATTAAAGGACAGCGGGGAGAAGATGGATTCCCAGGCTTGCCAGGAGAGAGGGGGGATGACGGATTACCAGGACGTGATGGCAGAGATGGTCTACCAGGAGTTGATGGTCAAAAAGGATACCCAGGTATGACCTCCTCGTGGCGAGGCAAATTTAAATAGGCGAGGAAAATTTAGGACAAATGACATGAATACTAGTACATTTGGAATTCATTTACTAAGTTTTAGATGAAATAATGTCTAAGTATTGGAATTTGAAATTACTACAAGCAAGTGTCCATATCCCATACTTATAGGAAAAGAATATGAGTCGGGGTATTCGTATGCATGCTAGTGGATTCTAAAATATCCAAAACTGTGGTACCTCAAAATAGGTACTACTTTGGTACATCAAAATAGGTACTACTTTGGTACCTCAAAATAGGTACTACTTGGTACCTCAAAATATGTATTCCTTTGGTACTTCAGTCTTGTACATGCATCAACTTACGCATCCCCCCATTATACAAAATCGTATTAACTTTGTAATGACCCCGGAGCACCCCAGGGGAATGACTAAAGAGCATAGTGTAACAAGCCAGATAAAGAAAGTGTGCTAAATTCCATGCACCATGTTGGAATCAAACCTAGGACCCTTTGATCCAAAGACCGATGCTCTACCGACTGAGCTATAAAGGTTTAAGCCACTACAGCTGAGCTTGTAGTAGTAACTTGCTATTATTGTCGTTACAAATATTTTTTTCATATTATAGGAAGAGATGGCTTAAATGGGCGACCAGGAGCCAAAGGAGAAGCAGGACAGGGAGGGGATGGAACCAAAGGAGAGCCAGGACGACCTGGACAACCTGGATTTGATGGCAAAGATGGTAAGACACTTTTGATACCTCAGTACACATTTTTCAATCATGTTTATTTCTATACTGTACTGTAGTGCACTGTACTATACTGTACTGTGCTATACTGTATTGTACATGTACTGCATACTATGCATGATATATTATGATTTAACATTCAACGATTGCGAAGCGAAAATCTCATGAGTTAGAATTTTGACAATAGAGGAGATTGTATGTAGCCTTGAAACGTTTTAAGAGATTTGCTTATTAAACCTCAAATGACTTACTTTACTTGCTTCTTGCATATTCTAGGGTTGTCTGGTGATAAGGGAGGTGTTGGCGATTCAGGCAGAGATGGGTTCCCAGGGCTTCCTGGAAGGAAGGGCCTGGATGGTCGTGCAGGAGAACCAGGGCAGCCAGGGAAACCAGGTCAAGATGGTTTGCCAGGAAAACCAGGTCCAAGAGGCAGAGATGGACTTGCAGGTGTGTTAAACTACAGCAAAGTACTTTCTTTTAAATGCATTCGTTAAACTTCACTTCTTAAAAGAGAGCTTCGTCTTCTTGGTAGTTTGTAACTAAATTCTACACATGTACTTGATGAGTTGCTACATTCTGTTATATATTATGGGTTATCTTATGGGCTAATCTATATATAATGGGTTAATCTTATACATTAGGGGCCAATTTTATATATTATGGGCTAATTTTATATATTATGGGCTAATGTCATTGTATATATTATTTAGGTTTCAAGGGTGAGAGAGGCAATGATGGCCTCCCCGGATTGGCTGGCTCACTTGGACCTGACGGAGATTCCGGAATTCCAGGACCAAAAGGTGCATTTTTTATATATGTTTTTTTTTCTCAATTTTCACGTTAGTTATAGTTTCAGCTAGGCTCATTTAGCATTATTAGCCAAAAAGCTAAATTTTTCTCTTGACAGTTTTTTAGACAGTTTTTTAGATTTATTGGAATTATAATGATATTATTTTCATTTTTTATTCTATATTCCTGATTTTGCTTTAATAATCATGATCTAAGATGAAAAGAAAAGAAACAATGTCTTAGACCCCCTTCCCCACTATTCAAGCACCATTATCATATGATCAAATTATTATCATATTTAGGCAACTCTGGCGATAGAGGAGAACCAGGCTTCCCAGGATTCCCTGGAAACAGTGGTCGTCTGGGTCCCGATGGAGATGATGGTATTCCTGGGCGGCCGGGACAGAAAGGAGAACCCGCGAGATTTGGGGGTAAAGGCCCCAGAGGAGAAGATGGATTACCAGGTATGTGCATGGTATTTTAAATTATTATGCGATTATTGTGCACACCTCTGCTAGTGAACACCTCCCAAGTAGAACACTTTTAGAGGTACCAATGGTGTTCCACTTAGACAGGTTCTACTGCACTTATGAGAGAAAATATGGTAATCAGTATATAAGATTTATGTGACACCCACCTGCTAGATTTTCTAGTATTTTATTTCATATCCACATGCTTAATAATAGGTCATTTGCACCATATAAATGACACATGAATGAAATGACACATGAATGAAATGACACATGAATGAAAACCATTATTTTTTTGTCATTGCAGGTCTACCTGGCTTCCCTGGTTTGAATGGATTAGATGGTGAGCCTGGACCACAGGGTCCACGTGGGGACCCCGGACCCGGACTCCCTGGACAGAGAGGTATGATTCTATTTTGACAGTCAAATGTTGATATTAATGTAATGTACAGTGTAGGATTGTATTTTGAGCGGGCACAGTCATTATGTTACTTCTGATAATGCAATTATATTTTTGTACACTTATTTTAAATGGAAGATCATGTTTAATTTGAAAAAATCAATATATTCTCAATAACATTTTTTTAGTATTAAAGGCGCCTTATAGTTATAAGTGTATATAATAGAAATGAAAATAAATGTACTTGTATCCTATAGGACCATCTGGATAAATCCCATATCTTTCACCTGTCATTGATCAATGTACTTGTATCCTATATGACCATCTGGATAAATCCCATATTGTTAACCTGTCATTAATCAATGTTTTTGTATCCTGTAGGACCATCTGGATAAATTCCATATCTTTAACCTGTCATTGATCAATGTTTTTGTATCCTGTAGGTCCTTCAGGCGAACAGGGCAGAAATGGCTTCCAGGGACGACCAGGCCGTGAGGGCTTAAAGGGCGCTATGGGCATGATGGGATTCCCAGGTATATATAACAATATTCAAGGCAACATCACCTCTGAGCAAAATTTTAAAATTCATGGTGAACTGGTGCATTATGCCAGTTTATTGATTTATTTTTTCTCTACAAATGAATTAATATAATAGTTAATTTAAAGGGATTGAAAACAGAATATAATATATTTCCATGTCCTGTACAGGTGTTGATGGTGGCAAAGGAGACGATGGTCGCCCAGGGTCAGTAGGACGACCAGGTGCCCAGGGGTCCCCAGGTTTGAAAGGAGAGCGAGGGGAGACAGCTTTTGATGGGGTCAGAGGTCGCCCAGGTCCAGCAGTGAGTGACATTATATTCCTTTGGTATTGTTTGAATAATATCTTTATTTCTCGGGAAAGATAAACTCCCTGTGTATTGAGATGACATAGAGATAGTTTCCCGACATAAATGAATAAGTAACAGTTTTATATTTTTGTGCTTGGGAGATAATGGCCAAGGTGGTTTCCCTGGGATGCCACATAAATAGATAACTGTTTTATATTTTTGTGGCTAGGGAGATAATGGCAGAGATGGTTTCCCTGGAATACCAGGCAGAGCTGGAGATTCTGGAAGAGATGGGTTGCCAGGAATTGCTGGATTGGATGGAGAGAAAGGAGCTGATGGGTTGCCAGGGTTACCAGGTACTGTATACAGTAGTTTGAATTGTTTAGGGGTGAAATGCATAGGTTTTGAAATGTATAGGGTGTGAAATGTTCAGAGGGTGAAACATCTTAAGGGTTTAATGTCAAGGGATTGGGTTAAATGTTTAGGGGTTAGTGTTGCACATTCCATCAGAAAACTGTACATCAAAGAGTAAGAAAAAAAATTTAAGAGATATTATGATGTTACTCTGAACAGACAGTTGTCCTTAAAACCAACGCTTCAATTTTCAGCTTCAGCAACAGAAAAGGGAGAACGTGGAGAGGATGGTGAAAATGGTCTCCCAGGACTTGCAGGGCTTGCAGGCGATCGAGGCGAGCCAGGGCCTGCAGGAGCTGATGGTCTTCCTGGACAGCGTGGCTTTGATGGATTACCAGGACCCGATGGAAAACCTGGAAGACAGGGTCCAAGAGGTTTGTTTGTTTTTTGTTTGTTTGTTTGTTGACCTATTGTGATTCATAATTACCATTATCACTGAGGAGACTTCAATGTTCGAGCTTTCAAAAATTTATGTTGTATTTGAAATACAGCAAAAAAATGTACAGAAAGAAAAGTCAGGAAAAACATGGACAGATAAAATCAATTTCTACTTCAGGTGATGATGGTCTACCTGGCCTTGAAGGTCGCGCAGGGCCACCTGCCCTCCCAGGACCCAAGGGACAACCTGGAGAGCCAGGACAGAGAAACCCTGATGGCTTACCAGGCTTTAAGGGTGAACAAGGATTCCCTGGACTGGACGGACGTCCCGGGTCTAAGGGACAACCAGGAGAACCAGGGTCTGCATTGAAAGGACGCCCTGGTGATCCAGGAGCTGACGGATTGCCAGGTTTAGATGGTAAGATTCTTTATATAAATATTCAGCTAATTATCAAGAGGTGTTCTTCAATTCATGGAGAAGTGTTCATCAATTCATCGAGAAGTGTTCATAGATTTATCAGGGAATGTTCTTCAATTCATCAAGAAATGTTCATCAATTCATCGAGAAGTGTTCATAGATTTATCAGGAAATGTTCATCAATTCATCAAGAAATGTTCATCAATGTGTTCATCATTTATTCATCAAGTAGTTCATCTATGTAGCAATAATTATTTATTTTCACTTTCATCCACTCTGCCTATCCATCAACTACGAAGCACAAAGAATACTTTGCCTATATGCCTACCTACAGTAAAACCAGTGAAAGTGGAACACTTTTGAATCTACTTGTTCCACTATTCAGTCAGTGGCAAGGGTCATTTTATGTCCTCTCAAAAAGGATTAAAAATTGTCCTCTTTTTTAACAGATGGTTTTAGTGTTCCTCATGTCAAATTCACTGTATATGTAAAAATTATAATAGGTAAACATGGAAAAATTTTGTCATGGTGATAGTAAATTATAAACTTTGAGCAATACACTCTGCATGGATCTTTTAAATATGAACAAATATTGGGAATGTACTAAAAACCCTTCGACCCTTCGACCCTGCGACCTACGACTTACAGCGTGTCAAGAATTTTTGAAATATATTTTTATAAAAACCCTTCGACCTTCTAGATATTTCTCAGTCCATATGAAGTTGCTGGAAATATTACTTTGTGTATAGAACTTAAGAATCTGTCCCAAGAGAGTTAAAGATATTTAAAGCTGGACTTCGATCGGAGCCGATATGATTTTGGAAAGGTTTCTAAATGAAGAACGTGACGTCACTTCCGAATCATAGCATTCAAACTAAGTAGCGTTTAATTACTTTCACAATTCATGATATAACGGTGGTCCAGCGGTAGAATGCTCGCTGAGTACGCGGGAGGCCCGGGTTCGAATCCTGCATTCGCCTTTTTATTTTTTTAACTAAATGATTGTTCTTTGACATTACGCAGATAATTTTTTTTTTTTTTACATAAACTTTATATTAGAGCTTGAAAATGTAAAAACAATATATGTCAACATATTGCGTTTTGGAGCGATGTGCAGGTTTAATGTATTCAAGCACATTCGAATGTGAATGTTTCTTACCTCCTCAGTAAAAATATTTGTGCTTTTCCCATCACATTGTAACAGTGGCGCATCGTGCATATTTTCAGGAGGTCAAATTTTTTATATAGTTTAAAAGAGAACCGTCTTTTGATTTTATCAACTTTGATTCAATTTGGATTTGTATAGTTAAGAATCTAATGCCAACTAAATAAGTAGATTCTTTGCTTTGCATCTTACAAAATCCAAAGCATGCAAGGGTACAAGGAAAATAAACACAAACCGTCAAGAAAAAGCTTGCAAGCTAGGTCATATCAGGTTCGTATAACCAGCTTTTGCCAATCTAAGTTTTTCAAAAGGATCAAGGGGTGAACATTTGACAATTTTCAAGTGGCCCAGAAATCTTGAAAATGCTCAGAATCGTGAAAAATTGTACTGATTTTGAGAGAATATTTGGCCAATGGAGTGTTCACTTGAACCCACGAATGTCCCCCCCCCTGAATATATACATTTTAAGGGCATAAAGGTTATTACAAACACATCTATACAACTATATTTATTAGACATAGATATGAAACATTTCAGAACTAGATAACAGCAACGCGAGGTGGAGCAAATCCCATCGAACTTTTGATCTCAAAATCGTTCAACTACTTTTCAAGTTTTAGTAAAAAAGTAAAATAAGACGAAAAATTTCGAACGCAATGCGTGACATATACGTAATTCGCGTGAAAAGTCCGAACGAAATGCGTACGTTTTTTTTTCAGCGTTCGTATTTTTGCTGTGTAGACAAACTTTTTTAGAAATTTTTCTACTGAAACATTTTTGCTTGACAATTACCAGGTAAAATGCGTATTTGCGTGCACAGGGAGCTCAAGTTGGAATTATACGTAATCATTTAGTAAACTGGACTGGGAAATCAGAGGTCGAAGGGTTTTTCAATAAAATATATTCCAAAAATTCTTGACACCCAGTAAGTTGTAGGGTCGAAGGGTCGTAGGTCGAAGGGTTTTTAGTACATTCCCAAATATTGGCCTCATATTGGCTGCTATATAATGAAATATTTGCAATATACAGGTGATAAAACTACAGTGTATTTAGGCTAATCACATAGGTATATCATAATAATATATTACTATCTTATGTGCAAAGCACTATACATATGGATGGATTTGAAAAATACATTTATATATATGGACGGATTTGAAAAATACACTTAAATATATGGACGGATTTGAAAAATACATTAATATAGTCATTGTCATTCTCTTTAAAATTATATTTTTAAACATTTACATAAGCCTTGCCCAAGTCGGTATTTTTTACTTATCTGATCTTGAATATAGAAATCGAGATAAGTAAAAGAGACCCACTTGGGCAAGGTTAAATTTATGTTTACATCGCACACTATGTTATCTTCAATCATATTTTACATGGTTGGTTACACCCCTGCATTTTTTGCTTGTTATCTATTTTTTCAATACAAAGTGAACAAAAAGGCTATTTCTTAATTGTCTGTTTTATCATAAGAAAGCTAAAATTTGTTGTATTTGTGTGCCAAAATGCTGAAGTAAAAACCTTTATTCAAATCAGCCGTTGGTAAAAGATATGTGATATATCATGTAAAAAACATTGCTATTAAAATCTACTACACAATCTAATGTAATGATGATAAAACTATGAAACTGTAAAATCTCCTTATTGGGGATGCTCTCCATACTTGCTGAAAATGTTCATTTTTAGCCATCTGTTTCTTACAGAGAGGTGTTTCCTTGGACGAAGTTTCGAAACTGTATATCCGAACACCTCTCTAATCTGAACACCTCTCAATTTGAACACTTTTTCTTGGTCCCAGATTCATTTTCTCTAATTGACGTACGTGTTTATATAACCTTGAAATGTGAACACCTACTAATGTGAACACCTACTAAGCAAAACACATTTGGCAATTAAACAGGTTTTACTGTATATGTAATATATGTGCAGCTTGGATCAACTTAGACTATGAATCTGTGGCTGGATTGTGCAAAGCAGTGTTATCAATATATCAATAATATTGACGGATTTGTGAAACACTTTGTGGTGAACCACCCTGTACATTTGAGGTTGATCACCCTCTACATCTAATTTATTTGTAAATATAATATACAGGGTGGGCAAGAAGTTAGTACATCTATGTCTTTATATACTAGATATATGTGGGTTACATATATTTTGTTCACTCTGTAAATCAACCTACTATTTTGTGAAGAGTTATATTTACAGAGGCATTGAAAATTTGTGAGGCAATTTTGGGGTAGAGGACATGCGGCAAAATCGTCCATGTAGGTGATCGTCTACACGGACGACATTGCGTATAATGCTACTATTGTACATCATTTTTACACATTCAGCAATAAGTTTTGGTAAGATAGTTGCCTTGCCTGCCTCGTGCCTGGCTAAACCCATCTGTATACATGACAATGAATATTTGTTTCCAGTTAATTTGCCTTCAATTTATTCGAATTCCATGCGCTATTTGTCAGTAAAGTTCCAACATCGATTTGATCAGAGATGTTGCGTTTTGCAGCGCCACCTGTAGCCTCTTTGATAGCATCCTCATGAGAGACGGGATTGGCTTCCCATAATGCAACAGATTTAGAAATCAGGTTTTCCTTCTTGTCTATTAGCTCAACATTTATAAATGCATTTGAGTTCAGTTTAATATCTCTGTATTCTTTTAAACATTGGTGCATGAATTTATCCAATGAAACGCCTTTCGTAATGACATTATAGACCGATTCATTGTCACACTTTATAATCACGCTCACAAGGTTACGATTTAGTTTCACATAATCCATCACTCCCAACATGGCGGCCATGTATTTCCCGTCATTGTTGATCTGTTCAATTTTCCATGGACCAATCAGAGGTGGGAATCCACGGCAAAAATAGCTGCCGGAATTTTGGAAATATGCCCCGTAACAATTTTCAGACACGTCGAGATAGATCACTTCTTTGAAGGAGGCTTTCGATTGGCGTTGTTTGGCTCCATTTGATGTTCGTTGTTTTTCAATTAGTGGGCTGACGTCATCAAATACATCAGTGAGGGTCTTTTTCTGGGTAGGTTCTAGAAAATATGGGAGATATATGATCATGTTTTGAGTGCAAAATAGAAAGTGGCGATGAATTAAATAAATAGTCATGTAGTTAACACTCTTAATTCTATAGATATAAATGCCTCAAAATCATCCCAAAACCATAAAATGGTTCTATTTTAAAATGCAAATAGAGTGGAAAGAGTAAAATTGACAGAATAAAAGGCATACAGTCATACAGTAAACACACTTTATTGTATAGAAATAGCAATTAATGTTTCTGTTTGTTTGAAATTTTAGGTAGAATATCAGTATAATAAGACACGGTCAAAATTAGTAGATTTTGAATTTTAAGATATAAAAACCTTTTTGTAAGTGTATTAAAAATCACTATGCTGATACACTAAATCGCGAAAATGGACTTAAAATCTAAAAATACTCATCAAAATAATAACAATTGAAAATGGTGTTTCCTCAAATGCCCTCTCCCCCTTTCTCTCCTGTATTATTACTATGTTACAATAAAACAACACTTTATCGAAGCATCGTAAGAGGAATTAATCAATAATGCATTGTGGGATAGCAAATTGTAAACATTGAATTATTAAGGTGGCTCCTGTCTAATCAATAATACATTTCCAATATTATACACCTCATTGTAAGAAAAATGTCAGGGTGTTGGAATGTTTTAATTTGCAAAATAGAGTAGAAAAGAGTGAAATTAGCAAGGAATAAAGTAAACAGGCATGTGGTCAACACTCTAAATTGTATAAAGATGTCAGAAAATTAGACACTTCATTCAAATTTTTGAGAGAAATCGAGGGCAATAACCATGATGTTGATACTCTAAATTATATTGAATATTATGAGGAAAATAAGGTATGGGCCTGATATCATTATATTTTATTTGCTATTTTATTTATTATCTCAAATATATATACTCATATATCCTTATTTAGGTAGCTATATTGCTTTCAACGAAGGTCAGGAACATTTTCTTTTCAAGGTAATGGCATGTAAACTTAATCTAGTTTAATTTTGACATCCTGACTTACTATTCAACTCAAACACGGTGTTTGCTCCTGATACGAACTTATCGAAACATTCCTCGATCATCTCAGCTAGAAAGCCATCCCATATAAGGTAGCATATCGCCCCGAGGATGACAAATCCCATAAATCCAAATATCAATATCGCTAGCATGTCGTTAAAGGACACAGCCTCGTCGATGTTGAAAATCTGCTTTGCCATTTTGACTTTTTTTATCTGAAAAAGCAATTTGATTAATGTTACATATAGAAAACTTTCTTTGTTATTTTGTATTGATGAAATGAAATTGCAGACGAAAGAAATATTCATGGTCTATCGAAATAAAGAGTGAAAAATATTGAGTAAAATCATTTATATTCAATATTTTTTTAGAGTAATGTTACAACTTATGTCATACCTGGTAAAACTGTATTAAAAGTTAGATTATAAATCCCATATCATACTATAGTATTCCTTTTTTGATGTGAATTAATTACAATCAATATCATCATTCTGATTCTACTATTTTGTGATCTTTGAGAATCAAGTGCAGTAACACCTGAATTTATATTCAGCTAATATCGAAATGTACTTATATCGAAATGTACCCACCTCAGGTGCTTTGGTCAAAATATCCTAAATTCTCAGATTCTGATTTGCAAATTATTAATATCTACTCTAGTGTTAAGCTATGCAGCATTCAATATTCCAACATCCTTTCATCTGCTTTCTCTTAATCCAATGTATCTTAATCCAGTATCTGTTAATCCCCTATTTGTAAATTCTAGGAATGGGCTTATACAGCAGTGTGTTAAGTTACAACCACCTAGTAAACAATTCACTCTTCAATATCTATTCATTATTTTATATCATGATATATTCTCTGGTCGGGAGCTTACCTGTGGAGATCAATATTGTGCACAATAGAACTCAAGAGCTTGGTCGTTACTATTAATAGAGTTAGTATGGTGCTCGTATTAAATTTGCGATTCATTAATGCTTGACAAGATCATTATTTTTTTAAGTAATTCAGTTATGATCCTTAATGGATTTTTAAGAAAATGTGCTTTTTTGGTAGTGCTTATTTAAGAAATATAGACTGAAGAGCAGGGGTAATATTGTAGATTACACCCCTCAGGGCTAGGCACTAGCCTTTATCCCAAAAATTGTGAATTGTCAAATTGATTTACTCAATTTACAATCATATATTGTGAATTTTGGATCAGTGGTATAAAGATATACGCGTTATCTTATTTAATTGTAATCAGTCGCACAATAGAATTTGAAGGACAAATGCAAAATACATAATTGTAAAGGTTTGTGTCATTGAATAAGAAAAACCATTCAATGCCTGTACCTCCATTTATCGTATGATCTGTAAAATGAAGCCCTCTGATTGGTCAGTTCTTGTGCTGTACCAATCTGTATTGCTACTGAGATTGTCCCCGTTGATCATCTCCGTCGCAATACAGAAAATATTGGTACGGAGGGGACAATCTCAGTAGCAATACAGAGGATCACACGATAAAAATGTTATTGAATGATTTGAAGTGCAATACAGGATATAATCTGTCTCGATATTCTGTTTTGGCACTCGACTTCGGCTCGTTCAAATACAGAATTTCTCGAGCAGAATATATCCTGTATTGCACTTCAAATTATTCAATAACTTATAGTAAAGGTCTACGTCATTGAATAAGAAAAAACAATCAATTTCTGTATCTCCATGTGCATTACCTGTATTCCAGGCCTGTGTATTGATTGTATATTCTCATTGTACATTCTCCTCTGTTCTAGAGAACTCTTACAATAGAATATAGATTGTTAAGCAATGAGGATCAATTATTTAGAGAAAAACTGCCACGTTGCCTCTTTAAGTTATACGAGGAATGATCCTGTTGCGGTTGAATGATAGAAATGGAAAATAGAATAGAAAGAGTGGAATTAGCAAAGATGAGAATAATTTTTGAAATGAATTAATGAAATCTTTTTTATTCTTTCTAAATCTTTTCCAACTGTTCTATACTGAGCCTTATATTCAACAGAAAATCGTGACCACGTGGAATATTATGAATATCTTTATAGAGCAAACATCTTTGGAATATGTGTTCTGTGTAGGTGTTTACCGCAACATCTTATTCACTTAAATAACATCATCAGTATGACAGGAATATATCTCTTCAAATTATATCTGTTTCCGAGGACATGAAAGTATGCATCAAAAAGTTTCTCACTTAAATGTTGCATTGTTGAAAATAAAATAATATAGAATAAACAAAAGAAAATCAAGAACATATAGTTATATAAAATTTTGCAAGTTAGCAGAAAAGAGTTTGCGGGGGCATGTTTTTATGTGATACTTATCATAGTCGTACCCCCCCTCCCCAAAAATGGGTAATTACAGCGAGTTAGACTTCATGACAACCAAACATTTAATTTACTCATTAGATCAATAATAAGAGAGTGGCAATATGGGGGCTTTGAGATTTATCATTCATTCATTTCATTCATACATTCATTCATTCATTCATTTCATTCATTCATTCATTCATTTCATCCATTTCATCATTTTCTTACCGGTATTTATTTATTTGATATCTTCAGGACGTGATGGACAGAAAGGACAGCCAGGAAGACCAGGCCAGGATGCATTTGCCAGAGGCCCCAAGGGAGAGGACGGACCCCCAGGACAAGATGGCCTCCCAGGACCAGATGGTGAACCAGGACCACAGGGACCAAGTGTACGTACATGCTGCAAAATATATATACTTGTTTTAAATATTACAATAATTTATCCCTTTGATGGCGCAAAAAAATGTCAACAAGGTGGTTGCATTTAATTTTTAGGATTGTCAGGAGGGGGCAGCACTTGCACCAAGTTTATTCAAATGCTGGGGAGATCACTATGGTAATAAACTTCATTCGCTCAATCATATTATTTCAGGGTTTACCAGGATTCCCTGGCCAAGCTGGATTAAAGGGAAGTGTTGGTGACAATGGGTTTGATGGACTTCCAGGTTTACGAGGCCGTGTTGGTGATCCTGGATTCCCAGGACGTGAAGGTCTCCCAGGGTTCCAAGGTGCGACATCTTTAATCCACTTTCAGACTTTCTGTACCTTTTTATTCCATTTTTGTATATTTTAAGGCTAATTATCTAAAGCTGCTTACATCTTTTTGCAAGCCTTTTAAATCAAATGTTTTAAAGCATTTTCATACATTTAAAAGTTTCTTTTACATTTTAAAGGTCCTCAAACATATATTAAATTCTCTTAGTTTTCATATGAAAGATTTCATCATTATAAGTTGAATAAATCATTTTAACTCTACTCTGAAATTTATTAAATTCAAATTTTCTCAATTTACAGGACCACCTGGCCGAAAAGGAGCTAGAGGTGACCCCCCACGCCCAGGACCCCTCCGAAAAGGACGCCCAGGTGAACCTGGTCTCCCTGGACGTGATGGTCTGAATGGACTACCAGGAGATGATGGATTAAATGGTACAGTAACAATGGTTTTTCTGTTAACATAGAAACTATTTTAATTTACCCTTACACTGTATTTTAATTTGTGATCCATTTAATTTGTCAAATTGAGTGAGCATTTTTGCCCTATGAAATAGTAACCAACTTCATCAATTTGATTTGAAATAGTGAAATATGTTCACTCTTTTCTGAATGAATTGAATAAATTATAATTTCTGAACACTGAATATTTGATAATGTCTGAACATTGAGTCATTTTTGATATGAATATTGAGTATATTATCACATCTGAACGTTGAGTATTGATAATGTCTGAACATTGAGTTATTTATCATGTTTGGATTTTGAATCATTTTTGATATGGATATTGAGTATAATATCACATCTGAACGTTGAGTATTAATAAGGCTGAACATTGAGTTATTTATCATGTTTGGATATTGAATCATTTTATAATATAGATATTGAGTATATTGTTTCATCTGAACATTGAGTAATTATATGTCTGAACTTTGAATCGTTTTTAACATGAATATTGAGCACAATATGGACAATTTCTTTCTCAGGTATCCCAGGACCACAAGGACCCAAAGGAGATGAAGGTAGGCCAGGACCAGATGGACAAGAAGGACCAGATGGAGAGCAAGGACGCTCTGGTGCCCCTGGATTACAAGGTACGACTAAACAAACAAAATACGAGACATTCTTTTGATGTGTATTTGATGGCAGGACTTTGTATGCTGCTGGTGTTATAATTTTAGAGCATAAAAGAGGCAGATAATTTTTTTCCAGATTTTAGAATGTTTTCCCAGATTTTTATCATTTTGTTATTTTAATAGTAACACACATAATGTGATGATCAGTTTCTTTTGGTAAAAGTAGTAATATAAAGAAAGATTCATTTCACATGATTTAAAACTGTATAATGTGTGGCTGCATTTCAGGTATGGATGGTTTACCCGGACTTCCCGGACAAGATGGGCCCGATGGACCCGACGGACTGCCAGGTTTGGCAGGCGGAGATGCTGGGTTCTACTTTGCAAGGTACGCAATAAATGAGAAAATAATAAGATGAGATAATACTGTAGGGTGTTTCATTATTTGGAAATGTTCTCAGATCACAACGGCCCTTTACCATGGGGTTACAAATGGTGCTGGTAATCCACTGGGAGCAAATGTAACTGAGGCATTAGATAACGCCTGATTAACAAATACAGTATACTCTCTACCCTTTAATGTGTATACATGAATAAGAATAGTACGTATAACAAATTAAACCAAGAAAATGAAACATCTAAGCGTGAGTGTGAGCTCATTGCGTTTATACATTCGTATGATTGTTTGTTTTTCTGTTTTATAGACATAGTCAGACTACAGAGGTACCAGAGTGTCCCATAGGAACATCACCAATGTGGAATGGTTACTCCCTGTTGTTTGTACAAGGCAATGAAAGAGCCCATGGTCAAGATCTAGGTAAGTTGTAAAATATGAGATATACATAGCTGTTGTATTTGGAATACCCCTTGATCAAAATTCAAAAGATGACAGCATTCGAAAACCATCTCTATCCTTTTTCCTCTTTCAAAATTATTCACTATCAGGATAACACTTGCGCTCAATATTACATATCTCTCCACCAGGATAACACTTGTGCTCAATATTACTTATCTCTCTAAATCAAGATAACACTCGCGCTCAATATTACTTATCCCTCTCCATCAGGATAACACTTGTGCTCAACATTACTGATCTCTCTCAATTAGGATAACACTTGTGCTCAATTTTACTTATCTCTTACTACAGGTACACCTGGAAGTTGTCTGCGAAGATTCAGCACAATGCCATTCATGTTCTGCAATTTGAACAATGTGTGCAATGTTGCATCTAGGAACGACTACAGCTATTGGTTGTCTACACCTCAACCAATGACACCCATGATGAGCCCTGTGGAGGGTGAGGGTATAAGACCCTACATCTCTAGGTGTTCCGTGTGTGAGGCCCCAGCTCAGGTGGGTGCATTTTTAATTTACTTGTCCTCTAGTAATACATTTTTCACATAGACTTGACCCAGAAAATTGATTAGCATACTTTGATGATATTCTTAATTTTGGGCATATTCAACTGTTTTAATTCACATTGAGTTTAATTTTAAAGTACTTGAATATTTTTAGAGCCCATTACAGAATTTCCATTTGACCCTTTTCAATAAATGCCCATGGACCTATTAGTGAAAAATACATATTAAGAAATGCATAACAACAGAGGTATGTTATATTTGTAGGTAATGGCAGTACACAGTCAGACTATGTTGGTGCCTAGCTGTCCAGCTGGTTGGCGATCACAATGGATTGGCTACAGTTTTGCCATGGTATGTTTTTTAAATCACAATGAGAGTTTTGAATCAAATTATTTCTGCAATGAAATTTCTGTTTCAAGGGGGGCTAAACAGTATTTTTGGTAAAGCTTACATCAGAAACTGAGAGTGTGGATTATATGTATTTTACTCAATTTGTTAAAAAATGCAACAAATTTAATATTTCTTTCATATTTCAGCACACTGGTGCGGGAGCTGAGGGCACAGGGCAGAATATGCAATCCCCTGGGTCATGCTTGGAGGACTTCCGTCCCTCTCCATTCATAGAGTGCCACGGCAGAGGCACGTGCAATTATTATGCCACTACTTATAGCTTCTGGCTAGCATCTATAGAATTCAACAGTCAATTTAGTAAACCAGTATCAGAGACATTAAAGGCTGGTAATTTACGTAATAAAATATCAAGATGTAATGTCTGTATGGCTATTGGAAGTTAGGTTTAGAGTACTAGTGGAGGGATATTGATGTTGTGAGAGAATAAAGTCCATCGGAGGAAAGTAGTGCCAAAGTTACCATGACACTCCGCTGACTTAACAACATTGCAGTTTTAATAAATATTCTTCACTAAGAAAATGCAAAATATTTTTCAAAAAATGAAAGAGACATTTTTTCATAGTCCAAACAAAAAACAGTTTATTTCAAATTCAATTAAATACAGTAACATATCTACACATCATGTAAGGTAATTTGGCCGAGAAATCATACCAGTTTTCCCTGAAAATATTCACAAATAAATTTCAGGGAAATGTATGATTACTCATATCTGGATTCAAATCCAAAGATGGAAAAATAAGGACCAAAATTGGAGATATTTCTTCCAAAAATGGAGATATTTCCTCCAAAATTGGAGATATTTCTTCAAAAATTGGTCTATATTGATCACGTGTATCTATGCAATAATGTACAGTTTTCAAACAGAATATGCATTTATCAACTTTGGCCTTATACTCTTTAGTATCTACATTATGCCAATAGGATCAACTTACTATGCATAAATAATGTAAATTTAACATTGGTGCTGATTTTATATAACTTTATATAAATGTACAAATGAAATATGCAATTTAAATGACATCATGTAGACATTTATGAATAGTTTTAAATGTTAGGCCAATTGAAATTTAAAATTGAACAAGATAAATATTTTAGTAATGTTAGCAGAAATATGTAATTCACATGTACTAAAAGACTGTTCTGGACCCAGTTTTTTTCATGTTTTTAACACTGCCACGGGGCCTGGTTTTGTAAAAGGTGCCAAATGAAATAGGATAATCAATTGAAGAGTTAGCGAGAAGGCCCTGAGATGCATTTATTATATAAGCCTATGAGATTATATACAATTATATATAAATAAGAGATTTTATATATCATCAATTAGTCATTTTCTTAGAGTATATTTTACACATGGAACTATATAAAAGTAGAATAATTACATATTTAAGTACAAACGGGATATTAGTCATATCCAAAAACAAAATCATGTACAAGACAAGAGAAATATCACATTTATCTCTACTTGTTAACATTAACTTACGTGGCTTGTTAACATCAACTTACATGTCTTGTTAACACCAACTTACATGTAATTATGTGCATTCTATTTTAGTCCCACCTTCTGGTCATTAGTTTCATTTTGTGTACATAGATGGCATTAGAAGTACAATCATTTTAGGCCAAAGTAAAGAAGAAATGTTTCTCATATTAAATTATAATTTTAAGATTAAGTACAATCAAAGAAATTAATTTAGGTAATATATTGGCGTCAGTCATTTTATTAAAAAAATATTAAAATGGCATATTTTATGATATTTTTAGAATCCCTGATTTCACATCTGCTTTGTGAGAAACTTTTTTTTAAATACTTTGGCCTCACTTAGTATGTGATTTATATTTAATTCTACCAAGTGTATCTTGTATTATATCATTATATAGAGGAATCATGGGAGAGCTTGTACTATATACAATCAGTCATAAACAATGAAAATTACAATTTGTAAAAAATAAACAAGTTCGTCAAACCAAAAAATTATATCCTCTGAATTCAAAACTACCAGTCTGCAGATTGTAATTTTCCAGTGGACAAAACACAAAATAGAAAAATGGATGTATAAATAATATTCTAGTCTTTGCATTGCCAGTATCTAAGTAATGTACCTTTTAAATGTGCATGTGAAATAGGTTTTAACATATCTTGTGATCATAGAAATTATTTCATTGTTTACAATTATTTAGTTTGAAAACTTGCAATTGTGAAATATTAACAATAAATTACACATGTACATCCTATTTGGAATTTTCTGTTTTTCTTTTTAACAGAGGCAACCCCTGATTGAATGAAGGCACTTAATAACACACACCGTTTATTGAATTAAAGAACTTCAAGAAAGCCATCAGTGTGAATGACAATAATTATTCTTTTAGAAACCTTCTTTGCTATAATATCACCACCAAGAAGTGCATGGTGGCACTTAAACCAGTGAAAAGGTCATATTTGAAAATACAGTGAAACCTGTTTATCCAAAAACCTCTCTAATATGAACACACTCAATGCGAATGCTTTTTCAGTAGTTTCATACAAGCCCATGTTAACCCTCAACCCACTTATTTCTGTAAATCAGCATAAAATACTTTAAAACACAACAAAGTCTGAATGAATGCGTGATACTGGGAACACAAAGTTAATTTTGAGCAGTCATTTTGAAAAATCAACCTCCATGTCTTATGTGACCTCTTTTCATTAAGTATCACATGTTTTCTAAATCATTGTTTTTATGATGTCCAAACTTTTTAAAAAAAATTGAGTGGACTCAATTGTAAAGCTACGTTCACACCAATGGCGCTTTGATGGCGCTTCAAAGCGGCTTGTAAAGCGGCACCAAAGCGTAACAAAGTTTGATTAAAGCGTCGGGGTCGTAATAGGTAGTAGTACAGCTCGGAGTTAAGCGGGATATTCGGCAAGAGCACTAAAAATGTAAACTGTTCAAGCTACGTTCGCACCAACGGCGCTTTGATGGTGCTTTAAAGCGGCTTGTAAAGCGGCACCAAAGTGTAACAAAGCTTGATTAAAGCGTCGGGGTCGTAATAGGTCGTAGAAAAGTTCGGAGTAAAGCGGGATAATCGGCAAGAGCGCCAAAAAATGTTAAACTGTTTAAAAATTTTGGGCGCTCTGTTACGAATTGATTGAAGCGCCGAGAGCGTATCAAAGCTTAACAAACCGTAACAAAGCTCAACAAAGCTTGACTCAAAGCGTAGGAAAGCTTAACAGAGCTTGGTTCAAAGCGGGGACTCCAGTCTGTTCACGGTCTCTTACCACTTGACACGCTTCGTTAAGATGTCTCAAGATTAGCTACGATCTGGCATGAAGATCTGACACGAGGTCAGACGCTATCATCAATATCTGACACTCTTTGTTACACTTTCATGAAGGACTATCAAGCTTTCCAACGAATTGAGACGCTTTAATCAAGGATTGAAACGCTTTGCTGTACGCTTGACAAGTTTCCACAGGCTATATCACGCCGTGCGACAAACGTCATGTGTTCTTCAGATAGGTCATGCTCTGGTCCATCTGGAATTTCTGGATCTCGTTGTTCTGCCATCATGTTCTCGAGTCAAAGATGCAATGGTTTTATGGATTTACTGCATCTTTATATAGCCATTGGATCAAAAGCGGCATGGAATCGGCAATCTCGACATTTTCTAATGCGTGACAGAGCTTAACAGAGCGTAACAATGCACAACAGAGTTTTGCAATCGTATCAGAGCCTGATTTAAAGCGTCATAATCGCATCAAAGCGTAATAATGCTTATCAAAGCGTGATTTCAAGCGTAACAAAGCCTGATCAAAGCGAGATCAAAGCGTGAGGAACCTTTTAGAGCTATGTTAAGCTTTCCTACGCTTTGGATCAAGCTTTTCTGAGCTTTGTTACGGTTTGTTAAGCTTTGATACGCTCTCGGCGCTTCAATCAATTCGTAACAGAGCGCCCAAAATTTTTAAACAGTTTAACATTTTTTGGCGCTCTTGCCGATTATCCCGCTTTACTCCGAGCTTTTCTACGACCTATTACGACCCCGACGCTTTAATCAAGCTTTGTTACGCTTTGGTGCCGCTTTACAAGCCGCTTTAAAGCGCCATCAAAGCGCCGTTGGTATGAAGAAAAATGACAAAAATGACGGCGCTTTGCTCGCCAATTTAAAGCGTGGCATTCGCCGTTGGTGTGAACGTACCTTAAAGGATATGTTTAACATAACTGGCACATTCATTTGAATCAGATTTTCAAATCTTGAATCCCATCACATTATGAGGACAATCGAATGTTTAATGTTTATCAGGAATATTGTTCACATTTCTTCAAACTCCAGAATCTTTTGAACGCAAAAAGCTTGAAATTTGAACACCTAATTCAAACTTGTTTGGCTGGTACCAGTGGCATTCAGATGAACTTTGAACAAAGTGTTTTAGATTTCATTCATTGACCAATCTGCACATGATGTTAGTAAAAAGCCTAAATTGTTACTATATGTGAAATCTATTGAACCATTGGTATAAAAGAACCTGCAGCATTTTAATATTTCATTTCTAAGTTGGTAAATTTTGCCCAGTCAGGCTGATGTGAAAGTTCATAAGGTAATCAAATTGTAATAATAGAGCTAGCATTTTTCTTGATGTGGTGCATACAAATAGTACTTCATACTTAACATTTTTGATGCAATGACATTCACCTACAATTGAAGTTTACAGTAATTTCATGCACTCGGAGTATTCCTATTTTTCACTTTCTACAAAAAGATGGAGACTACAACAATTTGTCACCACTTGCAGTGGTGACATAATAATAATTGTACAAAATTTCATTATTTTACAATTAATTTGATAAATTAGTTATTGTAAATGTAGTTGTAAAGTACAATGGACAAACGATGCATTTAATAATAATTTTGAGTAGATAAATTTCATATTATTTTTCAATCAAATTGTTTTGATGAATTAACTATCACAGATATTGCACTTTGCACTTGTGATTCGTTTTATTATCACTGTTTATGGTTAGCCTTGGTGTGATGTCTTAATGAAGTAATATTACTACATCTATAGTCACAGAGTGTACATTTGTATGGCTTCTCACCAGTATGAGTTCTCACGTGTGTCGTCAAGTTTCTTTGTACATTACATCTATAGTCACAGAGTGTACATTTGTATGGCTTCTCACCTGTATGAGTTCTCATGTGGTATCTCAAATGATGTTGTAAATTACATCTATAGTCACAGAATGTACATTTGTATGGCTTCTCACCAGTATGAGTTCTCATGTGGTTTGTCAAATGATGTTGTAAATTACATCTATAGTCACAGAGTGTACATTTGTATGGCTTCTCACCTGTATGAGTTCTCATGTGGTATGTCAAATGATGTTGTAAATTACATCTATAGTCACAGAGTGTACATTTGTATGGCCTCTCACCAGTATGAGTTCTCATGTGTCTTGTCAAATCACCTTGTTGATTACATCTAAAGTCACAGAGTGTACATTTGTATGGCTTCTCACCAGTATGAGTTATCATGTGTAGCTGGAGATTTGCATTACTTGGAAATCTATAACCACACACTCTACATTGAAAATTGGCACTGTGGGTATTCATATGTACCAGAAGAATACATTTCTTTGTAAAACATTTGTCACACTTATCACATTTAAACATTCCTTCAACATCAAATTCACCATGTGTAGTTTTTGAAGTATGGAGAGTATCATCTGTTGTATTCTGAGTCCTAGGATCAGGTGGATTGAAGTCTGATCCAGTTATTCTGTGTTTTCTCTTGTGCTCCTCCATCTTAGCCTCATTAAAGAACTGTTTACTGCATAGAGGGCACTTGATTTTTATCACTGGAATAAGGAATAGAAACAGATGTGGAATTCATGAAAACAAATGCCACATTAAAAGAATGATTTTCAGTGTTCAGTCCTAATATAATGTTTATTTTTAATATTTTGAACAGGGAACAGAACTGAGTTGTCTAATGGGTAGGTAACTGGTTAACTCGTACCCAAGACAACTCGTACCCAAGTCTAATGAAGGGGGGTCTATAATTATATATTTTAGCCAATGCTTTTAGGACATGTGTACTCAAATGTTCTCTCAAAGAAATAGTGGTACATTAATCATTTAATTCTCAGGTTTTGATAATTTAATAATCTGATGAACGATTGTTAATCTTCCAGGAAAGATTTCCTACATACCTTCTGCCATATTCAGTCTAATCATCTCAGCCAAAGTCATACATTTGTACTTAGGTTTTTCCACATTCACATTCCTAACTCCATTAGCAAATGTTGTATTATTGCGGAACTTTAGCACATCTATTCCAAGTTCTTCTGCATAGGATTCTCCATACCTGTCAAAGCAAGGATGGAACAAAATTGTGGCGAATGTTATATTGGTTGTTTTTATGCTATTAGTATTTAGTTATCAGAAAGTGAATGCAAGACAGACAAAAATAGACTTAATTTTTATTTTTTTACAAGTCCATTGACTTTCTTTTGACTTTTAATTAATTTCATTTGTTCCACCTATCATACATGGCTTGTATATTATATTGATAGATATTTCAAATCTACATAATTCAAATATCAAACATTTTTCAACTTCCATATTTGATGCATTTTTGGATTTCTCTACAAAACTTAACTTTCCTGTAAATGCAAAATTGATTTTCGATCCCCCTGAAACTACTTTCTACCTCCTCCTCCATCTTCAACATGGATCTCAATTGTATGTAAAGGTAACTTACCAAACCAGTACTTCAGTATTTGGGGGTATAGGTCTGAATGTTCTGTAATAAATCTGACCCAAGTACTGGAAGGCTGTAACATTCTGTTCTCCTTCAAATCTGGCGCAGTTGACATAACGCATCCAGTTGGCCTGTCCAACATCACCAGCATCAATAAAGTGGCTTGGTTTCTCATTTTTATAAATCTGCAAGAAAAACACAGAAATAGATTAGGGATCTGGTTACACAAATGGTTAATTCTCAAAAGTTGTTTTTAATATTTTATAATGCAATGGTTTCAAATCTCAATAGTGTAAATTAAATATTGTAACTTATTTGAGATTTGGGTTGTAAACATTTCAATAAATCTAAAAATTGTCAATTGATACATTGAGAATGTATCAACCAGTTGTTGGTGCATCATATTCCTATGAAAAACTTCAACAAAGTAGATTTACCATCCAAGCATAGCCACTTTCATGCGCATCATGTTCCCTGTGAATCTCTACAATTTTGCCTGCATATGGGCCAAACCTGACCCCCTTGGGAATCTCAGCCGTGGTCCACACACCATGCCCAGCCCCAGGTATCTTAGATAACCTAACAACTAAGTCATATGGAGCTGTCAGCTCAGCTCTGAATTTTCCACCTTCAACCTGAAATGATGTAAGTTGTTCATTAGTTTACATTTGAGATTTTATGAAATCCGCAATCTTATCATTTACGGTATGTCTATGTATTTATTTAATGGACTCAGTATATTTGATACTAGAATTTAATTAATTTATTGTATACTGCATAATGTCTCTCACAAGCCACACTGACAGGGGTGTTTGAAACACATGAGATATAATTTAAAAATGTATTTTTGTTAAATCTCTCATCTCCCATTGCAAATATTGCATATCGTGTGGAAAAGAAAATGCATATGCTCACAGTTTAGGACAGTTGTGGGCAATTTCACATCAGACTGAAACCAATGAATCTAAGGATTGAACAATTGACAATTATATATAATAGACATACCTTTCTGTCTTCCACTATGATCAGGGGACCATGTATTGGGCAATCTCCTTTATGCTCCAAGTTACAGTCCTCACAAACTAAACCAAGTAAAATTGTTACTATGAAATTCTTTAATTCTACTGAATGTCCTGCTAAAACGAAGACATTTTCCAGTTGATCCCAAGTACTATTGATATAGATTCATCAACAATGTAACTAAATCTACCTTTTATACCACCTTATAATAATGCACTGGAGAAATGATGAGGACTTTCCAATAAACCCTATAACACCTTTTATTGTTGACCATAGATTGAAGAAATTAATGTTTACACACAAATAAAATTCTAAGAAGTTTTCCAAAACTTACATTGAGATAATCCTATTTTTAATTGGAATTATTGTTACTTACACAACGTTGTTCTCATTGTTTTTATAATTTTTTTTAACTTACATAAAAATTCATCATCATCTGGCACCTCAAGGAGCTTATAGTTAGTCCTTTCAATGTTTCTTTTGGGGTACCTGGGTGCTTCCCTCTCTCGCTTGGCCAACTCTGCTTCTTCCTCCTTCTGCAGCTCTGTAAATAACAATGAATAGCTCACCATTAAATAGTGTATGTATTGGGGTTAGTCCTCTCTATGTTCCTTTTGGGGTACTTGGGGGCTTCCCTCTCCCCCAATTAAATAGTGTACAATACAATGATATAATCTCTTGCAAATATTAGATAAAGATAACTTAGAATGGCTATTGTTAAATGAATATAATAAGATATAATAATAATAATTACATGTAGAATGAGACAAACTGGCCACTTGAAAACATTGTTTGTAATTGTGTTGTTATATAATCTAAATCATATATTTGTGCCTGCTATAAACATAGTACGAAACTATGTTTTAGATTTACCAATCAACATTATATGTTACCTACCCATTTCAACCAATTCCAACAAAGCCTGGTCCTTATCATTTTCCAGCAGTTCTATCTCAGCTTTAATCTTATTGGTCTTTAGCATACAGACTTTCCTCCATTTCTTGATCTCGACATCATCATATCCTAGAAAGTCTAATACAAGAGGGGGTGAGGATTTCTTTGGCTTTACTGGTTGAGATGGCTTTTCTGGCTTGGTGGATTTGGTGGCACTGGCTTTTGTTGTATTATCTTTGGTTGCTATGGTAGCAGTTGTGATTGTTGCTGAAGGTTTGGCTTTCTGGAAAATAATCATATTTCTTCAGAAATCTTTATTCACATTTTTATCTTTTCATGATACTTAAATTATTAAATGAAAAGACTTTTTAAAATACTTAAACAATATATTTTTCTTATCTTATTTTGCACTTTTTAATACAGTTAACTCAAGTGTAAAAAACAACATCAAACTTAATGATTCATGAACATGTATGTTTTGTAAAACCTGTCTGATCCAACGACCTCTGGGACTAGCCAAAAGTGTTCCAATAAGTATGTGTACACATTTCAAGATTTAATAAATATGTTATTCATGGAGAGAAATTAAATTTGGAACTGTAAAGTGTTCACTTTGAGAGGTTTTCAGATTAGAGAGGTGTTCAGATTTGCAGGTTTCGCTGTACATTTACCTTTTTCTGAATGGCACCATTCTCTGCAGTTGGCACTTTTTGTTGACGCTTCTGTGGCACTTTGAAAGGAGCAATAAATGGTCTATATGGCTTGATGGCTAAAACACAATGGAAAATAATCAAATAAATGGTCTCTATGGCTTGAATGGAAAATATTCAAATAAATGAACATTTACTTTTATGAAAATATATCCTTGTTGCATCCAGTTTTAGGCAAATTGATGTAGATAATCAAATCTTATTTAAAATTTGAGATATTTTGACAATTGATGCAGCAGCTGTTTTGAATGGTTTTTCTTCTTTCCAGATTTACTTATTAAAATACAAGATTGCATTGAAAGAACCGAAGATACCATAGACAGGTAATATGCCACTCAGATGCAGCATCTTTTCAAAATGTGCATTAAGACATGGGCCCTTAATCTCTAGGTGAAATGGGGAATAGTTGGCTGAGCTAGATAGAGATAGACGGTATAAAGAGCATTGATCACAACTGATAAAAGATTTGCATCAAAATTCAGAAACCACCTATTTTAACTCTACCATAGGAATATAACAAATAAAGATTTTTCATCTTGAAATTGCTCAAGTTGTAAACAAGTGCAGAGAATTAAGCAACAATGGCACAATTGTTTTTCTTGTAATGGGTTTTACCTCTCTTTGGTCTGTCTCTCTGTCTCTCTTTAGATGGGAGCCACTCTTCATCAGAACTACTGTCAGAGGGAGGTGGAGGAGGTCTCTTTCTTCCACGCTTGTTCTTCATAAAATCAGGTTTGATAATGGGTATACCTGCAATCATTAAGCATATTTATCAAGTGAGCACAACATAGTTCAAACAGTAATTGAGAAAGAGAACTCCAAGAGTCCACGGGGTAGCAAATCCCAAGAAACAATATGAAGTATACCGTTTTTTGAAGAAAATAAGCTACTAAATTGTTCCTCTAATGAGCAGGTGTATTTGATTTTTGTCACATAGTAGATGCAAAAATCTCTGATGTAAGAATGAAACACTATACAGACATGACAGATGGGATCGGTCTGCCTAATTTGATATTGTTAGATGAAATAAATGTCAGAATAACAATGACTCTGGATAAATAAACTTACAATGAAGCAAAGAAAAGATAGAAAAATCTCACCTATTTTCATCATCATAAGATAGTTCTGCTTAATATTTCTGAACCTAAATCTTTCATAAGCAGAAATATTGGAAAGCTCCTCCTTGGTGAAATATTCCTCTATTGTGATGTCATCTGATGACTTTGTGAAGTCAATCTCGCTGATGTCAATACTAGGGATGCTCAAACCTTTGAATACAGCCATTGTGATGATGCACTATGACTAGATCTTGAATTCTGTAGTGAGTGCAGCTCTTGGTCTGTGATCTTGTAGTAAATCAGCTTGGTTCTGGAATGCAAGTAAATCTGGTTACAGTCAATGGAATTGCCATTATTTTAAGAAAGTGGCTGCCCTTTCATTCCCTTACTACACTGGATTGCCTCAATGATCCCTATCCCAATGATCTAAATCCCAATGGTTCCAATCCAATTCCAATTGGAACGAATCCCACCTTGAAATGCTTAATTTTAAAATCAAGATTAAAGACACATGATCTTTAGAAATGTGTGAAATAAAACAGGATTCTGCCAAAAAGTTTTTTTGACTTGAAATGTGGGTTCACTGATGGCTTCCAGATCTGCCAAATGCCCTAACAATACGAAGGGGCTTGGTTTGGAATGGGGAAAATTTATTTGTGGGTAGGGGATACTGGGATAAAGGTTTCAACCCCCACCCCTTTACAAAAAGCTGGCTACGGGCATACAATGTAATAATAAATAAAACGACCACACTTCAAGGTGGGTGTGGCACATCGATAAGAGGAGCGATCATTTCCAGTTAGCACGTTAGTGCACAGCACACGTTATAACCGAATGGGAACAGTATTCCGACCATTAGGATTTGAAAAGTTGGACTAGGCTCATATGCTATGAGATGGTGGATACCAATGATTGATTAGGATTCAGGCCAATGGGATTGGGACGAGTGGGATCGGATGGAGCGATGGGATTCAGATGACTGGGATTTGGTTGTCATAGATATTGGAATTCAGATAATGATCTGTGTGATTCGGACCATGGATGGTCAGTACTGTCAACCCCTAAAGATTTTCTCGCGGGACAGATTTTTTAGACCCAGTGCCCAAAATTCGCGGGATTTTGCGGGACATCTACTAAATTCGCGGGACATTTAAGGGATTTGCGTGATTGCGCTAATAGGAGATTTTTTTATCAAATTCGCGGGATTTCGCGGGACCATTCGAGGGACAAACACCCTAATTGCGGGACAGTTAACAGGTGTACCACCAAAAACTTCATAGAGGGACAGATTTTTTAGACAAAGTGTCCTAAATTTGCGGGATTTCGCGGGACATCCACCTAAATTTGCAGGATGTCCCGGGACATTCAAGGGATTTGCATGATTGGGACTAATGTAAAAGCGTGTAGAAGTACTTAAATCAAACTTTCAGATACTGATTAATCAAATATAATGCACCGTTACATTGTAACTTAAATAAACGTCAACACAATTTCACAAAATACGCATAGAAATATTATTAAACTTTATTGTAATTTATCAAAAACAAAAACCATGCTTCAGGTGTGATTACCGTAATCTAACACGAAATTCAAAAATTCGGAACAATACTTTGCACTTCTGGTGCGTGACCAACTATGAAACGCTTACCCCCATAATGTTATATATTAAAATGTACCTATTCATATACTGTAGGCATGGGCTTTCAATTGAAAGCCCATGATATAGGGGTTCGATTAATCTACATCAAATTATAGGGAATGAGGTTAATTTTCTAGATAGGGTTTGTATAAAAAACCGGGTACCGGGTAGTAAATCCTCCATGCTGGGTTCAAACTTGGTACCCGGTCGAAAAAAAAAAAAAAACGAAATATACGAATACACAACATAATTAGATCATTAGAAAACGTGTAAGATTTGTTTTGAATTTACAAAAATGTATGTAACTTCCTTCAAAATTGAGCTAGAAGCTTCAAATAAAAAGCATTTTAAGGCTCTTTTCTTCCTCTATCATCTTGGTCATATTTCCATTGGTAATGAAGGGGGGGGTGCGATCGCACCCCAACCTGGCTACGCCAATGACATTGTAAGACGATTTGAAAAACAAGACAAATCAATCTTACTCTATTTTCAATAGTTCGTATGTTGGTACGTGAATTGTTTTGATTATGATTTAAATCTGTAAATAGCTATCGTTGCTTTAGCAGAGAGGTGACGTGTGTTAATTTGCATGATGCAACGTGTAAGATTTTGATTATTAATCATAATTTAAGTTATCCCAATTTATGACAAAATGTCCACTGAATTGTAAATTGTTATGTCTTACAATGTCATAGGCGTAGCCAGGAGATCGCACCCCCCCCCATAACCAATGAAAATATGGCCATAATGATAGAGGAAGAAAAGTGCCTTAAAATATGCTTTTTATTTGAAGCTTCTAGCTCAATTTTGAATCATGTTACATACATTTTTGCAAATTCAAAACAAATCTTACACGTTTTCTCATAATCTAATAATGTTATTTATTCGTATTTTGGGTAGAGACCGGGTACCGGGTACCAAGTTTGAACCCAGCATGGAGGATTTACTACCCGGTACCCGGTTTTTTATACAAACCCTTTCTAGATATCAGCGTACATTTATTGTAACTCGCGTTTGCTAACATTTGCTCAGTTCTGAGATGAAGGCCACACGGGTAGTAAAACTAAAAAGGCCAACGTTGGAACTATTTGTGACCTACATCCCTATTTTCGTAATTAAAATGAAAGTTGAACCCTTCCCCTTTATTTTAATACCAAACAACAGCATGGTGGATGTCCCGCGAAATCCCGCAAATTTAGGGCACTTTTTCTAGAAAATCTGTCCCTCTATGAAGTTTTTGCTGGTAAATCTGTTAACTCACTGTCCCGCAATTAGGGTGTTTGTCCCTCGAATGGTCCCGCGAAATCCCGCGAATTTGATAAAAAAAATTGGCCTATAAGCGCAATCACGCAAATCCCTGAAATGTCCCGCGAATTTAGTAGATGTCCCGCAAAATCCCGCGAATTTTGGGCACTGGGTCTAAAAAATCTGTCCCGCGAGAAAATCTTTGGGGGTTGACAGTACTGAACTCTGTTCTCGACCCCAAGCGACAAATCATGACTGTTCTGAAATCCGGGTGTGAAATGAACCTTCTCATAAGCGTTTGATATTGAAAGCTTTGATGTAAAATCCACAATTAGGAATACAAACCTTTGAAATATTGCGAGAACTTTAGTCTGCAGACGTTTCTTGTCAAAATTCCCGCCTAAAATATAAGGTCAAAGTGATGATGTCATCAATTCTTGACGGGAAATTCTGATGACGTTTTTCACATCCCATTTCTAACATTTCCATGATTTCTTCTGTTTCTTTTATTTTATCGTGTATTCACAAGTATTTAGACGTCACTTTATATTAGAAGAAATATAGGAATGCAGCATCAAAAGTCTGGTAAGTAATATTCATGTTTTATGCTTTATTTTTTACAGAAGCCACGAATCAATGAATGTAAAATTGATGATCTCAGCTTATCCCGTGCCAGGACTAGATCCACAGGCGGATCTGGGGGGGGGGGGAGGCTGGGGCTGGGCTCCCCCCTTGGTGGGCCCAGAAAAAAAATTGTGCTCAAAAAAATTTTGGGTGAAAAAAGGCCCCAAAAATTGGGCTTTTTTGGTCATAATTGGGCCTGTTAAGGCCTTATTTTTTAATTTCAGGCCAAATTTTGAAGAAAATAGGCCTCAAAATTTGGGCATACTGTGGGGTTTTAGGGGCCAAAAATTTTTTCTCTGACCTGAAATTTGGGCCTCCCTTGTTGGTTCCCAGATCTGCCCCTGAGATCTGACTATATATAGTCCTGGCAAGGCCGCACGGGATAAATCTCAGCCAATCGTAGCCGTCCTGGAAATATAGAAAGTTCCCGAGAAAGTTAGCAGGCCTGTCAACTTGGGAACACCTAGGAGGTACGAAAAATTTCGAACGGAATGCGTGACATATACGTAATTCGCGTGAAAAGTCCGAACGAAATGCGTACATTTTTTTCCGGCGTTCGTATTTTTGCTGTGTAGACGATCTTTTTTAGAAATTTTTCAACAAAAATATTTTTGCTTGACAATTACCAGGTAAAATGCGTATTTGCGTGACATTTTCTGTCACGCAAAAATAACTGGCGTGACTTCAAATTCTTCAGCAAATGCGTGACAAATACGCAAATTGCGGGACAGTTGACAGGCCTGAGTTAGGCCTCGTCCTACTGTTCATGATTAAATTTCCTTCCTAACGAAACAAATTGTCACATCAAAAGCGCAAATGGGTCTGTAATCAATTCTTCTTCCTTATCTTAGACACTGCAGGCCGTCCAACTGTCCAGCAACCAAGTTCAAACTGTGGGCCAAGGTGTTGAGATTTGAACCAAGGTTTTGACAATTTAAAGAAAGGTCTTCAACAGGTACGAAATATTTCGAGTAAAATGCGTGACACATACGGTATCCACATGAAAAGTCCAAACGAAATGCGTTTGATTTTTTCGGCGTTATGTTTTGTGCTGTATCGGCGATCACTTTTTTTTAGTTTTTCTACAGGAATATTTTTGCTTGACAATAATCAGGTAAAATGCGTATTTGCGTATATTCTGTCACGCAAAAATAACTGGCGTGACATAAAATTTTCCAGCAAATGCGTGACAAATACGCAAATTGCGGGACAGTTGGACGGCCTGCATACCACAGGCCGTCCTGTCCTGCAATTTGTCATGCATTTGCTGGTAAATTTGAACTCAAGCCAGTTTTTAAAATACGAATTTTACCTGGTTATTGTCAAGCAAAAATGTTTCTGTAAAAAATCTTTAAAAATTGATCACTGATACAGCAAAAAACAAACACCGAAAAAAACACACCATATATGTCACTTGTTTCGTAAGTTGACAGGCCTGATACCAGCACATACCATTCCCGACAGCAGCCTATTGCTATGCCCCCCTTCTCCTTCAATTCATCATCACCGGATTCCTCTTTAATTTCCTTTATAGCAGAATGGAAGCAAATGTTCAAGGTGTCCAAGCAACAATTTTAAATAAAAAAACAAATATTTGTGGGCATAGTCACCGTGGCAAGTTCTTTTTACAATACCACTTTTGTCACAAGTGGTTAGCAACTACATTCAATCACGGACTTGCAGTCCATGATTTAATAGTTCAGACTCTTAAGGCCAGGGTGCATGTTGGGATTTTTTTGCAATCTTGAAAAGTAAACCACTGAATATTCTAGTTATTCAAACATTCTGAAGAATTATCAACCCACATTTAATAATCTAGGTACACTAATGCATATTTTGTGCAAGAATGAAAGATGTAGATGATGTGTGGAATGAGTTATGTTTTTCTGAAAATAGCACATGGTCATTAAATTTCATCAAAGTGCACCCTGACCTTAAGTACATGATTCAACAATCAAGGCTTTATTTTCCTAAAGCATCCTCGCAGTTCAGTTTTTTAGCTCACATGGTGAGCTTTTGCAATCACTCACTTGTCCGTCTGTCTGTCCGTCCGTCCGTCTGTCCGTCTGTCCGTCTGTCTGTCTGTCCGTCAACAATAGTGGCACGTTTTAAAACCTCTGTCGATAAGATTCCTGTTTTAAGTTATTTCTGTTCAACATCAATACAGAAAACCCCCCTATGACTCCTGGTTCAAAAGCTCGCCTATTTTCAAAATGGCCGTCACTTTTGTCTCGCGAAATTCACTTTTAGCCCATTTCCTAGCTAACCTCTGTCGATAGGATTCCTGTTTTAAGTTATTTCTGTTCAACATCAATACAGAAAACCCCCCTATGACTCCTGGTTCAAAAGTTCGCCTATTTTCAAAATGGCCGTCACTTTTGTCTCGCGAAATTCACTTTTGGCCCATTTCCTAGCTTTAAAAATAATTTCAGGTGTCCTACATGGTAAAAATCCATGTCAATGTAAAGATTAGATATATGAAATAATTTTGTTACAAAAAATCAGCGAAAAATTGTATCCATTTTTTTATTTTCAGCCATTTTAGTTAACATTGATTTGTCTATCTGACTCGCGAAATCCACTTTCTGTCAATAACAGTGGCACGTTTTAAAACCTCTGTCGATAGGATTCCTGTTTTAAGTTATTTCTGTTCAACATCAATTCAGAAAACTCCCCTATGACTCCTGGTTCAAAAGCTCGCCTATTTTCAAAATGGCCGCCATTTTTGTCTCGCGAAATTCACTTTTGACCCATTTCCTAGCTTTACAAATAATTTCAAGTGTCCTACATTGTAGAAATCCATTGCAAAGTAAAGAGTAGATGTATGAAATAATTTTGTTACGAAAAATCAGCGAAAAATTATATCCATTTATTTATTTTCAGCCATTTTAGTTAACATTGATTTGTCCATCTGTCTCGCAAAATTCACTTTTGGACCATTTACCTTAAACCCTCTGTCGATAGGATTCCCATTTTAAGTTATTTTTGTTCAACATCAATACAAAAAACTCTCCTATGACTCTTGGTTCAAAAGCTCGGCTATTTTCAAAATGGCCGTCACTTTTGTCTCGCGAAATTCACTTTTGACCCATTTCCTAGCTTTACAAATAATTTCAGGTGTCCTACATTGTAAAAATCCATGTCAATGTAAAGGGTAGATATATGAAATAATTTTGTTACAAAAAATCAGCGAAAAATTGTATCCATTTTTTTATTTTCAGCCATTTTAGTTAACATTGATTTGTCTATCTGACTCACGAAATCCACTTTCTGTGGCACGTTTTAAAACCTCTGTTGATAGGATTCCTGTTTTAAGTTATTTCTGTTCAACATCAATTCAGAAAACTCCCCTATGGCTCCTGGTTCAAAAGCTCGCCTATTTTCAAAATGGCCGCCATTTTTGTCTCGCGAAATTCACTTTTGACCCATTTCCTAGCTTTACAAATAATTTCAAGTGTCCTACATTGTAAAAATCCATGTCAATGTAAAGAGTAGATGTATGAAATAATTTTGTTACGAAAAATCAGCGAAAAATTATATCCATTTATTTATTTTCAGCCATTTTAGTTAACATTGATTTGTCCATCTGTCTCGCAAAATCCACTTTTGGACCATTTACCTTAAACCCTCTGTCGATAGGATTCCCATTTTAAGTTAATTTTGTTCAACATCAATACAAAAAACTCTCCTATGGCTCTTGGTTCAAAAGCTCGCCTATTTTCAAAATGGTTGCCATTCTTGTTTCGCGAAATTCACTTTTTGCCCATTTCCTAACTTTACAAATAATTTCAGCTGTCCTGCATTGTAAAAAGCCATGTCACTGTAAAAGGTAGTTGTATGAAATAATTTTGTTACAAAAAATCGGCAAAATATTATATCCGTTTTTTTTATTTTCAGCCATTTTAGTTAACATTGATTTGTCCATCTGTCTCGCGAAATCCTCTTTTGGACCATTTGCTTAAAACCTCTGTCGATAGGATTCCAGTTTCAAGTTATTTTTGTTCAACATCAATACAAAAAACTCCCCTATGACTCCTGGTTCAAAAGCTTGCCTGATTTCAAAATGGTCGCCATTTTTGTCTCGCGAAATTCAATTTTGGCCCATTTCCTAGCTTTACAAATAATTTCAGGTGTCTTGCATTGCAAAAAGCCATGTCACTGTAAAGAGTAGTTGTATGAAATAATTTTGTTACAAATTATTGGCAAAAAATTATATCCGTTTTTTTTCAGCCATTTTAATTGACTGAGAGACAGATGGCTTGAAATAATTTTGTAACAAAAAATCAGCAAAAAATTATATCCGTTTTTTTTTCTGTAACCATGTGAGCCCAGTACCCACGGTACTAATTTTTTTTTTTAGCTTTAAAGTTTTTTATTATCATTTAAACAAAACAAATTACAAACACAGCAAGGGCCGAAGCAATGCATTATTGGCCCTGGTAGTCAAGAATTTATATAATGTAAAGTGAAGTTGCAATGAGATTTAAGGATCAACTCGATAATGCAGAACAGTATATAAAAATAAAAACTTACTCATTTAAAATAGTAACAATTAACTGCAGAAAACCTGCAGTCATTTCAACAATTTTCTGATTTGTCAGATACGATAATGAGCAATCACCGTATAACAAATAATTTACCCTGTCTTGCTGTCTGAGTTGACCAAACACGGTTAAATCAAAGGATGGCAGTTCCCCAAGTTCTTCCAAAAACAAGTTTTGCTGAACAATGAATAGAGGGCAGTGTAATAATAGGTGCATTGTAGACTGTGATCTAAAGCCACAATTACAACTTGGAATATCAATGCTTCTAAAATTATGTGTGAATAAATGCTGCCTAAAAATAAAGTCACATCGAGTCTTATTCAAAGTTGATTCAGTCTTCCTATCAAGATGCAATTTTGGAGTAGGTAGCTTTATTTTAGAATTTTGAATATGTTTCCTCAGGTTAAACTTAAAACAATTTCTAGATTGGATAGCTTTCAAATCACCAGGCAGTTTCTCCCATGCTGTTATACAAGATATCACTGTACCCTTTCTGATCTTGGCCTTACAGTGAGCTGGTATTCTAAAAGATCTGACTCTGCGTAACCGATTTCCATTATTCATTACATTGTGACATTACATCGCAGTTCAGTGAACTGAAAAAATCCATTAAATTTGTTTGAGAGGTTTAATTTAATTCTACCAAATGACAAGATCTATGTTGCAGTTCAGTATTATATAAATCAATATCAAAATACAACAGAAAGCACTTATTGAAATATTTGATAGTTTTACAGTACAACAACAGTTATTGGCTGCAAGTCAATAAATTGAATTAAGATTAAGTTCATATATCAAATTGCATATATAACAATATACTGTTCCGTAATTTCCCCAACATTAAAGCAATTGGCATGCAGCACACCTGAGATTTTGAATATAGGCTTGCTCCACCTGAAAGTCCATTTGCACTCACTATGAAATGACAAAGAATCATGAAAAATTGCATATTTTGACCAATTTATTTTGTTGAATTGAATCCATTTACCAGGAAAACACTGTAGTTCAGCGGTATAGATATTATTTCTAAAAACTATTAACAGTTGAAGCTAATCTTAAATTTGATAAGCTATAAAACTCAATAATGTCATTAAATTCAAATATTTATAGTTTTACAGTAAATCGGTGAATAGCTTAATTAATAATTAATTCACAAAAAATGATTAATAACTTTATTATAAATGTGAATTTCATAGATCAAAGTGTACATATAATGTTGATTTTAAGAAACCTAAAATCATCCCAAAATTTGCAAAAATTATTATACAGTAGCTATATAAATTATAAAATCAATACATGTACGGAATGTATTGTATAGATCTGAAATGCTAATAAATAGATTTACAGTAAGCCAGTGAATAAACCACTTTAAGGTCACGGTGATCTTTGCAACCATATACAAATACAGTATACTCAGTGACCAGGCTGGCTGTTCACATAAAAAATAAACTCTTAATTCAGTAAACAACTTATTTATAACAACATCTTTTGAATTAAAGGTAAGAATATATTCATATATTGTTAGATGTTGGCGAGAATCTTGCAGAGTAAGTTCGCATCTACGTATCTGGGATACATTTTATTAATACATACAATAGGTCAGATTGAGGTATGTTGTATATGGAGCAAATAATTGATATATTATTAATCAGGTAAGTGGTGAAACCCCTGGTTTACATGGTTCTCCTTCAAGATATTATAGTTGGGAGACTTCTCCTAAAGGAAACAGTGTATATGCAGGAATGTACTAAAAACCCTTCGAATTTTTATAAAAACCCTTCGACCTTCTAGATATTTCTCAGTCCATATGAAGTTGCTGGAAATATTACTTTGTGTGTAGAACTTAAGAATCTGTCCCAAGAGAGTTAAAGATATTTAAAGCTGGACTTCGATCGGAGCTGGCGACATGATTTTGGAAAGGTTTCTAAATGAAGAATGTGACGTCACTTCCGAATCATAGCATTCAAAATGAGTAGCGTTTAATTACCTCTACCATTCATAAAATCACGGTGGTCTAGCGGAAGAATGCTTGCTTAGCACGCGGGAGGCCCGGGTTCGAATCCCGCATTCGCCTTTTTATTTTTTAACTAAATGATTGTTCTTTGACATTACGCAGATAATTTTTTTTATTTACATAAACTTTATATTAGAGCTTGAAAATGTAAAAACAATATATGTCAACATATTGCGTTTTGGAGCGATGTGCAGGTTTAATGTATTCAAGCACATTCGAATGTGAACGTTTCTTACCTCCTCAGTAAAAATATTTGTGCTTTTCCCATCACATTGTAACAGTGGCGCATCGTGCATATTTTCAGGAGGTCAAATTTTTTATATAGTTAAAGAGAACCGTCTTTTGATTTTATCAACTTTGATTCAATTTGGATTTGTATAGTTAAGAATCTAATGCCAACTAAATAAGTAGATTCTTTGTTTTGCATCCTACAAAATCCAAAGCATACGAGGTTCGGAGTGGCTCCAGGACCGTCGGTTCTGAAGACTGTCCAGGGGTATTTGCTGGGGTACTGACAATTGTCGGCACTCTATCGTCACCTAGTAGTGCCAGATAGAGAACCGATTGTCGGTACTCAAGTGGCTGCTACGTGTTTTTGCTAGAGAGCCGACAATTTCATAAATAAATCCACTACTTTTACTTTTCGAAATAACCTCATCACTGGTAGCCTAGTGGTTAGGGAGCACGATTGAACACACTCGGTCCCGAGTTCGAATCCCGGCAGAACCTACTTTTTTCTTTTGAGGGGGGGGGGGCAAAGTGCTTCTTTTGCAGTATGGAATCGTGCAGGCATTAACTTGTAGTGAGCCATAATTTATTTCGAAAAAAATTGAAGCTTACCCCCCATAGTGTTATATATTAAAGTGCACCTGTCCATAAAGGGGTTCGATTGACCTACATCAAATTATAGGGAGTCAGGTTACTTTTTGAGATATCAGCGTCCGTTTATTGTAACTTGCGTTTGCTACCACTTCCTCAATTCTGATATGACGGGCAAACGCGTAGTAAACATGCTCACGTTCGGAACTATTTTCACCTACATCGCTATTTTCGTAATTCAAATGAAAGTTGAACTCCTCTTTATTTTGATACCAAATAGTGGCATACTAGGTACCCTAGAAGCCAACTATGGGTTATTTAGAATGATACCACAGGTTTTTAAATGGACTATATAGGGGTCATACCTTTTGGCGGATGGATATGGAACCTCATACCATAAGCTTCAAATAAAAAACATTCTAGCTATTTTCTTCTATCTAATGGGTAGCAAACGCCCCTTTCTACGCCTGATCGGCTCAGGAGAAATATCCTGTCTGTTTAGAATATATATAGCCGTTTACATGCTATTGGGTTTTCAACGTTTACTACCATTCCCCGTTCCCGGGCTACCATTTTTTGACTGGGTTTGGTAATCCCCGGGTAACCGGGGCTAATGCCCTCCCCGGGTTTTGCACTTGTTCCCAAAATATCCGTATGATATCTGAAATATCCCCCGCGCATTGCGCATGCGCCAGAAAATTCGAAAATCAATATTTGTCGGTCCTCTAGCGTGTAAACACAGCATATCTCCCGTACCGACAATTTATTTGTCGGTCCTCTAGCGTGCCACCACATCAGAGTCTAGAGTACCGACAATTGTCGGTACTCTAGCCTTTACGATATTTATTAGAAACAGATATGAAACATTTCAGAACTAGATAACAGCAACGCGAGGTGGAGCAAATCCCATCGAACTTTTGATCTCAAAATCGTTCAACTACTTTTCAAGTTTTAGTAAAAAAGTAAAATAAGTATAATATTTTTGCTGTGTAGACGAACTTTTTTAGAAATTTTTCTACTGAAACATTTTTGCTTGACAATTACCAGGTAAAATGCGTATTTGCGTGCACAGGGAGCTCAAGTTGGAACTATACGTAATCATTTAGTAAACTGGACTGGGAAATCAGAGGTCAAAGGGTTTTTCAATAAAATATATTCCAAAAATTCTTGACACCCAGTAAGTCGTAGGGTCGAAGGGTCGTAGGTCGAAGGGTTTTTAGTACATTCCGTATATGCAGACCTTTTCATGTATTTTGAGCAGCAAGTGTGTTACAGCTTAAAAACTGACGCAGGAAAATGGATTGCTAAACTGGATTCAAGATTATTTATAAATTCTCAACAGGATTCAGTGTCAGGGTAATATCCAGGATTTTGTGTTAGGGGTGGGGGGGGGTGGGAGGCGATTGATGTTAACTGTGAGCGAAGCAAACAAGCGCAAGAATTTGGTGCATTCTGACCAATTTCAGAGGGTAGGTCCAATTCCCTGGTCTGATTTCAGTGTATGCAATACGCTATTGACAATCCATAACCATCTATTTTGATTTCAAGTTAAAATTCTTTTTAGGGGCTGGGGAGGAGGGGAGGGCGTGCACCCTCCCCCCCCCATGCCCCCATCTAGATCCACTGGTGAAGGTAATTTATAAATTATTGAATGGATACCCATACACAGGGAATACTGACCATCTGATAAGTCCTGTAACTATTCTGACTCAAGTTTCAAATATGTTGTTTAAACATCATCAGATTTTATCAGAATTGAATTCAGCCTATTACAAGGTAGGCCTAATTTTCAATATTTTCAGTGCTCAGGTACCCTGGGATAAGATGGCTAGTAGTTGTTACAGATCTAGAACATGAAGCTCTAGTCTAGCTACAATCCCTTGTTACCCCCCCCCCCCCACACTACAAAAAGTGTGTGAAAAGGTGTTAATTTAAGTAGAGCAGTCAGGCCCGTAGTCAAGGTTCTCCAAGGGTGGTTCACTTTTTATGAAATTCCAGGGGTTCAGTTTTGGCCAAAATTACTTGAATAGTACTCAAAATGGTGAAAAACTGCATGATTTTGAAAGAAGTGGCTTGTAGCTAGACTAGTGAAACTCTTTTTGAAGATCCAAAATTGTATTCTTAAAAAAGGTAACCTAACAGGTGCTGCTCATCACTAGATAGGCAGAAATAGAAATAAACTGTTGTTATCTATTGTACAGTAAAACCTTTAAATGGAACACTTTTCATGCTATCTATCAATAGGCAGGAATTACAAGAGTTTATAGTACAGTAAAACTTGTGAAGTGGAACACCTCTGAAGTGGAATATCTCTTAAAAGTGGAACACCTCCCTACTTGGAACACTTTTTAATATTATCCCATCACCAGCATGGAGTTATTCAGTGGTGACTGACATTGCAGGCCCGTAGCCAGAATTTCTCCAAGGGGGGGGTCACTTTTCCAAGAAATTCTAGGGGGGGGGGTTCCCTCAAAAAATCAGAATGGTGAAAAACTGCATGATTTTGAAAGAAAATTTTGGCCAGGGGGGATATATAAATGTTCTACTGTTTTCAGGCAGCTGACATTGATGAAAAATTCAAATTAGTTCAGTGAATGAGCTTTTTAAAGATGTAACAATCTTTTAAGCTATCACTAAGGTGTTCCACTTTAACTGTATTAACTGGTTTAACTGTATAACTTCTAAGTAATTATTATCTGTTTCCAGGCACTTCCTCGGTGGCAGCTGACATTGAAAGAAATTTCCCACCTGATAAACAAGCAGTTTGGAATATTCAGCATATAAACAGATGAAACCTGACATTGTTAGGCTACAAATGCAATATTCACCTCTAAAGTATCAGATCTAGCAGGAACAACAGTGCCACCACAAAGGTACCACAACAATAGTGCCAAAGACAAGAATACCACAACAAAGGTACCTCATAATAATACCAATAATTATTTCACTACAAGGGACTGGGAGTCAAAAATACCACCACAATAGTAACAACACGATAGTACTAACATAAAGGTACCACCACAATAGTATCAACACAAAAGTACCAACACAAAGGTACTACCACAATAGTACCAATTCCAGCTATTGAAGCTGGCAGGAAATGGGCATTATATTTGACAAGGAGAAGGAGGTGATTGAACCAAAACCAAACAACACTGACACTTCAGAAGACGTAGAGGACTCCGGCCGTGGTCATAACAATATCGATAACAATATGAGAGGCTCAACACCAGTAGACCCCTGGGGGTCAGGCTTAGGAGAGAGCGATGTTAAGCCTGTCGGTAAGAGAATTAGAACTGTGGCGATGAGACTAGGAGAAAAATCAGAGGAAATTATCGTCTTAGGAACTGAGTTGGCTGTGAAGCTTTATAGGTAAGTTAAGAGTCTACGTATTGTAAATTTTTTTTGAAAATGCTAAAAATGAAGTCTTCTTGTATCTATGGTAATATCATTTGCATTTGTTAAAGCCTTGCTAATAGACTGTTTCACGATAGTTCAGAATGACATGAATGTTTTAACCCAATGTTAAAGAGCTCTTATTTCTCTTTTATCTATCTTGCCCTTTTGGATTCTGACTTTCTCCTGTCTGGTTACCATAATTCTGAGTTAACAGAAAGAGGAATGTTATGTAATTATCTAAGGCTCACATATTGATCAAACGAGTGAGTGGTGCTGCTATTAAAACAGAGTGGTAAAATTATAAAACTGAGTGGTGCCATTCTACTTTGCCTCCTTCTTTATATAGATACTAGAGGTGTCAAGTATTAACCGGTTAACCGGTTAACCGCCGATAATGCCTTGACCGGTCTGTGTTTTTATGGGCGGTTAGTTGACCGTGTATAATTCTGTGATTTCCCGCGCTTATTTTGCATGCTAATCCGTTTGGTTTTATGGTGTCAGTTTCACGTAAGCTACTCATACATGTCATAAGTCCTATAACTCCTTACAAACATCCAATCAGCAACTTTAATCCCTGCCACATTGCTTTCCCGCGCTTACTTTGCATTTTAATCTGTTTGTTTTTCAATCGTCAGTTTCATGTGAGCTACTCATACATGTGATAGGTCCGATAATTCCTTACAAACATCCAATCAGCAACTTTAATCCCCCGTTTAATCCCTGCCACATTGCTTTCCCGCGCTTACTTACATAGAATAGAGTAAAGCTTGACGAACGTAAAAAATAAACATATATCATTTTTCCAATTTGTTTCAACTTTCAAGATCGAAGATGAAGATTTCATTTGAAATTATCAGTTCAAATTTCCCGCCGGTTAACCGACTTTAACCGGTAAAAACCCCCGGTTAACCGGTTAATGCTCAAGCGGTTAATTGACACCACTAATAGATACACATTACACAAGACAGGCCCAAATCAGGGAGCGGAAGCTTCCCCTTACCAGAATTTTTTTCAAAATCATGAAGTTTTTCACCATTCTGAGCACTTTTTCATGATTTTTTATCCAAAACTGTCAAAAGGCCCTCTTTGGTGAAAGCTCCCCCTTGGTAAAATCTGGCTATGGGCAAGCAAGTTATACAGAGCTTTAATGTCTTCTAAAGATTTTAGGGGCTGTGGAACCCAGCACAGGTTGGTGTTTTTTCTAAAGAAAGTGTCATAAAGTTATGTATGCCATGCCCGTAGTCAGCTTTTGTAGAGGGGGCTTAAGAAAGGGGGTGGTTCAACAGTGACATGGACAAAGGAGGACGGAAAGTATCACAAAAGATTTCAGACAGTGATATGTTGGATTTGGGCTATTTTCTGGGGATTTTAACAGGTGCATGTTAGGCCAATGCATTACCTTCAGGAAAAGCACCCATAGAGATGATTAGATAATTTCGGTTTTGAGACAGGGTAGATGCAAACAACCCACCCACACAGTGATATCCCCAGGATTTTTTCTCCAGCGGGTGCAGAATTCTCATTTTCACATTTCAGACCAAAATTGGTCAAAATATGCCAATTTTTCTCATTTTCAAGTGGGGGAAATGGTTTAAGGTGGGTGCAAGCCTATTTTCAAAATCTCAGGTGGGTGGTGTGCCCTCTTGCTTGGGGATATCACTGCCACATGCTTTTGCTGAATTGTCCTCTTCGATAAATTGGAAACCCTTATTTCCCATATGAAAAACTCATGCAATCCATTGTTTTCAGCTTAATATTGGTCACCCATAATTGATATCTTTAAAACCCTTGAAGGAATTACTTATTCATTTAAAGGGAAATGCTCAGAATCATGAAAAACTGCATGTTTTTCTTTTATTCCACCATGAGATAATGAGTACGATATTACATATGAAATTCTGTATATTAATTTATCCTATGCCAAGTAGAGTTTTAGGGAGATAAGTTGGTAAGATATATCCCGTATCCTGATTTTGAGGTTTCCATATCCAGAACCTCCATATCTCCCGCCATATCTCCTGCTTCGATGCATATCTTCCCGCTTCAGTGCATATCTTCCCGCTTCCAGTAAGTAGTGGAAATGCAATAAAATGACTTTGCATATGAATGATTTGTTCATTTTTACACCTTGTATTATTGAAATGCCCATATGCCCCTGAAAACTCTACTTGGTATAGGATAAAGCAGTTATGTACGGTCGGTTTGGATATTGGGTTCATCCCTTGTGAGATATGCACATCTACCTTTGGTCCCTACGGTCCTTCAGGTAGATATGCATATCTCCCTCTGGATAAACCCCATATCCAAAACCTCCCAGTACATAACCCTTATATATTTCAGCCTTGCTCCGAGTCACTCAACTTTATTCTCCATTGAAAAGACAGACAATGTTACTCTAAGGTTTAACAAAGGGGAATCTGATAGTAATGAAATTCTGTATATTAATATATTTCAGCCTTGCTCCTAGTCACTCAACTTCATTCTCCATTGAAAAGACAGACAATGTTACTCTAAGGTTTAACAAAGGGGAATCTGACAGTAATGAAATTCCTGGTAGCGGGATGAGTGGCAGCATGTTCTCTCGTGATGCAGTTGTTTACATCTCTATAGCAACCGTCAGCAACATGTGGAATGATTCCCAGGTAACTTTATAACTATCTTATCTTCTTGAAAACATGTTTTCATGCAGAAATAAAGTTTAGGCTTAGGGATTTCCTCCAAAGTGTAAAATTAAAGATAGTTTTTCCACTCGAACCCCAATATGATGAAATCCAACGATAAACTTTTTCACTTTTATGTTAACATTTTTTTTCTTCAAAATTATAATTGTTTACACTCCATTCCTTGGAGCTATGATTAGCTTTTCAACACTACTTTGATTAGACTTTTGTTTGCCCCCCTTGTAAGAAACGTCAACATTTGTCTTTCACTGGGATGTTCCGAAATTCAACCCTATTCACTAATGAAACCATCATTTACCCCCTCCCCTAATGAAACTAGCTTTGTTACTCCACAACTCTTGATAATTGAACACGATCCATAAGACTATTCTACTTTTTTGTTTCCAGGTCAAGTTTGAGTTCAAGGCAGCCAATGGGGAAGTGGCGGGAGAAAGTCTCCTTCTACTGACATCTATTGCATTATCATTGGATGCAGATATTAACAGAAATGGTTCAGTTGAGGAGACATTTGAAGTTGACAAGGTAAAAAGTTTTGTTGAATACAACGTTATTTTGACTGCTGTCACAGTATTAAACCTATGCATTTCATTGTTTTGTATTGCAATACATACGAGGGTTGTCCCAGAAGTAATTGAAGAATATTAAAGAAAGTTAGAGCATATAGTGCATTTCTTCTGGGACAACCCTCGTATTATTGTATCATATTACATTTATCAACGATGAATTTAAACTCAATCAGTAAATATCAAGAGAAGATAATTCTGGTAAACTGTGACTTCGAGTAAGATTAATTTCTGATCAGTTGATATGAGGATCTAATATTCAGGAATTATTTAATCATTGAAGTAAACAAATATCTTTATGTCCATTGTCCATTCAGAATTGCTCCAGGATGCTTACTAAAATCAAATATAGTTAGGCAAAATGACATTGTTTTATGAAATTGACCTTCTATGAATCTTCTTTCCAAAGCAGCTGGACTAAGTGACCAATCAGCTAGGGAGCGATCATTCTTGTATATTTTAACTTTATTGGGAGCGATCACTCCTGTGAATTGTAACTGTTCTATTTCCAAAGCAGCTGGACTTGAGGCCGAGTAGGGAGTGATCATTCTGGTAAATTGTAATGGTGAATGAATTTTCTTTTCAGAGTCGCTGGACTTGGGGACCAAATGGCCAGGGAGCGATCATTCTGGTGAATTGTGACAATGAAAGTGTACGAGCCGATGGTGAGAGAGATACAGAAGACCTTTGGAGAAATGGAAAGGATGATTTACTTGACATGAGCATGCTCGTTATAAACTTTAGAGGCCCAAATCTAGAGGAAAGTGGTCTACCAAGAGACTATAGGTACACTCCCCTCCAAAACTTTGGCAACCCCTAACTCCACATCAGATAGCACCTTAAAGCCTGTTTCCGGGTGACTTTGTTCTTTCATAGTTTCTCTCAAATTAAAGGTCGGGAATCTTTGACAAAGAGCCTGTTTTGACAAAGCAAATGATTTCAGCCAGTCATATCTTGAATATTATCTGTTGTATATCCGTTATCTCAAAGAAAATCAAATACAATGATAACTAAGTCAATCCAACTGTGATAATAGAGTGGCAATCAACCACACATTGTATCAAAAAAAATATCTTTTTAGCGTCTGTCTTCACACAAGGTTGTAACTGAAATATCATAAAATGGTGTACTCAAATCATGCAAAACTTCTCTAATCTGAACACCACTTGGATTGGCCAAAAGTGTTGAGATTAGCAAGTATTCACATTTCAAGATTTTCTTAATATGTAAGTTAGTGGGAGACCAATAAAGTGTTCACATTGAGAGGTTTTTCATTTCAGACTTCGACTGCTCACTAGCATTGAGACTTCTACTAAGGTTGGCATATACAGTTTAGAAGGAACTCCATTATGGGGAAGTGTTCACATTGAGAGGTTTTTCATTTCAGACTCCAACTGCACACTAGCATTGAGACTTCTACTAAGGTTGGCATATACAGCTTAGAAGGAACTCCATTCTTAAGTGTTCACATTGAGAGGTTTTTCATTTCAGACTCCGACTGCACACTAGCATTGAGACTTCTACTAAGGTTGGCGTATACAGCTTAGAAGGAACTCCATTCTTAAGTGTTCACATTGAGAGATTTTTCATTTCAGACTCCGACTGCACACTAGCATTGAGACTTCTACTAAGGTTGGCGTATACAGCTTAGAAGGAACTCCATTCCATTCTTAAGTGTTCACATTGAGAGGTTTTTCATTTCAGACTCAGACTGCACACTAGCATTGAGACTTCTACTAAGGTTGGCATATACAGCTTAGAAGGAACTTCATTCTTAAGTGTTCACATTAAGAGGTTCTTCATTTCAGACTCCGACTGCACACTAGCATTGAGACTTCTACTAAGGTTGGCGTATACAGCTTAGAAGGAACTCCATTCTTAAGTGTTCACATTGAGAGGTTTTTCATTTCAGACTCCGACTGCACACTAGCGTTGAGACATCTACAAAGGTTGGCATATACAGTTTAGAAGGAACTCCATTCTGGGATTCAAAGAGACAAGTCATTGGCAAAAAACGCAAACAGGTAAACTACAGAAAAACCTGTCTTATACAAATGCTACTGGAACCAGCCAAAGAGGTGTTCAGATATTAAAGTTTTCATGTCACCTGTATCATGCATCTGTAACATATGGCAGGTGGTGACGTTTTGCATATAAATACCTTGTTTAACAATACTACTGGTAAGCTATGGCATATAAGGAAATGGGACAGAGTGTTCAGACATACAATATTCTAATGCCTGGGTCACATTTGCTCCGATTCATCGGCCGGCGTGTGAGTATCCTGTTCACAAGTGTATTCAGTTTTGAACAGAATACTCAATCGGCCGGGCACCGTCCAATGAATCGGAGCAAATGTGACCCAGGCATTAGTATGTACATTATTATATTATCACAACATTACTGTATTACAACATTACTGTATTACAACATTATTGCATTAACACATTCTTGTTCTGCTTTCAGGTTGAGATATCATTTCAGAAGTTAAATCTTCTAAGAGATGGTCAAGTTAGGTTTGCAGTAGAAGGAATACAATACCCAGACTATGATTTTGATGGCATTGTCCCAATTCACCTGTCTCTCTTTCAAGTAAGTGAATATGGAAAGCTGTCTAATCCAAACGTCACATCATAGATTGAAGATTCTGATGAATGAGATAACATATTATCCAGCCTACATTATGCTAATTCTTATGTAAAAGGTAAATAGAAGCTGAGCAGTCAATTCCATTAGTCAATTAAGGGCCATTAACTATGGTTTAAAGGGAGTCTGACCAATGAGATCCTGGAGTAAAACGAACAAATCATCTGATTGTGCGCTGGATTTAACGTGCACCAATCAGATGATTTGTTTGTTTTTCGGATAGAAAAGTGGGAAACGAGTATACAAACGTTACTGGAACCAGCCAAAAGTGTTCAAATTGTGAATAAAGTAACTTATTTACTGTATAAGGAACCAATCAGGGTTAAGGAGATATACATATTGTCATAACTTTATTTTCCCCAGGTCGAGGATGACGTCCAGTTGCCCATCTTTAAAGACACCGTAACATTCCGAGTCAGTCCCTGGATAATGACTCCAAATAATCTCAAACCCAAAGAGGTTTTTGTTTGTGAAATGAGATCACAGAAAAGTCGTAATTTTGTTGAAAATCTGAGAGAGCTAACGAAAGAAGTAGGGGTGAACCTTACGGTAGTTAAACCAGGCCACAACCGAGGAGACCGTTGGATGCAGGTAAGTAATGAGTCCTTCCTTTTGAAAATAGTGATCACCATGGTAATTCATCGACTTCAGCTCAGTGTTAAAATGGCTGTCTGCTCATGCTTATTTTAATGGATATCTCTTTAAAATTTGAATGAACTGCCTGATTTTCTTGCATTTCTATACAATTTAGAGTGTTAACTAGTACATGCCTGTTTACTTTATTCCTTGCTAATTCCACTCATTTCTCTCTAAAATTTGAATGAAGTGTCTGATTTTCTTGCATTTCTATACAATTTAGAGTGTTAACTACATGCCTGTTTTGTTTATTTCTTGCTAATTCCACTCTTTTCCACTCTATTTTGCATTTCAAACCGTGACTACCATGATATTTTATGTCTTTTAGGATGAGATAGAGTTTGGATACAGTGAAGCCCCACACAAGTATATGCCAGTTGTACTAGACTCTCCTAGAGATCGTGGATTGACAAACTACCCAATCTTTTCTCTACTGGTATGTGTAGTGGACTAAATATTCTTTATTAAATTAATTTCTAGCTATAGTGGAAATGAGGTATCTTTCTTAAATTTCTGTACAATTTAGATTTGTCAACTACATTCCTGATGCAAAACTTCATGCAGTAAAACCTGCCAAATCCATTTGCCTTAAGGATTTCAGATTTGCAGGTTTTCTTATTTTATGGCTATTTAACTCCTTTTCGCTTATTTACGAGTTTTTACGACTTTTTGAATTTCCAGCCATTGTCAGCTGCCACGCCCCCCCCCCCCCCCTAACTTGCCCCGGGAGCATTTTTTGTCCAGTAGAATTAACACTTTTTTTTCCGTCTATAATCGATCAATAAACAATTTTATGAACAAAAATCTTTGGGTAGCTTTTTCATCATCAGAGTCAGAGGACAATTCTGACTCAAATTCAATCTTCTCATGTTTTTCAGGATTATCTTCAGCAGAAAGGAGTTAAACAATTAAGAAATATAGACCAAAGAGCAGGGTTTCTAGTTTCGAATAACACCCCGATGGTCTTGGCACAAACGTTTTCTGTACCCCGAACGACCGAAGGGAGTGAGGGGTTCGAAAGCCTTTGTGCCGAGACCAGCGGGGTGTTATTCGAAACTAGTAACCCTGCTCTGAGGTCTATATTACGATTCGAACATGAAAACTCACCAAATTGTTTCGAATATTCATCATGGTCCGCCATTACTACGACCCACCGTTATGACGTCACACATTACACGTATTAACTGTGTTATTGATCTCGAATATAACCCAGCTGAAGCATTGACTTCATTTACAGTTTATAGAAGGCGTGAATACAGTCATGTTCGAATGCTTAATCTTTCGCAGATTAGAGCATGGAACCAAAATAGTGTTCACATTGAGAGGTGTTCATATACGAGATTACAGTATCGTATACAGATTTTACTGTATTCTGATTGCTTTCTTTGTAGGGCAAAGACTTTGGTTACGTCACTAGAGAGACTTATTTAGAAGAGCCTAATTCACTCGACTCATTCGGGAACCTTGAAGTTAGTCCACCAGTTAAAGTAAATGGGGTCAGTTTCCCATTTGGCAAGATTTTGATTGGAGGAACTTTACCAGGGTAAGACATCAGGCCCCGAGCTAGTTTTTACCAAGTGGGGTGTCAGTTTTAAAATCTAAAAATTCCAGGTTGGGTTAAAAGACACATTTAGAATGGTGGCTCTGGTCAATAATATTCCATTGGTCCATCCAATACCTATGGAAATATCATATTATCCCTATAAAACCCATATTCAATTCCTGTCCAGGAAATAACATCCATATATTTCATCTATATACTGAATAGCTGTTTTATGTCATTACATTCATTGAACGGTATGATAAAACCATTTCTCTATAATGATTTATAGGGCGTTCAATGAGAGAAGGATGCTAAAAGTGATCAGGAATTTTCTGTCAGCCCAGAAAGTTCAGCCTCTTGTAGAACTGTTTTCTGATTGGCTGACTGTAGGCCATATTGATGAGTTCATGACCTTCGTTCCAACCAATGACAAGAAGGTATGATAATATCAATGAAAAAAGGCAGTCATACTCAATAAAGTGGAGAAAATATCCAAAGATGAACCTTTGTCTGTGCATCCTTTCTTTATTTTTATATATTTATATTGAGATCCCCTCTTGACTCCACAGAAATATTTCCGTAAATCCCAATTATAATATGCCAAAATGAGGAAAACAGTTTGAAACCCAGTTTTACTGTATAAATGATATGGACCAAAGGGTCAACATGGTAACCATGGCAACTGAAGGATGTTAAGTCAAGGACCTTTATTAATGAAACCAGTGTAAGAGAGTAGTAAGAGAGCACTGTGGCACCTATCCTCCAAACTGGAACAAAATTCAGGCCCGTAGCCAGGGGTGGGGGGCAGACTGATTGGAAAATAATTCTTTTAATTATAGTTTGTTTGGTGGATGATATATTCGTACAAAACATTTTGAAAGATCCAAAAACTTTTTTTTTTCATGTTATCGATTTATTTCTAATAATAACATAGATATACACAGTCAGCTGATTGCCAAATTTCTTTCAACAATAGTGGCAATTAAAAAGACTAAAGACCAAATACTATTATTGCAGAGTTTCAAGCTACTCATGGCAAGTCCCGACTGCTGTTATTCGATTCTTAAGAAGTTGAACCGAGAAGGACACGGTGAACTAGTATTGTTTGAAGGTATGCCGTTTTTCATTTGTCACCTGTTCCCATAATAGTTGAACTTTATACCCATCTTTAAATATTTGAAATCTTAATTGTTTATTTAGTTGTAATAAAACCCGAACAAGCATTTCAGTCATTGGCCATATAAAGTAAGTTTTATTTGTTTTTATTAATATTTAGTGCACATCTTACTAATATAAGGGCCCTATGGAACATATGATTTAAAATATCTACCAAATTCATTTCAAAAAGTCAGTTATACAAATATCAAAATGTCTCAAATATGTGAAATGTGACTGTAAAATATGACTAAATAAAAAACATGACTAAAATGTGTGAAGTATGAGAAACACTTGAGAAATATTTGACACATGACTGAAATATTTGACATGTGACTGAAGTATTTGACACATGACTGAAATATTTGACATGTGACTGAAGTATTTGACACATGACTGAAATATTTGACACATGACTGAAGTATTTGACACAAGACTGAAATATTTGACTCATGACTAAAATATATAAAGCATGACTAAAATATGAAAAAAAAGATGCTGAAGTATATGAAAAATGTTCACAGAAATATGTAAATCATGACTAAAAAAAATATTGCAGGTAAAAAAAGTGACGCAGATGGTCTAGTAAATGCCGAGAGGACTGTGAAAGACCTACTGAGAGATACAGACCTAGACAAATACAATAAAACGAAACAGGTATGGAAATTCTACATATTAATTATTATCTCCATTAGATATATACAACAGGGGTTTCAATAGTGGTGACAATACTATAGACTAACTTTTTGTGGATGATGTTTGGTGTTTGGTGTCTGTAATGAATGGCAGGTGTTGCGTTTTGCATCTTAGTGCCTTGTTCTTGACTTCTTTTGATTCCTAGACTTGCCCATAAAACAGACAAAATACCTGGAGGGATCGTCTGTAAGATTTATTTTTCATGAAAACACACATTTTCACACATTTTCTCCATTTAACGAGATATTTCTTTTCCAGTGAATAATTACCACAGTTAAATACCAAGTGATCAATTAATTCAGTTATGTGTTAATAAGAGATTGATTCATATGTGAACATTTTATGATTCTACTTTTAGAGATATTTGGACTGGAACAGAGATACATTGAAAAGAGAGTTAGGCCTGACAGAAGATGTTATAGAATATGTGAAGTTTATTTGTAATTCTACTTTTAGTGATATCTGGACTGGAACAGGGATACATTGGAAAGAGAGTTAGGCCTGACTGAAGATGTTATAGAATATATGAAGTTTATTTGTAATTCTACTTTTAGAGATATTTGGACTGGAACAGAGATACATTGAAAAGAGAGTTAGGCCTGACTGAAGATGTTATAGAATATGTGAAGTTTATTTGTAATTCTGCTTTTATAGAGATATTTGGACTGGAACAGAGATACATTGAAAAGAGAGTTAGGCCTGACAGAAGATGTTATAGAACATGTGATGTTTATTTGTAATTCTACTTTTAGAGATATCTGGACTGGAACAGAGATACATTGAAAAGAGAGTTAGGCCTGACTGAAGATGTTATAGAATATGTGAAGTTTATTTGTAATTCTGCTTTTATAGAGATATTTGGACTGGAACAGAGATACATTGAAAAGAGAGTTAGGCCTGACAGAAGATGTTATAGAATATGTGAAGTTTATTTGTAATTCTACTTTTAGAGATATTTGGACTGGAACAGGGATACATTGAAAAGAGAGTTAGGCCTGACTGAAGATGTTATAGAACATGTGATGTTTATTTGTAATTCTACTTTTAGAGATATTTGGACTGGAACAGGGATACATTGAAAAGAGAGTTAGGCCTGACTGAAGATGTTATAGAATATGTGAAGTTTATTTGTAATTCCACTTTTAGAGATATTTGGACTGGAACAGAGATACATTGAAAAGAGAGTTAGGCCTGACTGAAGATGTTATAGAATATATGAAGTTTATTTGTAATTCTACTTTTAGAGATATTTGGACTGGAACAGAGATACATTGAAAAGAGAGTTAGGCCTGACTGAAGATGTTATAGAACATGTGAAGTTTATTTGTAATTCTACTTTTAGAGATATTTGGACTGGAACAGAGATACATTGAAAAGAGAGTTAGGCCTGACTGGAGATGTTATAGAACATGTGAAGTTTATTTGTAATTCTGCTTTTAGAGATATTTGGACTGGAACAGGGATACATTGAAAAGAGAGTTAGGCCTGACTGAAGATGTTATAGAACATGTGAAGTTTATTTGTAATTCTACTTTTAGAGATATTTGGACTGGAACAGAGATACATTGAAAAGAGAGTTAGGCCTGACTGGAGATGTTATAGAACATGTGAAGTTTATTTGTAATTCTGCTTTTATAGAGATATTTGGACTGGAACAGGGATACATTGAAAAGAGAGTTAGGCCTGACTGGAGATGTTATAGAACATGTGAAGTTTATTTGTAATTCTGCTTTTATAGAGATATTTGGACTGGAACAGGGATACATTGAAAAGAGAGTTAGGCCTGACTGGAGATGTTATAGAACATGTGAAGTTTATTTGTAATTCTGCTTTTATAGAGATATTTGGACTGGAACAGAGATACATTGAAAAGAGAGTTAGGCCTGACTGGAGATGTTATAGAACATGTGAAGTTTATTTGTAATTCTGCTTTTATAGAGATATTTGGACTGGAACAGGGATACATTGAAAAGAGAGTTAGGCCTGACTGAAAATGTTATAGAACATGTGAAGTTTATTTGTAATTCTACTTTTAGAGATATTTGGACTGGAACAGGGATACATTGAAAAGAGAGTTAGGCCTGACTGAAGATGTTATAGAACATGTGAAGTTTATTTGTAATTCTACTTTTAGAGATATCTGGACTGGAACAGGGATACATTGAAAAGAGAGTTAGGCCTGACTGAAGAAGATGTTATAGAATATATGAAGTTTATTTGTAATTCTACTTTTAGAGATATTTGGACTGGAACAGAGATACATTGAAAAGAGAGTTAGGCCTGACTGGAGATGTTATAGAACATGTGAAGTTTATTTGTAATTCTACTTTTAGAGATATCTGGACTGGAACAGGGATACATTGAAAAGAGAGTTAGGCCTGACTGAAGATGTTATAGAATATATGAAGTTTATTTGTAATTCTACTTTTAGAGATATTTGGACTGGAACAGAGATACATTGAAAAGAGAGTTAGGCCTGACTGGAGATGTTATAGAACATGTGAAGTTTATTTGTAATTCTGCTTTTATAGAGATATTTGGACTGGAACAGGGATACATTGAAAAGAGAGTTAGGCCTGACTGAAGATGTTATAGAACATGTGAAGTTTATTTGTAATTCTACTTTTAGAGATATTTGGACTGGAACAGAGATACATTGAAAAGAGAGTTAGGCCTGACTGGAGATGTTATAGAACATGTGAAGTTTATTTGTAATTCTGCTTTTAGAGATATTTGGACTGGAACAGGGATACATTGAAAAGAGAGTTAGGCCTGACTGAAGATGTTATAGAACATGTGAAGTTTATTTGTAATTCTACTTTTAGAGATATTTGGACTGGAACAGAGATACATTGAAAAGAGAGTTAGGCCTGACTGGAGATGTTATAGAACATGTGAAGTTTATTTGTAATTCTGCTTTTATAGAGATATTTGGACTGGAACAGGGATACATTGAAAAGAGAGTTAGGCCTGACTGGAGATGTTATAGAACATGTGAAGTTTATTTGTAATTCTGCTTTTATAGAGATATTTGGACTGGAACAGGGATACATTGAAAAGAGAGTTAGGCCTGACTGGAGATGTTATAGAACATGTGAAGTTTATTTGTAATTCTGCTTTTATAGAGATATTTGGACTGGAACAGAGATACATTGAAAAGAGAGTTAGGCCTGACTGGAGATGTTATAGAACATGTGAAGTTTATTTGTAATTCTGCTTTTATAGAGATATTTGGACTGGAACAGGGATACATTGAAAAGAGAGTTAGGCCTGACTGAAGATGTTATAGAACATGTGAAGTTTATTTGTAATTCTACTTTTAGAGATATTTGGACTGGAACAGGGATACATTGAAAAGAGAGTTAGGCCTGACTGAAGATGTTATAGAATATATGAAGTTTATTTGTAATTCTGCTTTTAGAGATATTTGGACTGGAACAGAGATACATTGAAAAGAGAGTTAGGCCTGACCGAAGATGTTATAGAACATGTGATGTTTATTTGTAATTCTGCTTTTATAGAGATATTTGGACTGGAACAGGGATACATTGAAAAGAGAGTTAGGCCTGACTGGAGATGTTATAGAACATGTGAAGTTTATTTGTAATTCTGCTTTTATAGAGATATTTGGACTGGAACAGGGATACATTGAAAAGAGAGTTAGGCCTGACAGAAGAAGATGTTATAGAATATATGAAGTTTATTTGTAATTCTACCTTTAGAGATATTTGGACTGGAACAGAGATACATTGAAAAGAGAGTTAGGCCTGACTGAAGAAGATGTTATAGAATATATGAAGTTTATTTGTAATTCTACTTTTAGAGATATTTGGACTGGAACAGAGATACATTGAAAAGAGAGTTAGGCCTGACAGAAGAAGATGTTATAGAATATATGAAGATTATTTGTAATTCTACTTTTAGAGATATTTGGACTGGAACAGAGATACATTGAAAAGAGAGTTAGGCCTGACTGGAGATGTTATAGAATATGTGAAGTTTATTTGTAATTCTGCTTTTATAGAGATATTTAGACTGGAACAGGGACACATTGAAAAGAGAGTTAGGCCTGACAGAAGATGTTATAGAATATGTGAAGTTTATTTGTAATTCTACTTTTAGAGATATTTGGACTGGAACAGGGATACATTGAAAAGAGAGTTAGGCCTGACTGAAGATGTTATAGAATATATGAAGTTTATTTGTAATTCTGCTTTTATAGAGATATTTGGACTGGAACAGAGATACATTGAAAAGAGAGTTAGGCCTGACTGAAGATGTTATAGAATATATGAAGTTTATTTGTAATTCTACTTTTAGAGATATTTGGACTGGAACAGACATACATTGAAAAGAGAGTTAGGCCTGACAGAAGAAGATGTTATAGAATATATGAAGTTTATTTGTAATTCTACTTTTAGAGATATTTGGACTGGAACAGGGATACATTGAAAAGAGAGTTAGGCCTGACAGAAGAAGATGTTATAGAATATATGAAGTTTATTTGTAATTCTACTTTTAGAGATATTTGGACTGGAACAGAGATACATTGAAAAGAGAGTTAGGCCTGACAGAAGAAGATGTTATAGAATATATGAAGTTTATTTGTAATTCTACTTTTAGAGATATTTGGACTGGAACAGAGATACATTGAAAAGAGAGTTAGGCCTGACAGAAGAAGATGTTATAGAATATATGAAGTTTATTTGTAATTCTACTTTTAGAGATATTTGGACTGGAACAGAGATACATTGAAAAGAGAGTTAGGCCTGACAGAAGAAGATGTTATAGAATATATGAAGTTTATTTGTAATTCTACTTTTAGAGATATTTGGACTGGAACAGAGATACATTGAAAAGAGAGTTAGGCCTGACTGAAGAAGATGTCATAGAATATATGAAGTTTATTTGTAATTCTGCTTTTAGAGATATTTGGACTGGAACAGAGATACATTGAAAAGAGAGTTAGGCCTGACTGAAGAAGATGTTATAGAATATATGAAGTTTATTTGTAATTCTGCTTTTAGAGATATTTGGACTGGAACAGAGATACATTGAAAAGAGAGTTAGGCCTGACTGAAGAAGATGTTATAGAATATATGAAGTTTATTTGTAATTCTACTTTTAGAGATATTTGGACTGGAACAGAGATACATTGAAAAGAGAGTTAGGCCTGACTGAAGATGTTATAGAATATATGAAGTTTATTTGTAATTCTACTTTTAGAGATATTTGGACTGGAACAGAGATACATTGAAAAGAGAGTTAGGCCTGACTGAAGAACATGTTATAGAATATATGAAGTTTATTTGTAATTCTACTTTTAGAGATATCTGGACTGGAACAGGGATACATTGAAAAGAGAGTTAGGACTGACTGAAGAAGATGTTATAGAATATGTGAAGTTTATTTGTAATTCTACTTTTAGAGATATCTGGACTGGAACAGGGATACATTGAAAAGAGAGTTAGGCCTGACAGAAGAAGATGTTATAGAATATATGAAGTTTATTTGTAATTCTCCTTTTAGAGATATCTGGACTGGAACAGGGATACATTGAAAAGAGAGTTAGGCCTGACTGAAGATGTTATAGAATATATGAAGTTTATTTGTAATTCTACTTTTAGAGATATTTGGACTGGAACAGAGATACATTGAAAAGAGAGTTAGGCCTGACAGAAGAAGATGTTATAGAATATATGAAGTTTATTTGTAATTCTCCTTTTAGAGATATCTGGACTGGAACAGGGACACATTGAAAAGAGAGTTAGGCCTGACTGAAGATGTTATAGAACATGTGAAGTTTATTTGTAATTCTACTTTTAGAGATATCTGGACTGGAACAGGGACACATTGAAAAGAGAGTTAGGCCTGACTGAAGATGTTATAGAACATGTGAAGTTTATTTGTAATTCTACTTTTAGAGATATTTGGACTGGAACAGAGATACATTGAAAAGAGAGTTAGGCCTGACTGAAGATGTTATTGAAAATGTGAAGTTTATTTGTAATTCTACTTTTAGAGATATCTGGACTGGAACAGAGATACATTGAAAAGAGAGTTAGGCCTGACTGAAGATGTTATAGAACATGTGAAGTTTATTTGTAATTCTACTTTTAGAGATATCTGGACTGGAACAGAGATACATTGAAAAGAGAGTTAGGCCTGACTGAAGATGTTATAGAATATGTGAAGTTTATTTGTAATTCTACTTTTAGAGATATCTTGACTGGAACAGAGATACATTGAAAAGAGAGTTAGGCCTGACTGAAGATGTTATAGAACATGTGAAGTTTATTTGTAATTCTACTTTTAGAGATATCTGGACTGGAACAGAGATACATTGAAAAGAGAGTTAGGCCTGACTGAAGATGTTATAGAACATGTGAAGTTTATTTGTAATTCTACTTTTAGAGATATTTAGACTGGAACAGGGACACATTGAAAAGAGAGTTAGGCCTGACTGAAGATGTTATAGAACATGTGAAGTTTATTTGTAATTCTACTTTTAGAGATATTTGGACTGGAACAGAGATACATTGAAAAGAGAGTTAGGCCTGACAGAAGATGTTATAGAACATGTGAAGTTTATTTGTAATTCTACTTTTAGAGATATCTGGACTGGAACAGAGATACATTGAAAAGAGAGTTAGGCCTGACTGAAGATGTTATAGAACATGTGAAGTTTATTTGTAATTCTACTTTTAGAGATATCTTGACTGGAACAGGGACACATTGAAAAGAGAGTTAGGCCTGACTGAAGATGTTATTGAAAATGTGAAGTTTATTTGTAATTCTACTTTTAGAGATATCTTGACTGGAACAGAGATACATTGAAAAGAGAGTTAGGCCTGACTGAAGATGTTATAGAATATGTGAAGTTTATTTGTAATTCTGCTTTAATAGAGATATTTAGACTGGAACAGAGATACATTGAAAAGAGAGTTAGGACTGACTGAAGAAGATGTCATAGACGTACCTGCCCTATTCCATACGGTAGATGGCACAGGGGCTGATGCTATATTCCCAGGTAAATAAATGATGTTTATGTTATGGGAGGTTATGGATATGGGATATATCCTGGGGGTAATAAAGATATCTTACCGAGGGATATATGTACACCATATCCAAAAGCGAACATCACATAACTAATTTATTCGATGACATGTGGATTTGGTTGATTTTCAAGTCCTTTCTGCTTCAGAAATATAGTTTCTTTGCTAAAACCTCTCTACAAGCTACATTTTAGAAGTTTTCAATGAGAATGGCATGGTTGTTATAGTTTCTTTTCCTCAGATGCCTTAATACAGGTTGGTATTAGCGAATTATCATAATGAATTTGACTGTTTCTTGACTGAACAAAAATATTCTCCTAGGTATATTGGAGCGGGGATCCTCTTGTCCAATCCCTGTCGTTTCCTGTAAATCAATATAATGTATGATTATGTTAAACATACAAGAATAAAATATTCTTAATAATAATAGAAATATTCCTTAGAGGATGATTCCATATTCTCAAATAAATGCCACATTTTCAATTAAATGCCATATTCCTAGGCTGATGCCAAATTTTGTCTGTTTTGACTGAACATGATCATATCTCACCTGTAATTGTTGGTTGTTTTGCCTCACCTATTCTGTTTTGCCTCACCTATTCTGATTCGCCTCACCTATTCCAATTTGCCTCACCTATTTTTCGATGAAAGCCCTTTACACGTTTTCTTTTCCAGGTATGGTGAACATGCTTGTTCTTGGAAACCACTTGGGGATCCCGAAACCATTCGGACCGAAAATCCAAGGAATTTGTCAGTTTGAGAGTTACATGCGAGACCAATTGGAACCACTCGGAGTTCATTGTCACTTTATCAATGACTGGGAAAGTTACCATGTTCTACTCGGAGAAATCCATTGTGGTACAAACACAAGACGGGAGCCTTTTGCCTATAAGTGGTGGAATATGGAGTTTTAAAGGAAAACTATGCCTATATATATTTTAAAGGAAAGCTGTGCCTAAATATATTTAAAGGAAAACTATGCCTAATTTTCAAAGTAAAGCTGTGCCTAAATATATTTCAAAGGAAAACTATGCCTTAATATAGTTTAAAGGAAAACTATGCCCAAATATTTTCACAGTATGCTGTTATAGTCCTATGGTTTAGGTTGTTGCACTTTAGTTTTAAATCATTAGACAAGGGACTAGAGATAAAGAGCTCCCAAAACAAAGTGTAAGAGCTTCCAAAAAAGTTAATAATTTTGTTATTTGTAAGATTTCATAAATGAGCAAAAATTGTCAAAGTACGAGTGTATGGCAATATATTAAATCAGTTGTCATTTTGTTGTTAATGTATGCCAAAAGGGAAAATATATGGGTTTATTACGCGTATAATGTACATATATTGATAGAATGTGTTTAAAACTTTTAAATACTGGGTAGCCACTAAATTATAACATTATTCAGAATGTTGCCCACTTTGTAGTATTAGGTATGCAGTATTTAAGGAATAAAGACCGAAATTCTATGATTTATGGCGCAATATATGATTGGAAATTTGATTCTGTTCATTGTTAACAGACTGAAATCGCCTAGCGATTGAGGTCTTTGGCAATGGCCAGAATAAAATCTGAGGTCATATATTTGCCATAAATAAGAGAAGGAGGTCTTTGTTACGATTCTAATATGATAATAATCAAACCAGAAAAACAACTTTTTAAATAAGTGATCCTATACCCAAATATAGACCAATAAATCAATGTTCTAGTTATTGTGACACCACATATCATATTAGAATTCATATTAAGAACAATTTCTACATTGCACATGGGATGTAGAAGTTTGTTGTAACATTGCATTTATTGGATAACATTAATGGCTTATACCTAATACATCTATTGTATTATATTGTATTGTATTGTATTGTATTGTATTATATTGTATTGTATTGTATCGTATCGTATCGTATTGTATTGTAGTTGAACATGTTGAAACCATAATAAAACTATTTGTACATTGTAGTTGAACATATTGAAACCATAATATTCCTACAAAATATATTGTGTAACTTGTAGTCTTCCTGGCTTTGGAAATAATATATTTTAGAGGATATTCCCTTGGGGAAATCATTTACACTATCACCGTCAATAACAGCCACTATTTGCACATTGTAGTTGAACATGTTGAAATCATGATATTCGTACAAAATATATTGTGTAACTTGTAGTCTTCCTGGCTTTGGAAATAATATATTTTAGAGGATATTCCCTTGGGGAAATCATTTACACTATCACCCTCAGTGAAAGTCACTATTTGTACATTGTAGTTGAACATGTTGAAATCATAATATTCGTACAAAATATATTGTGCAACTTGTAGTCTTCCTGCTTTACTTTGCACATTTCTTGCCATTTTATTAAAATTTTGGAAATGTGGAGGTATCACCTTGTTCTTCCAGAAATAACAAGAGACAGTATTGTAAACATTTGTGGTATTTATAGGTCATATAGTTGAAACAATTTATATATTTCAAGGGGTCAGCATCTACATAAAAGTATTTTGTATGATAAAATTTTCTAATAGATTTTACTGTTCCACTTATATGTGGTCATTTTGTGCCTTATTGAGCAGCAGACTTGTATGAAATACAAAATCACTTGAAAAAGTGCTCAAATTTTTGAAATAGTATTTCCTTGGGGGTGTTACTCTCTTATACCAGGCTTTGTTCAGTGTTTTAATCGCTTGTGTACAGGGTCTGTCAAAAAGTGTTCCAACTGGATTATAATGCTTTATTTCAAATCCTGTACATAAACAACAACTGTCAAAACTGAAGTACAGACCAACAGCTGTCATATTTTGAGGGGCTAAAATTCAATGTTTTATAATCACTTGTAAATATGATGTGTCAAAAAGCCTACTGGACCTTTAATGCATTCTTGTAAATCTGAAAAGAATATTTTTTATGATATCCTATACATAAATAAATGAGGTACCGACATGAAAAATGTCACAACCAGCCATTTGTTACAGACACCAACCATCAGGGGATTATTATTCTGGGGTTCAAAAATTGAACAATTTGAACCATGTTTTTTTTTACTAAAGATATGCAAGTTTCAAGTTAATAATTTAGTTAGATTATAGTTTAAATGGGCGAATACTGCATTTAAGTGAATTCAACTACATGTTTGTGTATAATAATAATGTATCTTTTTATTTATCAATGTTTCTCTTGCAGTTCATCTGATATGGGGTTTCTTTTCCTTTTTATAACAAAATTATTATTTTGAGATATCTAATATACTAATATTTATACATTGTAAAATATACAAATGTTCGTTTAATGAAAATAAATAAGAAAAAAAATAAAAGTAATGTTTAATGTTTTTTTTATTACAAATAAAATAATAAAATTACAGCATGTTTGTATTCTCTTTTGAGACCATGAAAAAAACATTATGTTGCCATAGAAACACCATATACCATAATTCAGGGTCAATATGAATACAAATTGTACAGGATGTTCACATAATCTTAAACAATAACATACCAAGTCTATGTAAAGTATAGAGACTTTATGGGCACATGTATAATATATAAGCGTCCCTCCTTAAGGTGATACATTCAAATTGCCTAAAGACAAACATCACATTTGAAATTCCTCTCTCCAGTATGGATCTTAGAATGTGTTACAAGACTGGACTTTTGGGTAAATGTCTTTAAGACAAATATCACATTTGAAATTCCTCTCTCCAGTATGGATCTTAGAATGCATTACAAGGTTAGATTTGCTGTTAAATGTTTTAAGACAAACATCACATTTGAATTTCCTCTCCCCAGTATGGATCTTAGTATGAGTTCCATAATGTGCCCTCAACGACTTTCTAATCACATTTAAAATTTTTCTCCCCACGCACAAATCTAAAATGTCTGCTAGAAAACAATAAAGCCATGAAAAAATTTCTAAAATGTCTGCCAGAAAACAATCAAAAGGTTAAAATCAAAAGTATCCATTTTACCAGCTCCAAGTTTAACAGGACATTGTTATAGCCATTGAAAGCGCCTTATACATTTTAACAATGATCCTACCAATAAACCTATAATAAGACACAATATGTGTAAAAACAATGAACATAATATGTTTATATGTTTCATACATCATATGTTTAACAAAATGGGTTACTTATTTACACTTATGCAAGATATGATAGAGTGACCCACTGTGTACCCATATCTGATAATACAAAGAATTTGACAGTAGAATCAGACAAAAGATGTTGAAGGTACATATTCAGTAGAGTTGACAAAACACTTAGTATAGCAACATTTGAAAAAATATGATGAAATTTTGAATCAATTTACAGCCCAATTTTGATTGACTGCACCCTCTAGTACTGGTGTAAAGGGGCGTGATTTAGATTTAGAAAGGGATGTTGGTCACTGTGATGGTGTCAATTTAAATACTGTAAACATGGAACCCTGCTTGTTGTACATTGTGAACACAAAATGTATCTCTTTTGTGTTTTGTACATTGTGAACACAAAATGTATCTCTTGAATGTGCTTTGTACATTGAACACAGAATGTATCTCTTCTGTGTTTTGTACATTGTGAACACAAAATGTATCTCTTGTACATTGAACACAAAATGTATCTCTTCTGTGTTTTGTACATTGTGAATACAAAATGTATCCCTTCTGTTTTTGTACATTGTGAACACAAAATGTATCCCTTCTGTGTTTTGTACATTTGAACACAAAATGTATCTCTTATGTGCTTTGTACATTTGAACACAAAATGTATCTCTTCTGTGCTTTGTACATTGTGAACACAAAATGTATCTCTTATGTGCTTTGTACATTGTGAACACAAAATGTATCTCTTAATGTAACTGAATACACAAAATGTACTGTAATGTGTTTTGTACATTTTGAACACAAAATGTATCTCTTATGTGCTTTGTACATTTGAACACAAAATGTATCTCTTCTGTGCTTTGTACATTGTGAACACAAAATGTATCTCTTATGTGCTTTGTACATTGTGAACACAAAATGTATCTCTTAATGTAACTGAATACCCAAAATGTACTGTAATGTGTTTTGTACATTTTGAACACAAAATGTATTTCTAATGTGTTATGTACATTTGACACAAAATATATCTCTTATGTCCTTTGAAATAGATATCTTTAAATCAGCAGAGTTCCATTTATAACCTATGAATGAAACGATTCAGTTCCAAATTACAAATGAATATTTGGCAAAGTCACTCTACTATACCTTGCATTTGGTGTTCTTGAGCAACCCATTTGGCTTATTCATAATGATTATGTTATTTGTTTTTATTTGTCTGTTCCTTATGGTTTATCAGATGACTGTTAGATGTTAATAAGGTACTTTCAAAAATATACTAAACAATACAATTAGACAGAGTAGAGTATCTCATGCATTTCTAGGGGTTAGGTATAGTAGAGTGAAAGTAAACATGGTGAATAATACCAGACATTTTTTCAAATGTTGCTATGTACAGATCACTCTTAAAACCCACATATAGTTTAGTACACAAGAGCTTTAAGGGGCCATGACCTTAAAAGTTTTCAGGAATTCACTTCATGTAAAATGGACGCTTCCCATGATTCCATTCCAATTTTCGACTTTTTGACCTCTTAATGGTGACATGATAGAGTTTAACTAGCAACACTCTCACCTCCTAATGGTGACATGATTTTTTATATCTTGGCCTTAGTTTGAGAAGATATATACAATTTATATACACAAAATACGCTCTAAAAAGTACAGTAAAACCTGTGCACATAGAATACCTTCAGTATTGGCCAAAATTGTTATTTTTGGAGTATATCGGTGTTCTTCATGGAGAAGATTTTTCAATGTGTACCAGATTTTCTAACATATAAGCCCTGGGCGTAAAACTGAAAGAAGGGGTAATTTCATCTGTTATTTTACCTCTTATTTTTTGCCCATGGGCATATAAGTGTACTACTTTCGATTTTTGGCCCAGTGGGCGTAAAGGTGAGAAAAACAAAGTAACAACAGAACGATCAACAACTGCCACTTACGGCACAGCGTTGAACTTAATGTTGAAACAAAGTAACGACAGAACGATCTGCCAGTGACAAAATACTCTTGAATTTATTGAAAAAATCAATAAATATTCATTTTTATAGGCCCATGGGCGTATAAGCGTATTACATTCTATTTTTGGCCCATGGGCCTTTTAGTGGGGCGTATATGCGAGAAAATCCGGTAAGTTCGTTTGATTTCTGATTTCTATTACATGTTCAATCAATTCTGGGTGTTTTATCCGACAGGTTTTAAGGTACATTGCTATGGTAGCCATTGCTATTCTCAGAACACTATAGCCACTAGGCGATGCGTCAACAGTTCAAAGATTATTTTTACAAATTCTTTTTTCTACATGATTTTGTACAAAAATATCATCTAAGTCCACTCCACTCATTCCAATTCTCATCTTATAATAGTCTCACTCATTCCAAGGTCATTTAATTCTCACCCGCCATCCCCTCCCAGAGATCTCCCCAGGCATTTTCTCATTGGGTGCTTATTTCCAATTTTACCCAAAATGTCTCAGTGACGACTGATCTCAGAGTGATGTCATTTTCACATTTTGAAAAGGGTAGAGCACCCACATGGTCTTATCTTGGGGAGACCCCTGAATTCTCCCCCATCTCCTCTACTGAACCATAGTGAGCTTGGTGCGTGCTGTATTCACTTGGAAAACATTCAAGTTTTCATATTCATCTATACATTCTTCAATCTGGTTTGGTTTGAAACCCTTTGAGACACAATGTTCGCTGATGTCGGCCATTTTGAGAGTTTTTGACCCGGCTGATGATAACATTTCTCGTATAACTGAGAAGATCTGGTCCATACTGCTTTGTACTCTGGAAAACATAAGAATGGGTAAGAAATCAATACAATGGGAAAACAATGGGTAAAAATCATTACAAAGGGGAAATATAAGAATGGGTTAGAAATCTTTACAATGGGAAAACATGAGAACAGGTAAAAATCATTAAAATGTGAAAACATTATAATATATATAATGGATGAATATGTGGAAGTACAATCATATCCTTGAGCCACTGAACTTGGAATCTTATGCACACATATTAACATACCTATTTGTGCCATCAGTTGATGGTGTGAGGGAATCCTTAGACATCTCTAATAACCTGATGGACTCATTTACGTCCTCCTTTTCAACAGAATCCCCAAGACGTAATCTGGCCTAGAAGATAATATGCAAAAATTACATTCAATTTCTTGTCGTTTACAAAGTTTGGATTTGGGAATATACAAGTTTGTTAATTCCATGCTGATTCTGCTCTTTTTATCGTACCTAACAAAAGGTACGATATTGTAGTCAGCTTGACGGACGGGCAGGCGGGCGGGCGGCGTCTCACTTTTCAGCTTGTCTACAGGTTTCCAGCCAAACCATTTGAGAGGGATTCATCTGAAATTTTAAGGGATGTTTCTACATATCAACGTCAAGAAAGAACTGATTAGTTTTTGGGCATTCTGGGTAAATCTTAAGGTGGCCATTTTGGATTTTCCGTCCTAAAATCTTCACTTTCAAGACTTGTCCACAGGTTTCCAGCCAAACCATTTGAGGGATTCATCTGAAATTTTCAGGGATGTTTCTACATATCAACGTCAAGAACTGATTAGTTTTTGGGCATTCTGGGTAAATCTTAAGGTGGCCATTTTGGATTTTCCGTCCTAAAATCTTCACTTTCAAGACTTGTCTACTCCTTGTTAACTGTTAAAAATAATAACAACATAACCTCGACATATGAGTGTTACCTGATGAATGGGACCCTCACGTGCCTTCCAAATGGTAGTAAACGAACTCTAGTGTAACTGCATCAGCTTATCTTTCCGTCCGATCAACAATAAGTACAGTTATACAAGAAATGTAAACGAAGTGTAAATATTCCCAAAAATTTTCCGAAAGGCATGTCATTTCCGGAAGTTATGATACGTTATATTACCGAACATGTGTTAAAATGGAACGTTTGTTCGTTCATTTTACGAGAGCTAAATAAAATGCAAACATCCAAGCATTGGGTATGACTCCACCATTGTTTGCCGTTTACTACTTGCCACAATCAACCTCACTGCCAGCATATCAAACAAGGCCCATTTTCCATCAAACTTGGCCCAACAACTATCAGGCGGATGTCCTTGAAAAATCAAGTTGACATGGTCAAAGTAAGACTACGAAAAAGCACTAATTTTTACTTTTGAATCACCTATTATCGCCCAAATGCCTATATTTTTCAAGGTCAAGGTCGCTATGCTAAAAGTTGAATTACGGAGATAGATCTGCTCTTCAGAAAATGTTTGAAAGCTTTTCTTCACCACGAAACAAAGATCTTTGCGCTGGTATGCCCATTTCCATGAGATAATATACGTGAAGGAGGAACTGTGTCTAGATGTCATCAAAACTTTATGGCAACACGTGAAAAGGCCATTTTCGCACTACTTTTGGTGTAATGCCATCGAAAAAACATTCCATTTTCACCCATGTTCGGTAATATAAGGTGTTATTACGGTAAATACCACTTCCGGGTAGGAAGTGTTTTTTAATACTTTAAAAACGAAGCCATGCCAACTTCAATGGTGTGTATAGTAGGTTTAAGTGTATATACTGTGGCCATTTGAGGTATGTATGTAAAGCTGAGGCCAAGTACTTTCTAAATGTGCCATTTTTAGAAAAAAATCTCAAGAATATGGTCCCGTAAACAGGAACTACTTTATTCGTTAATTTTCATCGGGAAAGCAGGGATTTTACCTAAAAATGAGTCCCTATGTTGGCGTAGTGATATTTAAAAATCGAGACGCAAACCCTTTAGTGTCAAGATGAAGGTTATGTATAGGGGATTGCAGAAATATAGTCATTGTATGGGCTAATTCTTTCAGATATCAGCGTCCATTTATTGTCACTTGCGTTTGCTACCATTTCCTCAATTCTGAGATGACGGGCAAACGCGTAGTAAACATGCTCACGCCGGAACTATTTTGACCTACATCGCTATTTTCGTAATTCAAATGAAAGTTGAACTCCTCCTCCTTATTTTGAGACCAAATAGTGGCATACTAGATACCCTAGAAGCCAACTATGGCGTTATTTAGAACAAAACCACAAATTTTTAAATGGACTATATAGGGTCATTCCTTTTGGCGGATGGATTTGGAACCTCACACCAACTTGAATTTTGTGTTTTTTTCAATATTTTTCAATGATTTATCGTAGTGACACCATAACGTATCATAACTTCCGGTATGACATGCCTTTCGGAAAAATTTTGGGAATATTTTCACTTCGTTTACATTTCTTGTATAACTGTACTTATTGTTCAGCGGACAAAAAGATACGCTGATGTAGTTACACTAGAGCTCGTTTACTACCATTTGGAAGGCACGTGAGGGTCCCATTCATCAGGTAACACTCATATGTCGAAGTTATGTTCTTATTATTTTTCACAGTTAACCAGGAGTACAGGTTTTCAGCCAAACCATTTGAAGGATTCATCTGAAATTTTCAGGGATGTTTCTACATATCAACGTCAAGAACTGATTAGTTTTTGGGCATTTTGGGTAAATCTTAAGGTGGCCATTTTGGATTTTCCGTCCTAAAATCTTTACTTTTAAGACTTGTCTACAGGTTTCCAGCCAAACCTTTTGAGGGATTCATCTGAAATTTTCAGGGATGTTTCTACATATCAACGTCAAGAACTGATTAGTTTTTTGGCATTCTGGGTAAATTTTAAGGTGGCCATTTTGGATTTTCTGTCCTAAAATCTTCACTTTCAAGACTTGTCTACAGATTTTCAGCCAAACCATTTGAGGGACTCATCTGAAATTTTCAGGGATGTTTCTACATATCAACGTCAAGAACTGATTGGTTTTTGGGCATTCTGGGTAAATTTTAAGGTGGCCATTTTGGATTTTCTGTCCTAAAATCTTCACTTTCAAGACTTGTCTACAGATTTTCAGCCAAACCATTTGAGGGATTCATCTGAAATTTTCAGGGATGTTTCTACATATCAACGTCAAGAACTGTTTGGTTTTTTGGCATTCTGGGTAAATTTTAATGTGGCCATTTTGGATTTTCCGTCCTAAAATCTTAACTTTCAAGACTTGTCTACAGGTTTCCAGCCAAACCCTTCAAATTTTTACATATGTTACACAGTGATAAGTTCTAGAGCTGATTAACTTTTCTGCGGCCATCTTGCTTTCTTGGTCAACAAGACCACAATGCTGTGTTTTAGGTACGATATTGTTCACGTCTGTGCCTTGTTTAGCAATGTTTTACATGACAAAAGAAGAACACTCAAACATTCACAAAGGGAACAATATCGTACCCGAAAATGAGCATCCTATGATTTATGCCATGGCCAGAAACTTAAATCAGATTGAGGATTTTATACCAAAGGGGAAAACTCTGCACATCTAAATCCCAAGCTAATGTAAAAATCAATCTAATAAAGAGGTTGTCCGGAAATGCGCAAAAGGAGAAGTGAGACACCGCCATCAATATCTTAAAGCACACTGATGAGAAAGAATATATAAAAAACTAACCAGGGCAGTTGATAAACGTAGAATTCCCAGAAGATTACGAGCTGATGTAAATGTGCTTTCTTTACTGTTCCTGGCCTCTTTACGCATTTCTACATACGCTCCAGTTATATAGTCCGTTAAATTCTCAGGAATCGTTGGCATCTTCTTTTTACATAGGGCAATGTATCGCCTGTAAAAAATATGTTAAAACAATTCATATCAAGTTCATCATATATTTGTCATCATGTGAGGTAGAAAATCTATCTATATATTTGTGCTCAGGCTTCAAATCAATTAAATGATCACATTTTGTTCAAACAGTTCTATACAATGATCAACAATTTTAACATCCTGACTGAATTGATTTCGAAAAAATCTCATTCCAAATAATTCCATAAAATATGACGAAAATATCAAAACATGACACATTTAATAGGCTATGTTCCACCTGTAAAGAAAGATGTAAAAAGAATTTACATGAAGTTCTTTGTTACCATCTAAATAAAAATCTATTTATATATTTATTGTGCTCATACATGACACATTAGGCTATGTAGCTAGGATAATAGTCTTGCTTCAAGACAGTGGAATGCCCCCCCCTTATCTTCTTCACGAACAAATCATATCTTGTGGAGGTGTGATGGGCTTGTAGCAAGACTACTAAGATTTTGCAAAGTCAAAGTTTTACCTCATAAGTTTCATATCGATGGGATCAAACTGCATAGGAGGTTGTACATTGTGTTGGTGGACATAGGTGATATGCTGGGCTAACCTGCAAATTACATTACATATATTTTAAATGAAACAACATATATTCAACATGTCATTTAATACTTGGATAACAGGCTTTTATGAAACCAAATTTGGGGAAAATGTTGTCATTTCAGTGATTTGATATATTAATGAAGAGGAGATCAATAGTTTTTGAGTTATTTTCAATTTTCCTCCTACACTTACATCTCAGTATCCGAAATATACTAAAATTCATGCCATCCTAAATTTACCCATATCCCTGCTAAATTCACACATTTGTGCTATCCTAAATTTACCCATATTCTTGCAATCCTAAATTTGACCCAATCCAAAACTAACCTGAGGTCATTATCCCTGTCAGCTTTATCTTGTATAAGCCAGAGCAGATCAAATCTTGACAAAAGAGCTGCTGGTAGCTGTATGTTGTGTTCTATTGACTTCTTTGGGTTGTATCTACCATATGCAGGATTAGCAGCTGCGAGGATGGACACTCGGGCATTCAGACTTGTCATTATACCAGCCTACAACAAAATGCAGCCTTTAAACAGTGTATTTAGGACAGTCGTTAACACAGCCTAGAACCAAACAGAGCCTTCAAACAATTATTTATTTAGGATAGTCATTATACCAGCCTACGACGAAACACTGCCTTTATACAGTGTATTTAGGATAGCTGCTACTAGTGCTTGCAACGGTAATGGATCTCACTGCCGGTAAATTTCACCTCCATTACCTTACTGTTACGGATAATCGTTGATACTGATAATGTTCCAAAAATCCCGGGGAAAACCTGAAAGTCAAAGTGAAACTAAAATATTTGGAAAAATCCTTAACGAAGCCGATTTCTCAGCTTGATTTCCCGCTCACATCAACTACAGTGGATATATTGTATCATCGTGTATCTCGTGTGTGATTGTGTATTGTTAGGAAGTCTTTGAATGATAATATAGAGTGAATTCGATCAAAATTGATCAAACTATTTGTGTTTGTTTTTACTTCACCGAAATATCACGTCACGTGATTTGTTAATCTCGCGGCATGGGAGATGATTGACAGAAGTGGGTGGGGTTTTGCTTATCCTCCCGCCTTTTACGAATGCTTTGCAGTTGATTGACAGGTTAGCTCTTCAAATGTGGAGATTGAAATATACATGATTGATAAAATATTCTTAAACGAACATTGTTTCGTAAATTTGACAATGGATCGCAATGCCAATCATCATGTTGCAGCAGCATGGCGATTATCGGCAATGGATTTTATTACCGGCAATTGAGAGTATCTACTGCCGCTGCCGACAACCCGGCATTACCGTAAGGCACTAGCTGCTACAACAGCCTACAGCAAAACACAGCCTTTAAACAGTGTATTTAGGACAGTACTTAAACCAGCCTACTACAAAACATAATCATTTATTTCACTTTGGAGGTGTTCCACTTAACATTAAGTCAGTTGGTCTTGGGACTCTGAAAAGTATTCTGCTAACAGATGTGATCCACTTTTCAGAGGCATTTCAATTACAGGTTTCAGTCTACTCCTGAAATCGAATTAGCTTCTCCCATTTACAAGAGAGCAGTCCATTATGGTCCTGGGCCTAAGCTTTGGTATTTTCCCTCCTCTTGGCATATAAATTTGTGTATTTTTCTTTTTCTACTTTGTTCCTCCACAGTGTGTATATGCCATACTGAATATTCAGTAGTAGTCCTGGTATTGGACACAAGGTCTGTGTATTTTTTTCTCATTCTTCCATTTATTTTGCTGTCTATGATTTCTTTTATCTCAAATGTTTGTAGTGTAAAGCACTTTGACGAAACTGACATGCTGCCTTTCTTGATTCATACAATGCACTTTTCTAGATATTTTTCAATTTTACATGCAGCTTCTTCAAAACCATTACAGGCATCTTTGATTTTTTGAATTTTTGATCAAAGAATATCTAAAAGAATTCACACTGGTTGTTTAATTTAGTTAGTCTTATTATAGCAAGACTGTTCCTTTAAGTTAGTAACTATGGAAACACAAGATGCAACACCCTGACTCATCTCAGCACTATAGCAACCACCTGTCTTTATTCTATGGTGATTCCAACAGTGCCAAAAAGAGGCTGGGTTTTTAACTATGCAAGCTAATCAATGCAACTCAAATCCTTATCTAATGCAATGCAATGCAAACAAATCAGCTTTGTATTATGCAACTCAAAAACTTTTCCATGCATTCTAGGTTATCTTCTCTCAAAAACTATAATCCTTATAAATGCAACGAAAACTGCTGGAACAGAATTTTTTTCTTATTTGAGACGACATAATTCCTCAACTTCAGCTCATTCAAATGTGACTGAATAAAATAAAGAACTAAAGGAAACTGACAAATGAGACATCTTCCAATGATTAATGTCTATGCATTTCAATTCAATTTTGTGATTATTTGCGATTTCAATTTAATTTTGGGATTAATTGATCTCAAAACAAAACTTCTGACACATAACTCTCACATGATTTTTACTTTTTGTGAAATCAATTCACACCCAAAAATTATCATTTGACAAATTCTCACAATCTATAACACCATGGTTTAAGCAAGAGGTGCATTACTCTATAATTGGCACTTTATGAGACACCCTGTCTTTAGAAAACACCAGGTGATTCCTAAAGTGCCAAATACAGGGTGACGCAAAGCAAGGCATGGGTTCACACACAAATTTATATTGGGAAATAGCTACAGGTTCTTATGCAAGGATAATGTAATGTAACTACAGGTTCTTATGCAAGGATAATGTAACTACTCGTTCTTAGGCAAGGATAATGTAACTACAGGTTCTTATGCAAGGATAATGTAACTACTGGTTCTTAGGCAAGGATAATGTAACTACTGGTTCTAAGGCAAGGATAATGTAACTACGGGTTCTTAGGCAAGGATAATGTAACTACAGGTTCTTATGCAAGGATAATGTAACTACTGGTTCTTAGGCAAGGATAATGTAACTACAGGTTCTTAGGCGAGGATAATGTAAATATAGGTTCTTATGCAAGGATAGTGTACACTAACTAGCACCTTACACCTCATGCTGGGACAATGTCATGTCAGTTCAAGTCATGCAAGTCACACATACTATAGGTCATTGTACACACAAGAGGGTATGCAACATGCAAGGTAGATCTGCAAAATGCACAAATTCTGTTCTAAAGCACAAATCTGGTTCTAATGCACAAATCAGGTTCTGATGCACAATGTAAGTCATCATGGGTTTCATGGGTTCTATCTAATGCATTGGGTTTCTAATGTACTGGCTTTCTAATGTACTTGGGTTTCTAATACAGTATAGGTTATAACTCTTCTGGGAAATTGAGATAGTAAGCACGCTCAGATTGAGACGGGAGATACCACTATTTACCATATTAGTGATTCCAACCGTGCCAAACAAAGCAGAACATAAAATCTTAATTAATGCTAGTATGTAATTTCAATTCCACAAGCGTAGCTTCATTTCTCAGGCATATCTTAATTAATGCTAGTATGTAATTTCAATTCCACAAGCATAGCTTCTTTCCCCAGGCATATCTTAATTAATGCTAGTATGTAATTTCAATACCACAAGCGTAGCTTCATTTCTCAGGCATATCTTAATTAATGCTAGTATGTAATTTCAATTCCACAAGCGTAGCTTCATTTCTCAGGCATATGAACTCTAAATAGCGTATAGCTCTGTAGTAATGAGTAAGAGTGTTGCTTCTCTTTTATAAAAGCCTTATATAGGTATGCAGAGAATGCAGCGTAAAGATGCATGGAGTTTTAAATATACATATATGTAAATAGCGTACAAATGCATGGAAACTAAATACAGTACATAAGTACAAAGGATTTGACAAAATGCAGCATGCAAATGCACGATTCTTAACTAAATACAGCACACAAATGCATGTAATTCAACAAAATACAGCACACCAATATGCAGCACATAAATGCGTAGAATTCGTTTTAATACAGCACACAAATGCATGTAATTCAACAAAATACAGCACACCAATATGCAGCACATAAATGCACAAAATTTCATTTAAATACAGCACACAAAATGCACCAAATCCGACTAAATACAGGCACAAATGCAACACAAAATGCAGCAACTTTATACAACAATATTTGATACAATTAGAACCACCAAATAGTAATACATTCAATGGTGATTCCAACTGTGCCAACTACTGGTATACAAAATAGTAAGCTCAATGCAAATACACCCCCATCCATCAAATTTTCCAGTTGCCAAACTTATGGAGGGGAGAGTACATTACCTAGAACTAAAACCTAAATAAAAAAGGACTTAGCGAATTGAAATAGGTGGGGGGGGGGCAAATTGAAAGAGGCAAAACTTGAACTAAAGATAGCGCTTTATTTATATGGGACAAACGTTTCTGTATGGAATAATGGAAAATGAGGGTTGAGGGAATGACTATTGGGAGAATGAGGGAATGGAGGGGTGGGGGATGGAGGGGTGGGGGATGGAGGGGTGGGGGGTGGAGGGGTGGGGAATGGCAGCGTTGGGAATTGCGTCAAGGAGGGGAATATGCATCATATTTATAAATATATCATTTAGTATTTCAACGAATTCAAAATTCAGGCATCATTCCAGTTGTCATTAGCAATCAAACAAAAGGTTGAGCAATGTTAAACAGTTGTTGGTACGCTAGGCACCACCAGATTATAACTACTTAGTGATTCCAACCGTGCCAAGGACTGTTTAACACAATTACTTAGTGCAAAATCATTAATTTTAACCTAAAACAAGGCAAATGCAAAATAGTCAGTTTAGCCTAAAACAAGGCAAATGCAAGAAATTTGGCCTAAAACAAGACAAATGCAAAAAATCTAGCCTAAAACAAGGCAAATGCAAATAATTAATTTAGCCTAAAACAAGTCAAATGCAAGAAATTTGGCCTAAAACAAGGCAAATGCAATCAATCTAGCCTAAAACAAGGCAAATGTAAATAATTAGTTTAGCCTAAAACAAGACAAATGCAACAAATTAATTTAGCCTAAAACAAGGCAAATGCAAGAAATTTGGCCTAAAACAAGGCAAATGTAAATAATTGATTTAGCCTAAAACAAGGCAAATGCAATCAATCTAGCCTAAAACAAGGCCAATGTAAATAATTAGTTTAGCCTAAAACAAGACAAATGCAACAAATTAATTTAGCCTAAGATGGCAAAATGCAAAAATCATGTAGCAATAAGGATCAAGTCAAATATAAGCATGCAACCATCCATATTACCAACCAATGCCCCATTGTTCAAAAGTAATTCCATTTGAAGAAAGTGGTAAAAAGTCCTTTTTCATGAAGCTCATTAAAATATTCAAATTCAATATTACATATTGATGTCATTTCAATAAGTAAAAACTTAATCGATACTAAATGAGCTATAAGGGGGTTGAATTGAATTATTTCAGAGGGAATTCATCAGTGTAATGTAAAAAGCGCCCTGCCAACCCAAAAGTCAAGTTACCATAGTAACCTTTTTTGACCAACCAAATAAGAAATGTAATGATATTTCACTATTCAATAACAAGATGTGAAAATCCCATGTAAAAATACTAAAAATCTTTAGTTTAAAAATGAGAGCATTTTTTTGCAAACTTATTGAACAACCTGGTATATTTGACCTAACCCCCCTAAAACATGCTTAAAAAATAAAATACTGAGTGGCTTTAATTCATGCTCCACCTACCTTGGCAATAGATATGGTCTGCTGCTCCATAACCTCATGAATGGCTGTTCTGTCAGCGTCCATCATTTTGTCAAACTCATCAATGCAACAAACACCTCCATCAGCGAGAACCAGGGCGCCACCTATAGTCAATGTTTACAATTATTCATGTACTTTATTATCAGCCATCTCTGTACAAGTGCAAAATCTTACAGGGCTGTGACAATTTCAATTTAAAATTCATCGACTTTCAATTTTCAATCTCGTTATATTTTCAGAGTTTTTGAATTCTGTCATTCTCGAAAACCTTCCGTGAGTTTTATAAAGACATATTTTTCTGCATTTATTTCAAATTTTTGTCAAAATATGTAAGTTGTACTTTGCAAGCCTTAAGATTTACCCATTATGCTCCAAATCTGATATTAACACATGAGGGCAAAAACTGATAGCACATTAAACTTGAAGCACATTAAAACTCGGCACATTGCTATTTATTCTACCAACCTTCAAGCACCATCTCCCCAGTGAGATTATCTTTCATAACGGCAGCTGTCAGACCCACCCCTGAGGACCCCCTCCCTGTAGTGTACTGGGATCTAGGGGCCAGGCGGTCAATATACGACAGTAATTGAGACTTGGCAACTCCGGGATCTCCCATTAGGCAAATGTTGATATTACCTGAAACAGAGAGATGGATTTTCAGGAGTTAAGAAATATATAAAAAAACGACTTTATTGTGGGAAAAAATCTTCTTATTATTAATCTGCAGTGGAGGAGATTATTAGAAAAAAGCTTGTGAGTACACAGAGAAAATATATATATTATTGGAGAAGAATGAAGAAATCTGTCAATGACTATGTACCCTTATATAAAACTCTGGAGATTGAAGAGATATCTCATCAGAAAATAAAAGATCATCAAATTCTACCTCTTATTTTCTAGTCAACTATCTCACCAAATTCTGACCTCTTATTTTCATGCCTCTGGGTGACTTGTCGACCCCTCCCACTAACAACAGAAGCAGGGCTTTCTTGACATCCTCCATGCCATAAATCTCTGGTGCAATGCTGGATGAAAGTTTGTCATAGAAATCATCCTCTAAAATATGAGAATTTTGTGATAGAATTTCTTACATTTGCTAAAATTTGATATAAATTTATTCAATAATGCTGGTTGCTTGAATGTGTCCTTGATTACTTGAATGTATGATTGGTTGCTTGGATGTACACTAAGTTGCTTGATTGAGTCTTTGATTGCTTGAATGTGTACTTTGTTGCTACACAGCCAATATAATTCGGCACCGTTTCGGCATCAAAACAATTCGGCGCTGTTCCGGCACCGTTCCGGCACCGAAACCGTTGGACACTTAAATTTGCTACCGGGCTAGTCAGTCCATTTGGTGCCGAAACGGCATCGAAATTTGGCACCGAAACGGCATCGAAAATCAGATTGCATTTTGGGGGTGTAGGATGTATACTTAGTTGCTTGAATGTGTCCTTGATTGCTTCAATGTATACTTTGTTGCTTGAATGTATACTTGGTTGCTTGGATGAATACTAAATTGCTTGGATGTTTTACCTGCTATTTGTCTGATTTCTTCCTCTGTAAGTTCTTCCATTCCGAGCTCATCATCTTCTGTTTTGTTCATCTTTACAATTCTCTGAAAATAAAATAATTACTTCACATTATCATTTTTTCATTTTGGCGTTATATTACATCTACAAGTCATTATATTACATTTTCTAGACCCTTTATTACATTTTCCGGTCCTTATATTTTTTATCCATTTCTTTGTGGAACTATGAGTATAAAATGCATATATGGTGCATCTTGGTGAATATCTGGTGCATTTTAGACTACATTTGGTGCACCCCGTTACAAACTAAGTACATGCACATCTTATTTATCTGATTATAGCATGAACTATCACAGTTAATACAGACAGACCTTGGTATTATATACATACAAATGCAGGTTGATTGTAATTTAATAAGTCAACCATCAGGTAACACGTAATATTGACTCTACTCTTGCTAGATGCTATTAACTACATGTAGTTGTATTGGCTCTGTTTCTATGGAGACAGTGAAGTCAAGGAGATGATGAAACAAATTGAGTGGAAAATAGTGGAATTAGCGAGGAATAGGCATGAAATTCACTCTAAATGAAAATATAACCAGTTTAAAATCCGCACAACCAGAGAGATTTATCTGCAGGTTAATTGCGAAAACACTTTATATTTAACACATCTAATTACATCTCCTTAGAGACAATTGACACCTGAAATGTAAGAAAATACGTTTTCATTTCACAACTGGTTAACAATAATAGTTCTTCTATGAATAAAGGTTTCATAATTGCTGTTTATGAAATGCCTGGATAATATTGCTAAAACCTTGAGATAGGGCCTTGAAATTGCAATAGTCTCATAAACAATAATATGAACTTAAGATTTTAGAAAAAGTGCAATTTCATTTAACTAGAATCCTGAGGCTGACAAAGCATTGGAATTGTCTTAGTTTCGAAATTGATAACCTACTTTCTTTTAAAAAAGAAGGCACTGGAATTATTTAAGTTTCATTAACAATTACATTTTCAAAAAATAAAGTGCAATTCAACTATAAAGCTATAACACAGGGGTAAAGCAGACCCGATGATGCAATGAGCTTGCTCGGCGGTATCATGACTGTGTAACGGGTCTTAATGTATAATTGTGCTCGGCGGTAGGTTCAAACAACGCGGATCCTCAAAGCATGTGTTTTAACACCCGTGTATAACCTTGAGATAAGGCTTTGGATTTCACAATTTCATAAATAATTACTTAAATTTTCCCCAAAAATAAAGTGCATTTACAAATTCTAACTTTCTCCAAAACTATATGTGAAAATCCAACTACCATGCTAAAACCTTGAGACAAGGCCTTGGAATTGTTTCCTTAAAAAAAACATAACTTGCATTTAACAAAAAGCGAAACAACTACTTACATTTGCCTCTATATAAGTTTCCGAAAGAAGTCCTTGTGCAATACCACTGTAGCCCTGTTTCATCATTGGGAGGAAGACGCCCGTAACGCTGACATGATCGCCTGGTTGCGCTTTACGTGTGGTCTCTCCCCGACTAAGGACTGTTATACTACGTGGGATATTACCTACAGGCACTTGGTCGCTCTGGAAACAGTGTGATGTGACATAGCAGTGGTCGGTGTGACATAACAACGGTGTGACATAACAATGGTGTTAACATGACAAAATCATGTAACATGGGGACTTAGTCAAGCAAGATATATACAGGCATGTTGTTTTTAAATATGAGCCCCCCCCCCTCCCCAAGAACAGTTTTGCAAAAATGACATACTGTATTGAACTATTGATATTTGACAAAAGCTATGGAAACTAGGTTATCAAGGGAAAACTAGGTTATCAAGGGAAAACTAGGTTATCAAGGGAAAACTAGGTTATCAAGGGGGCAACTGTCTAGAAATAAGGAATAAGTCGAAAGATCATTTTTGCTAAACTTGATTTTTGAACATTTGAAGCGACCCCTTTGAGCTTACAATGTAAGATAATCAGTGACATTTATAGGAGTAAGTAATATGATATCATGTAACGTGATATAAAGTGACATAAGTATGACATGTAAAATGATGTAACATTTCAATTTCCTATTTTTTGCAAAAAACGGGCAAATTGTTAATGACAAGGGTCACAAAATGAGAAAAATAGTTAGAAAGGATGGTGTCAAAATGTAAAATAAATAAAAAATAAAAGTTACTACCATTATAGTTTAACCTCTCCCTCATATAATGAAATTATAAAATGATAATTTTTCTTTTTCTTGACTTTTTTTTCCCAGAAAACCAACATTCTTCACAAGTGAATGAAATCATGACTCACTGCCTCCCACGAATGAAATTAAATTCTTTCACAACTGAAAAAATTCTAATTTTCAGAACTATTGGTCAAATCATGTTTTTCATGATTTCAAATGTATACAAGAACACAAATGTGTACAAAATGTCCCCACCTATTGGTGATCCCGTCAAATGGTTATCCTAAAAATGAGTAGACAAGATTTTACCGACACAATTTGAGGACGGAAAATCCAAATGGCCACCTTAAAATTTACCCGAATGCCAAAGAATTGGTCAGTTCTACATTTTCATACTAAGAACCACCCCTGAAAATTTGAAATTGATCCGTCACACAGTTAACCAGAAAACATGTAAACAAGACTTTACAGACAAGATTTTAGGACAGAAAATCCAAAATGGCTGCCTTGACATTTACCCAGAATGCCAAAAAACTAATCAGAACTAGATTTTCATACTAAAAATCATCCCTGAAAATTTGAAATTGATCAACCAAACGGTTCACCTAAAAACATGTAGACAAGTCTTTACGGGCACGATTTTAAGACGGAAAATCCAAAATGGCTGCCTTGACATTTATTCAGAATGCCAAAAAACTAATCAGATCTAGATTTTCATACTAAGAATCATCCCTGAAAATTTCAAATTGATCTACCAAACGGTTCACCTGGAAATGCGTAGACAAGACTTTACAGACAAGATTTTACGACGGAAAATCCAAAATGGCTGCCTTGACATTTACCCAGAATGCCCAAAAACTAATCAGATCTAGATTTTCATACTAAGAATCATCCCTGAAAATTTGAAATTGATTTACCAAATGGTTCACCTGGAAATGCGTAGACAAGACTTTACAGACAAGATTTTAGGACGGAAAAATCAAAAATGGCCGACAATAAAAAAGTGATTATGGATTTTTGCTGATTTCTTTTTGCAAAATTATCACATATAACTACTGTTAACAATAAAATAGGCTTTTACAACAAAGTACACATGAAATTATTTATAAAGCTACTAAATAGTTTAAGTATGAAAACTGAAAAACACCATTCAATATGATACAAAGTATTATCGTGCGCTAACTTTTCTTTAAACATTCAAAATGGCTGACTTGACTGAGCTAACAGGTCCAAAACCTAATCAGATCTAGAATGAAGTGATCTGAACAAGATGTTAAAGTTTGAAAAGCAACTGTGAGGCCGTTTTTCTTAAAGTTTGCAGACAGGGATTTTAGCATTTGACTTCAAAATGGCCGACAGGAAGTAGGTATCGAGTTAATTTTTTTTCATCCACATCTTTATGCACTCATAAGTTATCCCTGAAAATTTGAAGGTGATATCTGTAACGGTTTTGGAGAAAACTGCCGGACGTACGGACGGACAGACAGACGGACGGACGGACGCGCCTAGGCCGACAATATGGCCCCACACTATGTGGTGGGGACATAAAAACCTAGTGGGTATAAGCCAATTTTAATATGTATTGTACCAAAATAACACATACAATATATATTGTACCAAAACTAACACTTACAATATGTATTGTACCAAAATAATACTTACAATATGCATTGTACCAAATAAAACTTACAATACATATTGTACCAAAATAACACTTACAATGTATTGTATCAAAATAACACTTACAATATGTATTGCACCAAAACAACACTTACAATATGTATTGTACCAAAATAACACTTACAATATGTATTGCACCAAAACAACACTTACAATATGTATTGTACCAAAATAACACTTACAATATGTATTGTACCAAAACAACACTTAAAATATGTATTGTACCAAAACAAAACTTACATGTTCCTGCATCTTAATTTCTTGGAATTTGACCATTTTCGAACCCCGCGATTGTAGATATAATCTTCCCCCTGCGCGGTTGGTGGAACAGTCTGAACTAGAGCACATCACTTGTGGCATAAATGTCGGAGCGCTGATCTGAAATACAAAGATATAGATATGCTCAATTCATAGACAGAAATATTTAGGAGATCTAGAATAAAACATTGCTCAATTTGTACCCAAAATTACTGAATGGGATCAATACTTCAACAGAAGTTTTTCCATTAGCAGCAGGTAATTTTTGGGTTACTTCAAAATTGTTTTGTGAAATTTTCCAACTGTTGCAGTTTCCATGTTAAAATTTGGATTTTTAAATAATTCTGCCTGTTGTTTTTTCATTTTGCCTGTTGTCAGCAATTCTCATAAAACTACCAAGAATGATGGATATATACTAGCTAATAATATTTCTTGTAATATGTTATATCCAGTTGACATAAAGCTTGTGAAACTGCATTATTATAAAGATGGATCTAGTTCTTGGCTGTCCTTTTCACTTAAGCCTTCAGCGCATCCTGTGTGTGACATGCTATTGTTTTTTAATATCAATTTTCTCTAATTTCAAATGACATTGTCTTACATATCAATTTTCTTTAATTTCAAATGACATTGTCTTACATATCAAATGGCAATGTGTTACATATACTAAGGGTTACTAAGACTAAGGGTAGTGGATACATACGGGTTGATAAGTTTCACAGCCACATTGGTCGCATGTGTACGTAGCAACAGTCATCATTGGCTTCACTTCTGTTGCCCTAGTAACGATTCCCTTGACAACGACAAGTTTTCCAATAGAGGAAGCTTTCACTTGACGTATTGCCAATGGCTTTGTGTCATTTTGGGCTTTGAAATATACTTCACTGGAACAGAAGAAAGGATTAAGTTTCACGCAAAAACAACCTTTAGCTTGATATTTTGTGGTTTGCCAAATCTTCCACACATGGTTTAAAATGAAACATTTTTAATTGCATCGCCTCAATATGTTACGAAAATTAATGATTATCAAACACTTAATTCGAATCTTATAAATGTGAAATTTTTACTTACTATCTGCGCATAAGCTCCTTTGGTATTTGATTTTTAGGATCCCTTGTAACTTCTTTTTCCTGGCCGCGCCTTTGTTCCATGAGACTCCTGTGCTCAATGTAGACATCTAGGGAATCTTTGAATGAGATCTAGGATAAAAAAATTGCTCAAATTATTCAGAGAAATGTTTGAGTGAGATCTAGGATAAAACATTGCTCAATTTATACAGAGAAATATTTGATTAGATCTTCAAATTATTCAGAGAAATGTTTGAGTGAGATCTAGGATAAAACATTGCTCAATTTATACAGAGAAATATTTGATAAAGATCTAGGATAAAACATTGCTCAATTTGAATAAAACATGGCATATGCAATATGCCTAAAACATTGGCATATATCTTCATAAATAAAAACAATGGCATATGTTTGTCTATAATATGGGAAATATTTGAATAAGAGATGATGACCCCTAAATAGTCTACTTCTAATTATTACTATGACTTTTTTTCAGATAATAATCACCCAACACACTCCCTTGGCATTCATGTTACTGATATGTGATATTTGATACTGATAAAGAAGGTTGAAATATCCCAGAATTCTTATCATACATGAACCTAACTTTATATAAAGATTTGGTTCATTTTTACATGAAGGTATGTTCTTTTTTAATTATTGGTTACATCCTCCTCTTTATTGCATTTTCACATGCTATGGAGTGTGAGTTATTAGTTGATCATATAAACTTTGGTTGACATTAGACTTTATCTGGAGCATGGTGACTTTCTAATAAGTAATAAGGAACAGAAATGGTGTCTCATAGAAAAACTGAGTTAATTTTTTGATCCCTTTCCCCCTTAATAAGTAAGGAACAGGAATGGTGTCTCACGGAAAAACTGAGGTAATTTTTTGATCCTTTTCCCCCTCAATAAGTAAGGAACAGGAATGGCGTCTTACAGAAAAACTGAGTTAATTTTTTTATCCCTTTCCCCCTCGACAAGTAAGGAACAGGAATGGTGTCTCACAGAAAAACTGAGTTAATTTTTTTATCCCTTTCCCCTCAATAAGTAAGGAACAGGAATGGTGTCTCACGGAAAAAGTGAGTTAATTTTGTTGTGGCTTGATCCCTCTCCCACCTCAATGAAATTTTAAGATGTTGATTAGTTTTACACTTGAAAATTAACAAGGCACAGACGTGAACAATATCGTACCTAAAACACAGCATTGTGGTCTTGTTGACCAAGAAAGCAAGATGGCCGCAGAAAAGTTAATCAGCTCTAGAACTTATCACTGTGTAACATATGTATAAAAAATTTGAACGGTTTGGCTGGAAACCTGTAGACAAGTCTTGAAAGTGAAGATTTTAGGACGGAAAATCCAAAATGGCCACCTTAAAATTTACCCAGAATGCCCAAAATCCAATCAGTTCTTGACGTTGATATGTACAAACATCCCTGAAAATTTCAGATGAATCCCTCTTATGGTTTGGCTGAAAATCTGTAGACAAGTCTTGAAAGTGAAGATTTTAGGACAGAAAATCCAAAATGGCCACCTTAAAATTTACCCAGAATGCCTAAAAACTAACCAGTTCTTGACGTTGATATGTAGAAACATCCCTGAAAATTTCAGATGAATCCCTCAAATGGTGGCTGAAAACCTGTAGACAAGTCTTGAAAGTGAAGATTTTAGGACGGAAAATCCAAAATGGCCACCTTAAAATTTACCCAGAATACCAAAAACTAATCAGTTCTTGACGTTGATATGTAGAAACATCCCTGAAAATTTCAGATGAATCCCTCAAATGGTTTGGCTGGAAACCTGTAGACAAGTCTTGAAATGAAGATTTTAGGACGGAAAATCCAAAATGGCCACCTTAAGATTTACCCAGAATGACCAAAAACTAATCAGTTCTTGGCGTTGATATGTAGAAACATCCCTGAAAATTTCAGATGAATCCCTCGAATGGTTTGGCTGGAAACCTGTAGACAAGTCTTGAAAGTGAAGATTTTAGGACGGAAAATCCAAAATGGCCACCTTAAGATTTACCCAGAATGCCCAAAAACTAATCAGTTCTTGACGTTGATATGTAAAAACATCCCTGAAAATTTCAGATGAATCCCTCAAATGGTTTGGCTGGAAACCTGTAGACAAGCTGAAAAGTGAGACGCCGCCCACCGCCCGTCAAGCTGAATACAATATCGTACCTTTTGTTAGGTATGATAAAAAGTCAACACTCATAGCTAACGAAAACGTAATTTACATCCTTCCCCTAATGTTGATAATTGGACAGTATTTTCAAAAAGATTAACATGGCTGAAATTCTTTAAATTACAAGAGGGCATACGCTTATTGCACAAAAAACTAAATAATCCGAAATCTACAAATGTCATTCATGTACAATATGAATATACTTTTCCATATATTATTGCACACTGGTCTCCTGATTTCTTATTTTTGGGGTTCTACTGACGAAATAAAACAGTCATGTTTGAATTCTTGTTAATGTCTAGCTGTTTAATTTGGGAATGAAAAAATGTTTTTTAACATTTTACTGTTCAAACTTTATGCTTTTATCAAGAGATTTTATGATATTATACTACATATTCCCAATAAATAAAGCCAATGAAAATGTGTAAAGAGACCTTATGAACATCCTGTAACTTTATTCACATGTTACAACCACGGCACAAAATTTTGCATTTTACAAAGTAAATACGGCAAAACTGCACTTAAACAATCTGATGTTAGAAAGAAAGAGGGCTAAATGTCTCGCCTCTTGTTTCCACCCAAAATGCCTCTAATTTTGACCAAAATGCCTCTAATTTTGACCAAAATGCACCTTGCTTTGATCAAAATGCCTCCTTTCAACTTCATCTTAACATGACCCCACAAAATAGCAAAAATATGAAATACAAACCTCCTTTTCTTTGTAATCGGGTAGAAGTTCCTGTACACAGTCAGCAAATAAAGCAGTGTATCTTCTTGTGTTCTCAATAATTGCTTCAGCCAGCTCAGGGTCGTGTTCTGCGATATCATCTAAATCTATTTCAAGAGCCACCTGTTCCCTATGTGCAATTTTGATCTAAAAGAGAAAAATTGAAAATCATGAAAATTTGGATATCTCAACTAGTTCCAGCTTTTTTAACTGAATATGTAAAATCATCTAGAATCATTTGAAGACAAGATATGGCTACAAATCAGTCATAGTTAAATCATTTGTATAACAATGAGATATGTTTTGTATGGACACTTACTATGAACTACCAGTATAGTGCGTTCTAGCCAGATAAGCTGTCATTTTTTCTTAGCATACTAATATGTACTATGTCTTAAATTACATATTTACCAGTTGCGCTGCATATTTGAAATCCTTGCCCGATCCATCTGGTCCATCAAGGTAAAACTCTCCAAGGAAAGATTTAATTTTATCTGAAAGTATAGGATATAGGCCTTTGTTACTCATAGTTAAACCTGTAATCTCCAAACACCTCTCAAAACTGAATCACAGTGCTTTCAGTAGGCTTGTCCAAAAGTGCTTCCCTGGGACGGATTGATTTTCCAAAATTGCGTCCACCCTCAAAAAAGTGCGTCCCCATGAAAAAAGGTTCCCGGGAATTCAAAGTCACATTTTTGCACTGAACGAAAAAAATTGATGAAAACTTTGCATCAGCTTTGTCATTTTTTTGGCCCACATCAGTGTTCTGCACACGTCTCGTAGGTCATTAAATGATGCAGATATCTTCATTTGAAAGAGATAACTAATATTCAACCATTAAATACCATTTTTCTTCGCGTATTTCGAAGCAATCGCTCAGAAAGTTTCACTAGGAGCTATCTCCGTGAGGTTCCATTTTTTGGTTCAGTTTTTTGCGCATGCGCAACAAATCCAGCAATTTGATTAGTTAAACTTATTACGACGCAACGGACGAATGCGCGATTAATAATCACGGCTAATCATAGGACTCGTACCGATAACCGCTAGGAAATCAACTACTAGTGATTGTCCTATCACACACCTCATACTATTTTGATCGGAAATCAACCTCCGGGAAAGAAACTCCGAAAGAAAATTTCATTTCTTTTAGAAATAGAATATCCTTCGTTTATTTAGCAGATTTTGACCAAATAAAAGACTGAAGGTAAGATCTTTACCAATACATTCATCCAGAGTTGATTTTTTTATATATGACCTGCACTGCGTCCGAGTGACCCCTCATTTTCATTGTTTGGGGTCCCTAAAGTAAAAACCGGGTCCTCTCCATTACGGGACGGCGTTAATGAAAGCACAGAATCAGGAAGTGAATTCTTTCAAATGTAAACAATTTTAGGGAATAACAAAATAACTAAGTAACTCTGGAGCAGACAAGAGTACCAAACATGTCAGTTCACGATACCCCAATGTGTAAACCCTGAGACTTGTGGAGTTTGATGGAGTCCTGTTAAGACTGGTAGAGTCAGGTGTCGAATCCCATATAATCCCTTTGGATCATGTGACGTGATGCATGAAGGCCTCGGTTACCATGAAGCATCATGTGATCAGATTTCAACAAAAAAACAACTATGAAGACCGATGAACGAATAAACACACATAAATAAATGACACCTGGATTTGCTGAAGTGAGGATTTCCCATGTTAAAAAGAAGAGAATTTTCAAGAGGCAATTACTTCGCAGGATATTTATTCACAAAAGAATTTAAAAAAACTGAAGGAAATTTTTACAAGCGGCCATCTTGACTAAATCGCTATAGCGAAAAAAGGCATGCTATCAAAATGGAGAACGAGACGACGTCTATTTTAAATGAAAACGTTCAATATCTCATCAACAAGACAAGCCGTTACCAGACCCTAAGATTCCCACACGCCAGGACGCCAGCGGCGCCTAGTTTTAGTGGCTGGCGTGCTTCGTCACAAAATACAAGTCCCCCTGGCGTATTTCAAAACGACCTATTAGCTTACCTTGATTGACTATATACGTCAATATTGGTCATGGTTTCCCCGATCCGCGGTAATATGAATAAAAGTTTGAAACTTCAATTTCATTTTTCATTTTGTTTTTCCGTGGATGCTGATCCAAACAGGTAAGTAAGTCGCATCCTCATTGGTTCAAATTTAAAAATCTGCTTACTTCCGCTCGCACACGTAAGTAAGGCGTGATCTCATTGGCTTATATGCCTAACTTCAGCTCGCAATAACCAATTAAATTTGCTGCCGTTTGCGCAAGTTTTTTGCGCATGTGAACTTGACGGTCAAGGTCATGAACTTTAGAATAAAATTTTCTTTCTCTTTTTAACATTTCTCAATATTCTAAAGACTTTTACACGGAAAATAATGATCGATCGTTACAGTTAACTTGAGTGGGATCTTGAGGTATAACACTAGATAAATATCCGACGATCTTTTGCGGAAATGATAAAGATAATCGGGGAAAACTCTTCATTCAATTCGCAGGGCTCTATTGGGAATTTTTGCAATTGATTTTCTTTAGGACAACTCTATTATTCTGATTTTTCTAGGCGCCCCTAAAGAATACGGTAAGTGATTTTTTATTTTTTATTGGACTTGTAACGTTCAGATTTAAAAGTCCTTTTTGTTTATTATTGTGTTAAATGTTCATTTATACCAGTAAAATGAAGCTACACTTACCAATTTCTAAAATGACATTTCCGCATGTCTGTCATTGTGTCTGTTCGTCCGAGTGTACCGGATCGTAAAATTAAACTATAAGCGAAACGAAATTGTTGTCAAATAGATATACGTGTATAATTATTATCGCGATTACTCTGGATAAAAAGATCAATTTTGAGGAAAACAGGTATCTTTGATTGATTTATATAGCGCGTATATACACGCAAAATAGTTATTAATTGCAAACCTACTGTTCGTAGTGCAGTGCCGCGATGACGGTTAATTTCTGATACGATCTGCAATTCCGATATTACCGAAACTGACCGACATTTTCGTTATAATCCAAACCTGTCTCCAATATTTTCGTAATTAAGCATCAATAGGGTCCAAGGGGGATACGGGATGGTGTGTATGTATTCCTAAGGTATGTATGCATGCTAGAATCACATTCTTTGTGTAATATTACCATGTTTTAGGGGTTTAATTAGTTCCGCTTGTCGAAACCTGCGGAACGATTAAATTAACGCATCAAGGGCAAAATGATCATGGAGGTTAGACCTAGCCGGGGCCATAAGACATGTCAGATAAGAAACGAGGCCCAGGCTAGGTCTAATGTTGTTGGACTAAGCCACACCCAATTATTTTGGATCAATGTGACGGATAAACACTTAGAATTATAACATTGGTTTCCATTTAGCACTTGACACACAGATGAATCCAGAGACCTCAGCTTAGTATCAACATACTCTATGTGCAGAACACATAGGAACTGAATACCACTTGGAACTGATGTGAAAACATAAAAAATAGCCCACAATTTGTACAAAAAACAATAAAAAAACAAACAAGTCGAATGGTCTTAGTTTTCGGAGGACGAACACTAAATCACAACAGCTAAAAGACAAATGTTGATATTATATATAGCATATAAAATAAACCGTGCTTTGTATTCAAAAACAATTGCACGGTCAACTGGATTGTATTTCCGATTGTATTCCCGCCAGCAGCAAGATCAACATGGCCGTCCATTTAAATTTTAAAAGCCAGATTTCGATAAAATCAAACGTGTATAACTCCATAATCAGTGAACAATTTCTCACCTCTTTCAGCATCATAGTCCCTCGTCATGTTACCTCCCTTTTTTGGCTGAGCCATCCTGAAATGGAATGTGCTTTAAGGGTATAATTCACGACTAAACTTCTCGTTTTTTAACCCTCGACAAACAATGAATTTCTAAACTGGCGCGAAATAATAGTCACGTGACCTTTAAATAAAAACATCTCTATTTTCGCATCTGAAAAGTGGAAAGATGCTATTGATGGGACACGTCAGACATATATTGCATGTTCTACAAGTGTATTGAAAAATCTAGAATGATTTCACTATTTTAAAAGGTCTAATTACTTCGCAACAGTACCCTTTGACCCCTTTCAATTTACACGACGCGAATATAAAATATTAGGAAAGTACTTGGCGGATTGAAAGTGTAAACGGACGAACTGAGATCAGTAAGCTTAATCAGTCATAATGAATAGGGCTAATAATAGAAAGCATTTTGATAAACTTAATATATACACTAGTGAAAAAATGTTGTTGGTTTTGGTGAATGTATATCCTGGAGACTTTTTATGCCACAGTTAAAACCCCGGGGTTAAAACATACTTCTGTGCATTAGGGGGAACTACAGTAACAACTTCCATGAGATTCTCAGCACTTTTAAGTAATTTTGGCAATTTTTGGGCCAAGGTTGTCAAAAGTGAACCCCTCGGAGTTTAAAAAAACACCTTGGCAAATTCTGGCTATGGGCCTACAATCCCATCCTTTATTTGTATATTCCCTACTTCGTAGTTTTCTATAATTTGGTTCTCCCAGGTGGGCATACTCATAATATAATATTACAATTTATTCAAAGTTTATTTCCAAGACACTTCTAGCCAAACGTTAATTTCGATTTTCTGCTATGTACACTCTCACTGACACACTTCTAGTAGACACCCCATAATTTAAAGGCCCACTTTGCATATTTTCAATGTTTTTGGGCAAAATAAAGACTAACATTTGAATTTCATAGTATACCCATTGTGTTGATAAGAACCTTATCTTTCATTTGACACCAACAACAGCTCATACGGACCACATCAAAGCTTACAATAAATTATCAAAAAATATTTTCTATCAGTCAAGCTTTATTAATCAAGTTTGTATCAATGTTATTGAAAGATGGCAAAGTTGTTTGTATTACATGATACATTCATTTTTGTGTCGCCATCTTTTAAGTCAACGGTAATTTAAAACATGCACTTTGTTTAACATGTGCATGCATGTCTAATGGTCTCTGAACTTTTTTCTATGTGAGTTATTTTTTCAATTTTTTTGGTTCAATATTAAAGCAAATCAAACTTTGAGTCATATTTGAGTGAGTGTGTGAGAAACATGTTTCAGTGATTTTTTTCTTTTAAATTAAGTATAGTGGGCCTTTAATTTAACCATTGTATTCGGATGACGTGACCCGTTTCATGGTAACAGATTGAGCTTTTTAATTATAGTTTTCTATGGCTACTTTTTGTTTTCTTTACCTAAATGGTCACGTATTTGTGACTTACTTGTATGTCATCTAATAATTGACAATCGCTATTGTTTTCTCATAACATTACAATTCATTCAAAAGTTATTTCCAAGACACTTCTAGCCAAACGTTAATTTCGATGTTCTGCTATGTACACCCTCATTGACACACTTTTATTAAATTAATTTAACCATTGTATTCGGATGACGTGACCTGTTTCATGGTTACAGATTGTGAGTTTTCTATCGCTTCTTTTTGTTTTCTTTACCTAAATGGCCACGTCACTTGTGACTTACTTACTTGTATGTCATCTAGTAATTGACAATCACCGACTAAGATTTTCTACTTGCGAATAACCACGTACATCATGTCAACTTCTACTTCTTCTTCCTTAAGGTGTCTGTGTCTGAAACCATTGACACTATAATGCTGCCTTTATACACTTGATACTTATCGTTTGTGTTAAATAGATTATCACAATGGTAATTTTAAGAGATGTCAACGCGTTACTTAGCATTACCTATGACTAACCATGGACTTCTATTTGAAGTCCATGGACCATGGCGTAGAATATTGGAAATAGCGTCATGAATCCCGGGACAATGAATCTCGGATCCAAGTACGTCATTAATGTTCGAAAATCAAAATATTGACAAATTTATAACCTAAAAGGCCGAAAGATTATGCGGCAGATATTGAAACGGGGGTTGTCAACATATTGTATAAGCTTTGATCTCTTAGAATCCGTTGAATCCTAAGCGATTGGAGTTGTTTAGATCACTTAACGAATGCTATGAAATGACGAGGATTTGAGTTTTTTCAAAGTTTATAATGGCAGCCAATGGGGGATTTTAGCAAAATATCCCGAAAAATAAATCATTAAAAGGCCGAAAGATCTATGGATGGATTTTCCTGATTGATATATCAAAACGAACTCTTCGTTGGGTGTAACAAGGATCCATTGAATCCTAAGAAAATAAATGATTTGCTAAAAAGTTATTAAGATTTTAAATTTTGATGAGGACTGCTCTCCATTGAAATCTTTGGACCATGAAATGTCGATTTACGCGCATGCGTTGTGACGTTTTTTCCATTATTCTACGCCATGTAACATGCCCATTACCGCTAGCATAGTTCTTGGTATATGGTTGATTTGGTATGATGTTTTATTGGGTTCACTTTCTTTAGATTTAGCTTCATTGTTCCCCCGGTTTATTTTCCTCACAGAAGTTGTATCAAGTCATTTTTAGTCCCATATGGGGTTCTGTTGGCGTGCTCAGTCGCCCTCAGTTCAGTATACGCTTTATCCTCGAGTGTAGCTTATACTGAGGGTGACTCGAGGATGCCAATATCATATGACCAAAGAGGACTTGATACAACTTCCTGTGATTCTCACAATCACTTGAAACTGTGACAGTGTGGCCGGCCCCACTGGTAGAAAATAGAAATACAAAATTTAAATTCGCGTCGTGTTTTACGCTGAGAAAAAATACGAAACTGAAGATAGCTCCAAATGACCCGATTGGGATAAAAAGTAAAAATGGTAAATATTTCACTTTCTATCTAATTTTCTCTTGTAAATCGATATCCAAGTAATCTGAAACACTGTCTTAAATTTATCTATGTATCCTTATTTTCTAGCATCGGCTAAAATCTTCACAAAGAGACAAAGTACGTCAGTTTATTGCGTTCACACAAACTGGTGAAAAAACTGCAATCAACTGTTTGAGTCAGTGTGACTGGAAATTGGAACTATCAGTGGACAATTATTATCAGAATCCTGATAGATTTAACAAAGAACCAAAAGCCACCTTAGATCGTAAACGACTAGAACAGTTATATTTGAAGTACAAAGGTGAGTTGTCTTTCAGTGCACTTTGATTCGCATCACAGGATGTAAACATCGACCTGAATGAATCACTGCGATGTTTTGATTTATAGCCAGTACTTCTCTGCATGTACAGATGCAGACAACTGTGACTAAAAAGAAATGTACATGTATGTGGTGTTGTCTACATCACATTGGAATACGTTAGTTTCTATATTATAAGACTTTATTGCTGTATAAAAAATAAAACCTCATGGCTTCTACATCCTGGTACTTTGACAACTAATCTTGATGACATCACGCATTAAGGCGGGCGATATGCTTGCATTTAAGATGTACTAAGAGTAACAAACACCACAATATCTGCAGAAAAAATGATGTACCATCCAATCGTCCTAATATTTTGTCAATAAGTTTTTACACATATACATGCAACACAGAAATTTCCAGAAACTAGTGATTGACTGTTTGTATGTCTAAGCCCTCCACAGAAATAAAATAAAGTAGGTAAATAATGACTATAATTGACTGTTTCTAGATCCCCATGAAGATAAAATAACAGCGGAAGGTATAATGAAGTTTCTGGAGGATCTCCATCTGAACCCAGAGAGTCGTGTTGTGCTCATCATCGCATGGAAGTTTAAGGCAGCGACTCAGTGCGAATTCACAAAAGATGAATTCCTCAATGGAATGGTAGACTTGGGGTGAGTGATAATTTAGGGTAAATAAGTCATGATTTAGGTTGAGTTACAATTCAGGGTAAATAAGTCATGATTTAAGTTGAGTTACAATTCAGGGTAAATAAGTCATGATTTAGGTTGATTTACAATTTAGGGTAAATAAGTCATGATATAGGGTCAGTGAGAGACCAATGGCAAATGGGTTTTGTCTGCAGCATTGAATACTAATTTATGAAATTTTATTGCATTTAATTACCAAAGCATAACTTTTAGTGTGCAAATGTATGCTCGCTGTTTGATTTTTTCTTCAAATTGAATTTTATATTTCATTATCTCATTCTGAGAAAGCAACAGTGTCTGATTTCTCACCCCTGAGCTATCCAACCAAAATATGTTTTAAAACAAATGTTGTTTATTAAATTAAGTAATAAATTGTACAATGAAAATTGATGAGACACAAATACCTTTTAAATATTAAAAATACATTTAAATAATTAGTCATATCAATTTACTTTGTAAAATTTAAAAATGTTGACACTAAAATGTATATGAAGGCATCACAAATGACTAGAAATGTTCCAAATATGGAAAGCATTTGAAATTGTAGTTTAAAAACTAAGATACTAAAATTGAAACAGTTTCTTTATTGGCTTTTCATTTCAATGGCCTTCAGTTTATCTTTTGAGAATTGAATTGTATGATCCAATGTTGGTCGCGTCTCAGGGTTTACGATCAAACATTGCTTGATCAGGTTTTTCAGGTCATCGGAATATCTTTCCAGCTCAGGAGGGAGGGTTCCCTGTGTGATTTCCATCATAGGGGCCATCGCATTTCCGGTTTTCTCACGATCATAATAAGCAGGCTCAAGAGCTGCAATTTCATAAAGGATGCACCCGATTGACCACATTCTGGATTGTTCCGTTTGCGGCTGCTGCATTAAAACCTCCGGGGCTTCGTAAAATGCAACTCCTGACATTATTTCTGTATCTTGATCTGGTTCAGAAGGGAATCGTAGAAAGAGAGTGTTGTCAGGCAGTGAAAATACACATTCTGGTTTGATAGTTGACTGCGAGTTGCACGATTTGGTAGCCTGTGATAATTTCAATGCAATGAACCAGATTTCTTCTTCGGTGAAAAAGGTGAAGTGAGTTTTCACACGATGAATCATATCATCCAACCTTCTTGCCTCTTTATGAACTTCGAAGTTTATTCCGTTGCACGCAAAGGTGGTGAGAAAACTGACACAGTCAGGATTAGGCGGCCCATTGATGAGTCTCAGCTCAATTCTCGAGAGATCAAAAAGGCAAATTGCGGGAAATGTTTTATCTCTGTGATGTTTATTCGTGAGATCCGCAGGATTGATGCGAAAATTCTCCAAGCATAATTGAGAAAGTTTGTCCACAACTCTGCCAGGGAGAGGCAACTGACAAATTTGACTGAATCGAAAAATTGTCACAGCTTGTTTCACAGCGCTTCCACAAATATCCTCCAATGATTTTGGCTGGTTGTCTTTTGCTTGTTTTGTTACACTTTCCACTTCATTTGTAATTGGGTTATAGTTTGAATTCAACATGGCCGCATCGGCAAGCGCAGCAAGACCTTGGAATGCTCCATGGACATTTTGTCCCCCTTCTGGAGCCTCTGCCATACTCTGTAAGTTTCCCATCAGTTGTCATAGCAACAGGTCTATTGTGTGTCATATTAATCCATTTCTGAGTCTGTATTGTGATGATACATTGTTGCTAGTGTTGCTATGGCAGCGTGGTTTTCTGTTTTAACAAACATCATAGTAATTATGATGTCACAATCCCTTGTCAGAACAGAATTTTCAGAGTTGAATGTTCTTATGATGTCACAATTGGGAGGTGAAGACGCACAGTATTGGTTGCCATGGATCATCTGATGGTTTAAATATTGTGTTTTCTCATAATCTTTTTATTCAAGTTCTGCTATTCTGTTTATAGAGATTATCTTATAAAAGATTCAGGATATTTGAATTATCCTGAGGCCATTATAATATACGTATCCATCCTTTCATGTGAAACCACCATTTGTAGTATAAGCTCAAAATGTTCAAATGTAACCGAGCATTCGAAGTGCCATATTAACTAATACCTTGTTAAAATTGTGATATCACCATGTTTAAGTGTGCCATTGCCATGTTTAAGGGTGACAATACCATGTTTCAGTGTGACATTTCAATGTTTCAGTGTGACATTACCATGTTTCAGTGTGATGTTTTCATGTTTCAGTGTGATATCTCTATTTTTCAGTGTGACATTACATTGTTTATGGATTACATTTTCATGTTTCAGTGTGACATCACATTGTTCAATTGTGCCATTTTTGTTCTTCAGGTGTGACTCAATGGAGCGATTACGTGGGAAATGCAGTACTTTGGAACAAGAAATAAGAGATGCCAATAAATTCAAAGATTTTTACCATTTTACGTTTAATTACGCCAAAAACCAAGGACAAAAAGGCCTAGGTAAGTTACCACTGTATAGAGTAGGCTGAATGACTGGATTGAATAATGCAAAATTCTATTTCATGATTTTTTTTTTTTTTTATTTTTATCAAGACATATTTATTTCATTACAAGATATTACAATATTTCATGATAGATGATTTACCAATAAAAAATAGTTTTTAAATTGGGCAATTGATTACCACTAGTTTGTCCTTTAAAAGAGAACTTCATCTACACAATCCTTTGGTCAAACCTCAGAAAATCAGATTATTGAGAATAGAGTTATTCAAGATCATTAAAGCATGCACTGTGGGGGTTTCATTGGAACTTCTCACAACTGGCTAAATAAATCAACATGGAAAAGTTGAAAAGTCCCCCAAAACAACAGGCAATTTTGTGAAAACAACCGGTGAAAATCGCCTGTTGCCTGCTGCTAATGAAACCCCTGCGCTGAATTTTATGCTTTCATAAGTGCCTGCCATTCATTTCATTTCACTTTACCATGAAGGCCATGGCAGCTACTTTTAGGGTGATTTAGATCTTATCAATCTGTCAGCATCAAAACTGTATATTGATTTCCTCAAATCACTAACCTATTTAAAACTGAGTTGACCTATTTAACCTTTTACTCCAGTCTAATACCAATAACCTTGAACCCTGAGTCCTTATTCAGTTTCAGTGTATATCTATTTCACATATTTCATCATCATCATAAGTCATCATCTGAGTATATCTTTGAAACTGCCCATGGGGTTTTATGCAGGAACTTTATTTTCAAATATATTATTGAAGATATTAAACCTACGAATGTGTATTTTTCAGATTTAGATATGGCCATTGCGTACTGGAATATAGTCATGAATGGAAAATTTAAGTTTCTCGACCTCTGGTGTAAATTTTTAGAAGTAAGTTAATATCTTCTAAATGTCATGAATCACAATTCCTAAAATAAGCATAAGATTTAATCCTTTTCTGCCATAAAACCATAAGTCAAAGATTAAAATCATAATCAGAAAATCATAATCAATTGGAAAATCATAATCAATTGGAAAATCATAATCAATTGGAAAATCATAAACAATTGGAAAATCATAAACAATTTGAAAATCGTAATCAATTGATGCATACTTTGTAAAGCAAAACATAAACTAAAAATTTAATGTTTCAGGAACATCATAAAAGATCGATTCCCAAAGATACGTGGAATCTTCTATTAGACTTTAGCAACATGATTGATGACGAGATGAGCAACTATGATGAAGAGGGTAAGTAAAACAAACAAACAAACAAACAAACAAATATGGTTGCAAACTTAAATAATGAAGATAAGTAATGGACGGTGTCGAAATATTGACAGTTTTGGAAATATGAGATTTTGTTGTTCTGGTTTGACCTTCCTCACCCTCAAATGACAAAATTTGAAAATGTTCATTTTTTTCAAAACCCCTCCTCTTAAAAAGTGAACTTTCACATTTTTGGACAATTGAACACCATTCCTGGTTTTACGAAAAAATTTTCACTCTCAGCAAAATTTGGATCATGAAAATGGCAACTTGTTGACTTTCTGTAAGCTCATTGCTTGATTATGGAACTTTGTGAAACTTTTAAGAGAAAAATGTTGATTTCATACAATTTAGAGTGTGTATGTGTGTATTTTTACTTTATTCCTTATTGCTTCCACTTTAACTTTGGAAAGCGGAAAACATTAAAGCAATGCTTTTTAGGTAGGAAACAAATCCTGGGAAAAGTATGAACAATTTTTTTATGATACAGCAAGAGCCAATACCGTATTATCTCTATTAAACGCACAGTGTGCTTAGCAAATTCCCGTGGGGGAGAGGTTTCAAGCAGCTAAATCCCCGGGAATTCTAAAAAATTATGATGGTGGGCGATAATGGGTGAAAATTTACTTCTATACCTTAAATCGATCAAATATAGTAGATATGTGCGTTTATTCGAGAGAATATGCTATATGTTATGTTTTTACCTTGAATTGTGAGCTCCTAGATGACAAATTTAGTATATAAATACACTATTTTATCGTATGATATGTAAAATGAAGCCCTCTGATTGGTCAGTTCTTGTGCTGTACCAATCTGTATTGCTACTGAGATTGTCCCCGTTGATCATCTCCGTCGCAATACAGAAAATATTGGTACGGAGGGGACAATCTCAAGATCACACGATAAAAACGTTATTGAATGATTTGAAGTGCAATACAGGATACATTCTGTCTCGACATTCTGTATTGGCACTCGACTTCGTCTCGTTCCAATACAAAATTTCTCGAACAGAATATATCCTGTATTGCACTTCAAATCATTCAATAACTTATAGTGTGTTATTTACACGAACACCTGAAGAAATTTCTTACATTGCATGATGGGAAATCGTGACGTCGTGAATCATGATGCATTATTTTAATGAACGGTGAAAATACTCTATTATCGCCCACAATGTTTTTTTTATTAGAGCTTCGTCAGATCTCAATATTATCTGGACAGGACTTTCTAATCTGGGACAAAAAGTCGGGTGTGCGTTTATTAGAGAGTGTGCGTTTAATAGAGATAATAATACGGTATAAAAAAATAAATTGAGGTTTGACTTTTGTATTCCAGGGGCCTGGCCTGTTCTGATTGATGACTTTGTGGAATATGCGCGACCAATCGTACAAGGGCCTAAATCTACATCTGTATGATAAACAGTTAGAGACATCTATAGGAATTTATACAAACTAACAATTGGTTGCAGAAATTGGAAATTCTGTCAGGAGTTCTCAAATTAGTACTGAGCAATTAATCTGAGCAATTAATCTGAGCAATTAAAGCGGCAGAAAACTTGAAAAGTGGCGTCAGATTCAGAGATGTTGAAAATTAAGCAGTGTTTGCCCCAGGAATTTTTCTCAATAGGATGCAGTATCATTAATTTATTTACATATTCCGAACAGAATTGTCCAAAACTTGGCAATCGGGGCAAATATCCTATTTTTAGAATTGTTACTCATGCGTATGGAAATGCATTGTGATATGACCTTTGACCTTATCTGCGTCTTTCTCGCTTCTAACCAGTTCATTTTATTGCCAGCTTTTTTGTTTTTTGGGATTTTTTGAATAACAGGCACTTTTAACTTCTGCAATTTTTTATCACTTAGCTGTATTTCTTAAAATTCACTTCAAAGCACAAAAATATAGATGCTTTTAATGAAAAAATGAATAGATACAGCATAACTTTTTATTCAAAATTAACATTTGCTTGGAAGAATAGTCCTTTTATTGAAATTGTCACTTTTTGTGGAATTCACAACTGTTATTCAAATTATAATTCCATAATTTTCCGTTTTATTTTTTCATTTTGCCCATTGTCAAAAATGCTAATGAGACCAAACATTACATGATTTTATTTCTAAGCTAAAAATATTATCAGTTCTAAATTGGTATTAATGGAAGTCAAACATGGACAAACTTTGATTAAACCTGGGATTATCATATCAGCCATTAATCCGATAGATCAGCACTTACACATATTTTTTGGAGTTTTTCCGAAGTAAAAAGAATTTATTTTTAGGTAAAAATATATATTTGACGATATGACTATGAGCACTATATTTTATTCTAATGACATTTTTATGTCTTTGATTATAATTGGAAACCTTATTTAAACCAAATATTATATTTATTAGTTATAAACTATAAGATATGTTATTGGCAATTACTATTTGTATGCTATTTAATTAGCACTAGGTCTGGTGTAGAGAAATTGTTGTTAGGAAGGAAAATACATGGCATATGTTTGGAAAATATCTGACTAAAATATGGCATTTGTTTGGCTAAAATATGACATATCTTTCAGTAATACATGACATATGTTTGGCTAATTGTGGGATATATTTGAATAAGACAACATTTGTTTGGCTAAAATATGGCATATCTTTCAATAATATATTACTTATGTTTGGCTAAGTGTGGGAATAAGACAACATGTTTGTCGAAAATATGAAACATATTTATTTAAATGAAATATTGTATATGTTTTGCTAAAATGGAAAATATCTAAGATTCAAAATGTTTTAAATGAAGCCGCCTCATATTCATATGTGTGGATGAAAAAATCAATGATTTCCAGTAAATATGGTAATGCTAAAGGTGAAAAGTTAAATGTTTAAATTGGGACTTTAGGTTGAATGCACAATGTTAATCATAAGTGCACCATGTTAATTCTTAATATTTGCACCATGTTAATTTTAAATATTGAGTAAAATGCACTCATGTACAGGGTGACCGGAAAAAAAGGAGACCATTGAAGTTATCAAATTCTCCTAAACTAGACAAGTGCCATCAATGAAATTTTGCATACACTGGAACAGTTATATGGAAATTTGTTACTGAAGGTTTCAATACAAGCATTCAACTGGTTCAGGAGCTTTGATCATTTACATAACATGCTCCAAATAGGCACAATTGAGACCAACGCAGAGTTGGATTCATATGGCAAACTACCCTTACATGTTCTGCCCTCTATGGCATTATTATGGCATTACATATAGCAGTGATTGCCTTCTTTAGGTCAACAATAGTCTGAGGATTGTTTTGGTATAGATTGTCTTTCAAATATCCATACAAAAAGAAATCAGCAGGATTCAAGTCTAGGCTGTAATGGCAATGAAGGGTTATCTGACATGTGGTTCATCATCCTGTTGCCAAAGTGCTGATTTACCCAATCTTAAGAGTCACTTTAGGTATTGGGCATAGTGCCATGTTACTAAAACCACTATATGGCACAATTAAATCCAATATGGAAACCAAGGGCTGCCCAAAACCTCCTTAGGATGATACTGTAACTGAGTGGGACCACTGAGTCAGAAGCCATAGGTCAGATAAGCTTCGTCTCCATACACCTCAAATTTGAATCCACCTGATTTCTTTTTGTGGGGCAATTTGAAAGACAATGTGTACCAAAACAATCCTGAGACAATTGCTGACCTAAAGGTGGCAATAAATGCTAAATGTAATGCCATAACAAGGTCGGAATATGTAAGGGTATTTGCCAAATGTATCCAGCTCTGCGTTGGTCTCAATTGCGCCTATTTGGAGCATGTTATTTAAATGATCATAGCTCCTGAACCAGTTGACTGCTTGTATTGACACTTTCAGGAACAAATTTCCATAGAACTGTCCTGATGTATGCAAAATTTCATTGATGTCACTAGTCTATTTTAGGAGATATTGCCTATTTCAATGGTCTCCTTTTTTTCCGGTCACCCTGTATATTTAGTATATATCAGCCTTGAATGGTAAAAGTGGTCACAATCTGATAAAGATAATAAAAACTGATAAATAAAAATTTCATTTCAATCTGGCAACTGGCCGATAGAGTATTTTGTTCAAAACTGAATAAAACACTCAATCAGCTCAATTGAAAATCGGAGCAAATCTGACTCAGGTATAAAACGGGAAATTTATGTCATTTTTCAAACCTCCGAGGCCAAGTCTACATTTTTTATATCAATTGAAAAATGACTTCATCCACTTTGAGAATGTATTTGAATATTTACAGACTTTTTTCAAATCTTGGAACTCTATTGTACACTATCAAACATTCTGATTTTGAACTCCTTCCTTAAATGTAATTATAATTCAGATTAATTGTTGAAATATGTGACTTTCAAATCTTGGGAATTCTATTGACGCAAACAGAATTTTACAGGGTGTCCATAACATTAATTTCTTAACAATTACCATACAAAGTCTGTAACGTGTAAAACGACCTTATGGACACCCTGTATATCCTTTGCCCGCTACTCCTAATGTAATAATAATTATTTAGAGTAAATTATGATTCCGCATTCATATCACCTTGTCCCTAGGCAAAATGCTCTTGAATATGAGTTTAAAGAAGTTGGTGATTCATATTTTACAAGGATAGACAATTGTACAGTCGGCAGTGTCCATCATTATTATAGTGCTTTATTCTGCAGTGAGAATAAATTGAACATATGTACAAATGTATTATTTGTTATTTAGTGAATTTTTAATCCCAAAAAAGTTTATCATGAAAAAGTTTGATGCTGGTGTATGCAGCTCTAAAAATAAATAAAAAGCAGTACTGTGAAATCTGTATATCCGAACACCTCTCAATGTGTACAGTTTTTGTTGGTCCCAAATATGTTTGTATTCCATTGATATTTTAGAAAACTTGCAAGGAACGTCCCTCATCTCTGAAGACTGCTGGTTCTAGTGGTGTTTATAAATGCCATAAAGAGAAGGGACAAGTCTCTTTAAGTCTTTTGTAACAATGACTCCTTTAGTGAATAATGTAATAAATCATTGGAGAGGACAATTTCCTGGAATTAATTGTCGAGACAAAATTAGACTAAGGGATGTGTATTATTACTACATTTTGAGTTCTTTTCAAGTTTTAGTTGAAAAATGTATTTTTTAAGTTTTAGTGAGGCAATACACCCAACTCACATCTTGGCACCCTCATGAAAGAATACTTTATATAATATGTTGAACACACGCATACATCATCCTCCTAAGCAGGTATCCTGAATCCGTACCTCCTTCTTCCCCCTGCTATAACCAATTTGGAAGCGCCTGATTAAACTGAATCACGTGATCTAATTATGCACAATGACTTATACACGATTTTTGTCGCAGTGTTGCGACAGCCAATCAGATTGCGAGTTCTTAATCGGAGAAATGCTAACTGCTTAGCGCAGGGGGTAAAAAGAAAGAATATATTCAGGATTTTGAAGCCCTGTGATCGGAGGATGGCATACATATACTTGTTATAAATAGAATACCTTCTAGTAACTTTGACCTTTCACTTGACTTCCGACTTCAAACTTCTGACAAAGTGAGGTGGCATTTCTATCAAAATAATCTTTATATCTTTTCACCCTGGTGCAGAGTTCTTGACAAATCTCTGAATATGTTAGACAATTTTCGAGTTCAGCAGTCCTACCCTCTCCTTTGTTAGTCTTCACGACCTGGATCATACGTATTACAATTCAAACCCATTGCGCTGACATTTCAACCAATCAGCAAGCAGTTACATGAAAATTTACATTACAGTAGTCCTACCCTCTCCATTGTTAGTTAGTCTTTACGTATCATACGTATATCAATTCAAACCCATTGCGCTGACATTCTTGCTGACATCTCAACCAATCAGCAAGCAGATCCATAAAAATTTACATTTCACATCAAACTAAACAGAAGACAAAATTTTGATTTATTACAAAATTATTTCATCTTTATTCTCCTGAACAACATAGTTGGTAGCAACATGTCGAACCCATGCACACATGTACTTGTAATGAACAGAATAGCTTCTCGTAGTTTCGACTTTTCACTTCTGACAAAGTGAGGTGGCATTTTTATCGAAATAATCCTCATACAGTTCATTTGAATAATTTCCCGTTCTGGTTTGTGACATAAACAAATACTGAAACATCACGTTAATTTGAATAATTTCCCATTATGGTTGTGACATAAACAAATACTGAAATAGAGCAACATCCCATGTTCATTTTCTGTTCTGGTTCGTGACATACACAGAGATAGCAGCTGCTCTTTAGTATAAGGCTGAGGAAATTAAATTCTATATTCAGGGGTATTTGTATAAGGCCGAGGGAATAAATTTTAGGCTAAGTCAAAGTGGGTTTAATTTTGTGTTCAGAAATATTTGCATTAAGCTAAGGGAATGGAAATTTGTGTTCCGAAACATTTGTTATGGCAAGGGAATTCAACTATATTCTCAAACTTACTTTTTTCTTTATTTTCTTTGGCTAATTATATGCAATGAACAATATATACAGGTATATGCCAAAGCAGACAAGAAAATTGCCAAAATAATTGTTTACATAAATTCCTTTGACTCCTTTGTTCAAATGCAGTAGGATTTAAGCTCATATTTTAGTATAGCTCATATTAAAGTTGAATTTAAGCTCATATTTTAGTAGGATTAAGATCATATTTTAGTAGGATTAAGCTCATATTGAAATTGAGTTCTTCATATACTTTAGCAACAGATAGAGGTTTTATTGAGATGTAAAGTTGAGCAACTCATTTCTCAACATAATTCATATCTTCCCCATTAACATCAAAACATTAGTTTAACTTATTATAACAAACCAGCTATTGAAATACTCAATATCAAAAAGCAAACTTTTATATAAACATTGGAAATTTTGCCAATTTTTTCCATTTGAACAATATACTGAGACTACACATTCACTTTTATTAATAATGGAAATTTTACCAATTTTTTTTTTACCAAATTGAATTTACCAATTGAACAATGTAAAATATTAATTAAATCGCCATTCTTTTCATTAATTCATAAATTCCCTTAATAATTCAAGTGCCTTATTCTCGAGGTCTGATTTCAATTTTTGCAGCTATGGAGAAATTCAATATTGCAACTCATTCAATTCATGCATTCAATTTTTACATTTTTATGTTTCACACTGGTGTATCTCTCAGGAGACTCTGCCCAGGTCACTCCTCACTTACTTTAGGCCATACATTGAGAATTTAATTTTTTATAAAATCATTTTACCCACTTTACACTCCCACTTGCCATTCCAGATCTATCTAGATGCTTCACATACCAACTTGTTATTTTCAGTATCATGGCATATCCCTATCCATACTTTCCTGGGATATTCTTATTTTTACCACTTGGTGGTTAACAGTGAACATTGCCACTGAGTTATCCATCAACCAGGGATCCCACCCAACAGGTGTACAACAGTTAGAATCTGTATATTGAGTCACAGTCAAAAATTATTTTAAAACGCAATAAAAAGTCTGTTCATCTCTTTCGTTTCTTGTGCTTGGATTTATGCCGACTGGGTGACCTTGAATCTGACCTTTGAGGTGATGGTGACCTTCTATATTTTCTAGGACTGGATGACCTTGACCTGAAAATATAAAATATGATTTCATGAGATAAGGCCAGAAATACTCATTATACAGTAACCTGAATGAATCCTGTATTTCATATTCAAACATGACCGTGCTCTAATTGAATTTCTCAACCAATCAGAATGCAACATAGCCAATAATGAATGTTCTCTATTTCTCCATAGATGCACGACTGTGCTCTATTCAATCATCCAGGAATCTATATATTGTGACGCCATACCTACGAATGGCGAAAATAACAGCAAGTTATTTTATGGACCCAAATTCTCTGAACAATGTTTTCATTTTTACACTCGTTGGACAGAATGTTAGTACAAACGCAATCAGCTTTGGTTCGTGCTTTGAACAACATTCTGTCCAACTCGTGCTGAATTTCATCATTTTGAATGGCCTATTATTATTTATACCTAGTAATATGTATCGGAACTTGTAGCGAATAGGCCCACTGGGTGTTTATTTTGCACAGGGCGTTTATTTGAAAGAACCAAAAATAAACATCCATGGGCCTTTTATTCATAGGGAAAAAATATTTTTCCAAGGGGGTTGGGCATTTATTAAGAGGGAAAGATAGCTTTCCCAAGCCATTTGGCGTTTAATTCGATCGTTAAGTTGACAAATGGGCGGCCTTCATACTCATGCAATAGTATCATGAATGGGCGTTAATTGAGAAGTTCTCAATATGAATGCCAATGGGCCTATATAAATAGGAAAAATAATTTTTTTCATACAGCCCACTTTCAAATAAAAGCCCATGGGGCTATTTACGGCAAACTCTGGTAGTATATCATAATGGTCTCGAAAGAATATGTTAACACAACTATTTATCATATGAATAAATTAAAATAAAAAAGATCTACTGTAATATACTCTCACCTATGTTTTCTCCTATCTGATTTTGATCTTTTTGATTTAGGCGACCTTGACCTTGACCTATGACGTGACTTCCTGCTTGAGAGACTCAATGATTCTGGACTATAACTGTAGCCGGACATTTGAACAGTAGGTGACGCACTGCTATTTCTCTGAAAACAACAATTACAAGGGTACAGTAAAACATGTGTATCTGAACACCTCTCTAATCCGAACACCTCTCATTGTGAACACTTTTTAGTCCAATTTTTTAGTCTGCCATATACTTCCACATTAAAAATCCTTAGAATGTAAACACCTCTCTAATGTGAACACCTCTCAATGTGAACACTTTTTCAGTCCAATCTTTTAATCTACCATAGACTTCCATGTTAAAATCCTTGAAATGTGAACACCTGCTAATATGAACACTTCTGGCTCATCCCAGTAGAGTTCAGTTTCACTTTATTTACAATTATAAAGTAAATACACAGGAAAAACAAGGGAATACATTTGTTAAAGACCCTGTGCATAGTTTAACAAGGCACAGGACGTGAACGAGATCACACCATCAAATAGGCAGACACTATGAACCAGGAAAACTGTTCTCCTATTATGTTAACAAATTTCAAGAACAAGAAAACAAGATGGCCGCCCAAAAGTTAATCAGCTCTAGTACTTGATATCCTCTATCATTTGTGTAAATTTGAAGGAAATCCAATGAGCGCTTTTCCTGAAATGGCGATGACAAGATTTTTCGAAAAACCTTCAAAATGGCCACCAGAAAACAAGAGGGCCGCCCAAAAGTTAATCAGCTCTAGTACTTGATATCCTCTATGATGTGTGTAAATTTGAAGGAAATCCGATGAGCGGATTTTCTGAAATGGCGATGACAAGATTTTTTGAAAAAATCTTCAAAATGGCTGCCAGAAAACAAGATGGCCGCCCAAAAGTTAATCAGCTCTAGTACTTGATATCCTCTATCATTTGTGTAAATTTGAAGGAAATCCAATGAGCGGTTTTCCTGAAGTGGCTATGACAAGATTTTTCGAAAAACCTTCAAAATGGCCACCAGAAAACAAGATGGCCGCCCAAAAGTTAATCAGCTCTACTACTTGATATCCTTTATCATTTGTGTAAATTTGAAGGAAATCCGATGAGCGGATTTTCTGAAATGGCAATGACAAGATTTTTCGAAAAATCTTCAAAATGGCTGCCAGAAAACAAGATGGCCGCCCAAAAGTTAATCAGCTCTAGTACTTGATATCCTCTATCATTTGTGTAAATTTGAAGGAAATCCGATGAGCGGTTTTCCTAAAATGGCGATGACAAGATTTTTCGAAAAACCTTCAAAATGGCCGCCAGAAAACAAGATGGCCACCCAAAAGTTAATCAGCTCTAGTACTTCATATGCTCTATCATCTCTGCGAATTTGAAGAAAATCTGATGAGCGGTTTTCCTTAAACGGCGATGACAAAAAGCGGGACGATCACGATCACGACCAGTATGACGACTATATCCCACCGATGGTGTGATAAAAATATAAGCCAAAGTGGATAAAAACTTTACGTGGGGCCTTTAAGAAAAATTAGATTATTCTAGAAATGGGTGATATGCATTATACAAAAAGTTCAATTGGGATTTTGTGAAACTCAATTGGAATGAATTTTACAACACAAATAATGGCAATATAGGAGTAATTGAAGATGGAACATTTCAATGAAAAAATTTCTAAAACACAAGGCAATTAATAGTAAGATAAGCGGGATATTCCACTGCATAATCGTAATATTTCAGAGTAGATCACCTATTGGTTGAAATACTCACTGAGTAAGGCACCAGACCAGGTCCATCTGGTTCACTGGATGAAGACCTGTCTCTATGCATATCCCTTTCTCTCCTATCCCGCTCTCTTTCTCTCCTATCTGGATCTCTTTCTCTCTTTTCTCTCTCTCTGTAGTCTCGTTCCTAATGAAACAAAATAAAAAGGACTAGGTTATGAATATAAAGATCAACCAAAATACTTTTAAAAATTTATCTTGCTCTGAAGTAAAAAATCATTTTTTTTCACTTTTCAAATCAGAAAATATGGGAAAGTCTCAACCGAGGAAATAAGACACTTATAATACAATTAACATGCAAAATGTCACCGCCATTTGTTACAGACGCCAACAGCAGATCGCTCACCACCGATCGCCAACTGCAATCGCAAAAAATGGATCTTTCAATTTTTACACTTATTTCCAAATTCTTGAAATGTGTTTTATAAAAACAGCTCACCCTTTCCCTGTCTTTATTTCGCTCCCAGTCATCTTGTCTTCTCCGACCGTCAGATTTTTTCTCTTTCTGACGATCTTTCTCTAACTTTCGTTCTTTTTCTTCTTCCTTTTGCAATAGCTTTTTCCTGGAATCATTAAATATACATTTGCAATAGTTTTTCCTAGAATCACCAAATATACATTTGTAATAATTTTTTCCTAGAATCATCAAATATACATTTACAATAGTTTTTTCCTATAATCACCAAATATACATTTGCGATAGTTTTTTCCTAGATTCACCAAATATACATTTGCAATAGTTTTTTCCTAGAATCACCAAATATACATTTGCAATAGTTTTTTCCTAGAATCATCAAATATACATTTGCAATAGTTTTTTCCAAGAATCACTAAATACACATTTGCAATAGTCTTTTCCTGAAATCATTGCAATAGCTTTTTCAAAGATTATCTGAAATATATCCTGTAATGTTGGATTTGATATAAAATGATCTTATTTAATGTGATATATCAACTAACCTGTAATGTTGGATTTGATATGAAATGATTTTATTCAATGTGATATATCAACTAACCTGTAATGTTGGATTTGATATGAAATGATTTAATTTAATGTGATATATCAACTAACCTGTAATGTTGGATTTGATATGAAATGATTTAATTTAATGTGATATATCAACTAACCTGTAATGTTGGATTTGATATGAAATGATTTAATTTAATGTGATATATCAACTAACCTGTAATGTTGGATTTGATATGAAATGATTTAATTTAATGTGATATATCAACTAACCTGTAATGTTGGATTTGATATGAAATGATTTAATTTAATGTGATATATCAACTAACCTGTAATGTTGGATTTGATATGAAATGATTTAATTTAATGTGATATATCAACTAACCTATAATGTTGGATTTGATATGAAATGATTTAATTTAATGTGATATATCAACTAATCTGTAATGTTAGATTTGATATGAAATGATTTAATTTAATGTGATATATCAACTAACCTATAATGTTGGATTTGCTGAGATATTGTGTATTCAGATTTTCTAGATCGTTTGCCAGCCTCAAGTTCATCCTGGTACTTCATCACCTTCACCTGAAAATCAACCAATCAGATCATTCATTTCCTATACTTAAACCAATCAGATCATTCATTTCCTATACTTCAACCAATCAGATCATTCATTTCCTATACTTCAACCAATCAGATCATTCATTTCCTATACTTCAACCAATCAGATCATTCATTTCCTATACCCGAACCAATCAGATCATTCATTTCCTATACTTTAACCAATCAGATCATTCATTTCCTATACTTCAACCAATCAGATCATTCATTTCCTATTACTCGAACCAATCAGATCATTCATTTCCTATACTTCAACCAATCAGATCATTCATTTCCTATACCTGAACCAATCAGATCATTCATTTCCTATACTTTAACCAATCAGATCATTCATTTCCTATACTTCAACCAATCAGATCATTCATTTCCTATACTTCAACCAATCAGATCATTCATTTCCTATACCTGAACCAATCAGATCATTCATTTCCTATACTTCAACCAATTAGATCATTCATTTCCTATATTTCAACCAATTTCATCATTCATTTCCTATACTTCAACCAATCAGATCTTTCATTATAAATCAAACAATCAAGATCATTCATTTTACATAACTCATCTAATCACAATGTTCACCTCTAAATATACCAAAACAATTGCATTAAATTCATTCAATAAAAATATTGAACACACGGACAAAAAGTGTGTCTCCAGATCCAATTATAAAATATAAATTGACGCTACTTATATATTTCATATTTATACTTGCCTCAACTTCTCGAAGCTTGGCTCTTCTCTCCTCTGTCATCTCCCCTCTGGAGAAATATACTTCTCCGGCAGAGCCCTCTCTGGAGTGCCCCATACTAGAACTCATCGGGCTGCCATCTATATCTTGGTAATCATCCTCCATTGGGCTGGAAAAATATCAAGAAAATACTGTAAATAAAAGTTACAAACAAGCCATCGTGAATCTACATCCTGATAATCATCTTACATTGGGCTGGAAAAGGACATCAAGAAATACAGTATATAAAAGTTGAAGTTACAAAACAACTTGGAAAGTATGAAATAGTGCTGACTTGGAGTCTATTAAAGGAAAATTCTTGCACTTAAAATTTGAATTTTAATGATTTGTTACTATCAGATTCTTGTATAAGCCAAACAGGTCAAAATATCTTAATTTTCAAATCCCTAAGTGAATGCAGTATTCTTTCAACGCTTAGGAGATCACTGAATTTGATATATGTTCAAGAAAAACTCACTCTCCATCGACGTCCTCTTCCTTCGTTTTTTCTTCTGGGGCATCAAACATTTCCCACTTTGATGTCGTGACAGCTTGACGTTCAAGGTCATCCTCATCGACTGTTTCCCACTTCGAGGGTTTGAATTTCATGACAGCAGGAGTGGGGGCGGGGTTTTGATCCTCCAATGGCTGACCATCGAGATCCTCCTTATTTTCCACTGGAAATAAGCAGACACTTCAATCAAATTTTAGAGAGAAATAAATGGAATTAGCAAGGAATAAACAAATTAGGCATGTAGTAAACACTCTAAATTGTATAGAAATGCAAGAAAAAACAGGCAATTTATACTATTTATGGAGTGAAATGAATTGAATAAAGTAAAAAGTTAACAGAGCAGACATGTACTTGATAATTAAAAATCACCTAATCGATTGGAAAAGAAAAGTAACTATTAACTCACTTGGCATTCCATCTAAATCTACATCTTCGTAATCTCCGACTAAACTTTTGTTGAGGCCACCTAGTGGGATGCCATCTAAATCTGCCGGAGTGCCATCTATATCTTCAGAAAGAGGCTGGATGACGTCAAAGTCTCGATCAGGTTCTGGAGAACTCTCATCCTGAAGTATATACAAAATGTCATTAATTGCTTAATATTGTTCTTAATTTATATTTTATACAAGTATAGTACTATTTAAGGTTATTTTTTACAAGTATAGTACTATTTAATGTTATTTCAATAATGATTTAGGTTTCTATTCTGGACTTTCCATTTTCTCTTTTGCATTTCATTTAACAGCAGAACCAAATTTTCTAAGATTTATCTTTAGTTCATATTAATTCATTCTGTTAAAAAGTCTTGTGGCTTGCTCTATTTACTAAATTAGATTTAAAGGTTTTTGTTTTTCTTTCAGTGGGCTAGATGATTTAATACCTTGATGGTGGTTAGACCGAGGAAGAGGTTTTGTAGCCTTATTAGGAAGTCATTCGGGTAAACTGTCCAGTCCTCCCAAGCTCGGAAACAGCTCTGCACCTTTTGCTGAAAAATAAAGCATTAAAATTTACAAGACATGCAGCTATAGATGTAACGCCTAACAAAATGATGAGCATGATCAAAACCTAATCAGATCTCGGCACTAATCTGCTTTTGCATCTAGAAAAGTCTAATGGATGATCAGTTTTCCTGCTGTCTTAATGCTAAGTATCTTGTGGCATCCACACATCACTTTGAAGTGTGACAAAATATGACAATATAGCACTTTGAAGTGTGACAAAATATGACAATATATCACTTGAAGTGTGACAAAAAGATACAGTACAACATTTAGAATATATTCTTTTCTTATAATGCTTTCTTTTATAAGTCACAAAAACTACCCTTTGATATCCACATATGATGAAATGAACTGATTAAAACCTGTATAACAGAATGCCTCTCTAATCCCAACACCTCTCAATGTGAAAACACTTTGGGCCAATTCCAGTGGCATGTGGAGTAACTATGCTTTACTGAAATGAAATGAAGTGATTGTATACTTACTTTAAACTGTTCTGCCTTTAGTCTTCCTTCAATGTTATTATAATACATGTGTAGGTCTCTGAATACTTCTGCTAACTTGTTCTCAAAACTGGAACACAACAATCAAGTCTCGTAAAAATTCCAAAAATGTGAAAATATACAGTATGTGTCAAAATGGAAATATAGAAATAGCTGAGCAAAAAAAACAGATTCCAATCTGAATACCCATTACAAAATTTGAACAAAATTGCCCCTTGTCCATGAAGGCACTAATTAATTATTAAAAATATTAAATAATAAGGCATTCCTTTCTAATGGTATATTATATTATACACTTTCCACTTTCTAATGGTAGATTCAAACCCTATGACAATGAGCGTAATTCTTTTCCCATTTACTCAACTAAAAGAATGATATGCAATTTCTCGTCAAAAATCCTATTGAATTCAAAACTTACTATTTTCTGAAGAAAGAGGCATTTGGCACCTTAGCACTGCTATTGTAGAGAATATCAGAGATCAGGAACAGTCTGGCAATCTAAAATCAAAGAGTTTACTTTTTTACACTTTACCAGCAATACATTTTCAAGAAACTGCAAAACTTCTGCGAAACTTTTTAAATCACAATTTGTCACCTTCGATCATCTTTCATGATGTAACTTTGGCTCAAAAATAATTGTAATTTTCAATCATCTTTCATGATGTAACTTTGGCTCAAAAAATAATTGTAATTTTCAATTATCTTTCATGATGTAGCTTTTGCTTAAATTAATTTGTCATCTTCAATCATATTTCATGACATAACTTTTGCTTAAAATAGTTCCAGAAATAGTTTTATTTACTTCAAGAAATGGCTCTAAAAACAGATTATCTCTTTTAATTGTTATAGGTGCAATCTATCCTGAATACAAATCGTTCTGTATGCAATTCTAACCTTTTTAGGCAATGGAGTCTCCAAAATAGACAAAGACTCTTGAACACACTCGACTATTTCTTCTGCAGCCTCTGCATGATCGAGGCACCATACCATAGCATCTCCAACTTTGACTCTCTCTGGGGTCATATCACGCAGCATGTCTTCCAGTCTGTCTCTTTGTCTGGAAGTTAAAAATGGGTATTACCAGGGGGGTCACAGGGGGCTCCCTGATGACCACGGGATGTCTGGTGATCGGGGGTTTCTCAGTAACCAAGGGTTTTCTAGTGACCAGGTGTTAATCAGTTACCAAAGTTATCTCATTTATCTGATTTAGGTGAACAATACTTCTAGGGTGTATAAAATCCATTTTTTACAGTCATAATTTAGGTATATTTTACAGTCATAATTTAAGGTATATTTTACAGTCATAATTTAAGGTATATTTTCAGTCATAATTTAAAGTATTTTTTACAGTCATAATTTAAGGTATATTTTACAGTCATAATTTAAGGTATATTTTACAGTCATAATTTAAGGTATATTTTCAGTCATAATTTAAAGTATTTTTTAGTCATAATTTAAGGTATATTTTAGTCATAATTTAAGGTATATTTTACAGTCATAATTCAAGGTATATTTTACAGGCATAATTTAAGGTATATTTTACAGTCATAATTTAAGGTATATTTTACAGTCATAATTTAAGGTATAAACTTACGAGTCTGTTAATTGTCCTTTCTTGGGTCCAGCGTCAGTTTGCTCCCGATCTCTAACGAGTCGCTCATCCATACCACTAGTGTAAGGGTTCATCGCTGGAGGGCGCCACTTGCTGCCCCCTTTGAACATGTAGAAGTCATCGGTTGTCCACTTTGTGGGTGTGTCTCCCTGGGACAATGAAAAAGATTAATAATGTTAGAAACTTGCAGAATAATTATCTTTAGAAACTTGTAGAATGATTATCTTTAAAAACTTGTAGAATGATTATTTTTAGAAACTTGTAGAATGATTATCTTAAGAAACTTGTAGAATGATTATCTTTAGAAACTTGTAGAATGATTATCTTTAGAAACTTGTAGAATGATTATCTTTAGAAACTTGTAGAATAATTATCTTTAGAAACTTGTAGAATGATTATCTTTAGAAACTTGTAGAATGATTATCTTAAGAAACTTGTAGAATAATTATCTTTAGAAACTTGTAGAATAATTATCTTAAGAAACTTGTAGAATAATTATCTTTAGAAACTTGTAGAATGATTAATAATATAAACTTACAGAATAATTCAATTACTTCTACATAGAGAAAATGACTAATTGATAAGTGTAATTTAGCAAGACTTACTTGTAAAATGGAGAAGAGTTTCCACCTGTAGTAGACATGAGCTGGACTCTGGTTCTCAAATAGAAACCTATAAAATAATACCTTCTCACTTTGTATAGGCCTAGCTAACATGTTGTATAGGCCTAGCTAACATGTTGTATAGGCCTAGATATCATGTTGTTTAGGTCTAGTTAACTTGTTGTTTAAGCCTAGCTTACATGTTGTACTGGCCTAGCTAACATGTGTATAGGCCTTCTTAACTTGTTGTATAGGCCTAGCTTACACGTTGTATAGGCTTAGCTAACTTGTTACACAGGCCAAGCTAAATAGTTGTATAGGCCAAGCTAACATGTTGTATAGGCCTAGATATCATGTTGTTTAGGTCTAGTTAACTTGTTGTTTAAGCCTAGCTTACATGTTGTACTGACCTAGCTAACATGTGTATAGGCCTTCTTAACTTGTTGTATAGGCCTAGCTTACACGTTGTATAGGCTTAGCTAACTTGTTACACAGGCCAAGCTAAATAGTTGTATAGGCCAAGCTAACATGTTGTAGAGGCCTAGATATCATGTTGTTTAGGTCTAGTTAACTTGTTGTTTAAGCCTAGCTTACATGTTGTACTGGCCTAGCTAACATATGTATAGGCCTTCTTAACTTGTTGTATAGGCCTAGCTTACACGTTGTATAGGCTTAGCTAACTTGTTACACAGGCCAAGCTAAATAGTTGTATAGGCCAAGCTGACATGTTGTATAGGCCTTGATATCATGTTGTATAGGCCTAGCTAACTTGTTGTTTAGGCCTAGCTTACATGTTGTATAGGCCAAGCTAACATGTTGTATCGGCCTAGCTAACATGTTGTATAAGCCTAGCTAACAAGTTGTATTGGCCTAGCTAACATGTTGTATAGGGCTAGCTAACATGTTGTATTGGCCTAGCTAACATGTTGTATAGGACTAGTTAACTTGTTGTTTAGGCCTAGCTTACATGTTGTATTGGCCAAGCTAACTTGTTGGTTAGGCCAAGTTAATAAGTTGCAAAGACCTAGCTTAGATGTTGTACATTGTACTCATTGTGTAGGCTGATATCATGTTGTATAGGCCTTCTTAACTTGTAATATAGGCCAGGTTAACATGCTGTATAGGCATAGCTAACTTGTTGCATAGACCAATCTTAATACTTGTATAGGCCAAGCTTACTAGTTAATCTAGGCCTTTATAATATATTTTCAATGAGAAATACAGCCAGGGAAAGTAACAAATATGCAAATTAATTTACTACATTGGCCATTTTAAACAATTCCCATGTAAACAGATGTTTGTTTGAATACAAAATCTTCACATAGATTCACATAGAAGGCTTAGTCCTATTAGTCTGATATTTTCAGCCAATTTTCCCAAAATCTCAGAACTATAGAATATAGTCTACTAGACTTACATACAATGTCCATACATAGATTATGTACTAGGTTGTTATCTCTCACTAGACTTACATACAATACACACATACAATGAAATACATACATACAATAAAATACATACAATGTTCGTATATTACCTGTACATAAGGTTGTTGATCTCTCAGTAGACTTACATACAACACATACATACAATGAAATACATACATACATACAATAAAATACATTACCTGTACATAGGATTGTTGATCTCTCACTAGACTTACATACAATACATACAATGAAATACATACATACAATAAAATACATACAATGTCCATAGATTACCTGTATATAGCGTTGCTAATCTCTCACTAGACTTACATACAATACATAAATGAAATACATACATACAATAAAATACATACAATGTCCATACATTACCTGTACATAGGGTTGTTGATCTCTCACTAGACTTACAAACAATACATACATACAATGAAATACATACATACAATAAAAAATATAGGGTTGTTTATCTCTCACTAGACTTACATACAATACATACATACAATAAAATACATACTATGTCCATACATTACCTGTACATAGGGTTGTTGATCTCTCTGTTCATTATCATTGCCTCAAACATTGGACCCTCTCGAACGACAAACTCGATCATCCTGTGGACGACACACAGCAGAGTCCTGGAAAACCTTCCCTTGTTACCTTGTGATATACACAGAGGTGCCCATATTAGAGCCCAACTATGCATGATAAAGTAAACATGCCCATCCCCAATGTCTAATTTTGAATCATATATCTCCCCTTATTACCTTGTGATATACACAGAGGTGCCCATATTAGAGCCCAGCTATGCATGATAAAGTAAACATGCCCCTCTCCAATGTCTAATTTTGAATAATATATCTCCCCTTGTTACTTTGCGATATACACAGAGGTGCCCATATTAGAGCCCACCTATTCATGATAAAGTAGACACGCCCCTCTCCAATGTCTAATTTTGAATAATATATCTCCCCTTGTTACCTTGTGATATACACAGAGGTGCCCATATTAGAGCCCAGCTATGCATGATAAAGTAAACATGCCCCTCTCCAATGTCTAATTTTGAATAATATATCTCCCCTTGTTACTTTGCGATATACACAGAGGTGCCCATATTAGAGCCCAGCTATGCATGATAAAGTAGAGACATGCCCCTCTCCAATGTCTAATTTTGAATAATATATCTCCCCTTGTTACCTTGTGATATACACAGAGGTGCCCATATTAGAGCCCACATATGCATGATAAAGTAGACACGCCCCTCCCCAATGTCTAATTTTGAATAATATATCTCCCCTTATTACCTTGTGATATACACAGGGGTGCCCATATTAGAGCCCAGCTATGCATAAAGTAAACAAAGTTTGGAAATAGCTACCCATTTTTCAACCCATAATATTTTGCACCCTATAACAGCGGATTATATAAAAATGGACTGTAACAAACACCCGGATTTGTTGATTTTTAAAAAAAAGTAATTTTTTGATATCACTTTTTATTCCCGGCATAAAAAGTGATGTCCCATTTTATGCTGGCATAAAAAGTGATATCCCATTTTATGCCAGCATAAAAAGTGATGTCCCATTTTATGCTGAGCATAAAAAAAGATACTCCATTTTATGCTGGTATTGGTTTGGAGGTGATGTTTAATGGTAGTTCAAGATTTAAGACCCATCATTCTGGCACAGATTGCTGAACCATTGTTAGTTAAGAATTTCTAATAGAATTAAGAATTATTAGCTGAAACTGAGTTGTTTTGCCCTGGCAAACAATTTTCCAACTTGTAGTTCAACTTCTTCTGTCTATTTGTTGACAGTCTGTGATGTCATCATCAATCATCACAATAGAAATGAGGTAATTCACGATGACATCACAAAGTACTCTGATGACATCATCAATCATCACAATGGAAACGAGAAAATTCATGATGACATCACAAAGCATCTCTGTCATAGATAGAACTCTGCCACATTTCTTAGAAATCAAACTACTATGTGACATCATAGATAATCTCACTGTCACAGATAGAATTCACCTAATTCCCATTGTGATGATTGATGATGACATCACAGACTGTCAACACATATAGACAAAAATGAATTTCAAATGCATATTGGGATATTGTTTGCTAGAACAAACAGAACAGTTTCAGCTATTAATTCTTAATTCTATTAGGAATTCTTAACTAAAATAAGTTCAGCAATCTATGTGAGAAAGATGGGTCTGAAATCTTGAACCACCTTTAAACATCACTTACTAAATAATACCAGCAGAAAATGGGGTATCTCTTTTTATGCTCAGCATAAAATGGGACATCACTTTTTATACCAGCATAAAATGGGACATCACTTTTTATGCCAGCATAAAATGGGACATCACTTTTTATGCAAGCATAAAATGGGACATCACGTTTTATGCTGGGCATAAAAAGTGATATCAAAAAATGTTTTTTTTAAAAACCAACAAATCCGGGTATTTGTTACAGTCCATTTTTATATAATCCGCTGTTCTATGTAAACATGCCCCTCCTTGATAACCAATATTGAATCATACATCTACCCTTGTTAACGCTTACTTTAATCAGAGCCCACTAATGAACGAAGAAGTGTCACCTATTTTCATTTCATGGAAGGTATATCCCCTCCTCAACTACAACTTTTGAACCACAAATCCTCCCAAAGCCCTCATATTCCCAAAGCCTTCATATTCCCATGTTGACTCTTTTAGAATCAGATAATCTAAGTTTGGAAATAGCTACCCATTTTTCAACCCATAATAATTTGCACCCTATGTATTGTTGGAGTTGACCCATAAAGTGACCATAAAGTATAATGTACATACAATATGATGACATCACAAAAGACCATGTGACCTGTGTAGTGTAACCTTAGCCATGCAGTTTTAGAGGCAAAACTGCATGGCAATGGTAGGGTGTCCCAAAATAAGACATTTTGTCAGCTTGCTTAGATAATCAAAAAAAAAATTTCGATCTATAATAATTCGATCTTAAAACTCACCTGACCGAATTTTTGCAAAATTGGTCAACATTTAGCTCAAGTTATTTGGTCAAGCTGACACATTGTCAGTTTTGGTACACCCTATGCTATAAGCAATCTGAGATGTCTTCAGGCATAAACACATGTTTGAGTGTGGAATTATAGAGAGGTCTTTCATAATGCTTTTAGCCAGATGTATCTGTGACCACAACCCATTAAAATGGAAAAAATATTGCACCTTTTCTTTATCAAAAAATAATGGTTATGGTCATGTGAGGCTAAGAAAACATCATAGAAAGCCTCCCTATCATTTATGACATTTGCACCTCATCAGTGATATGTACATGCAATTTTACCACACCTCATTATATACAAGGGGTTAAATTTTCAGCTCAATGAACACAAGGTAACATTTTCACCTCAATGTACATAAGAGGTAACATGTTCACCTCACTATATATAAGAGGTAACATTTTCACCTCTCTATACACAAGAGGTAACAATGTCACCTCTACGTACATGAGAGGTTCATTTTTCCTCATTTCACATGAATGGTAACAGTTCCATCAAACTATTACAAATGAGAGGATACATTTTTAATTCAATGTTCATTCTATACATAACAGGTTATACTTTCATCCCAATATACACAAGAGGTAATATTTTCACCTCACCATATATGAGAGGTGGCACTTTCACCTCATTTCACACTGTATATAAGAGGTAACATTTTAATCTCACTAAATGAGAGGTAATATTTTCATTACAATTGGTTGGCATTAACATTATCCCCTTTAATGGAGCATTACAATGAATAATAGATACAATGAATATAGATACAATACATACAAGCTATATTGTGTCTTTGGCCCAGTCTTTCTACTCAATTTGATATTTTACCCTTTTTATAAGGGCAAATACCCTCTAGAGCATTTTAGGACCAGGTTCTTTGATTTCAAACCATGTTGTACAGGGTGTCAAATAAACATTCTCCCCTTCATTTAAAAATCATAAACGTTTGTGCATAAAAATGTATCTAGTTGAGCTAGTCATCTGAAACTTTTTGTTGAGTTGCTCCATGAAGCCTTGTTTTAAAGGGCTAAAGAACGACTTAGATATCAAACAAACAAAGAAGTTAGCAAACATTATGTGGTCGTCAATGCTATTTATTATATCTATTTGACACCCTTTTGCAACATCGTACAGGAGACCGCAAAAATACAACCCTATAATTCTGGAATAGCTTTTTAATTTTGGTGGAATTTTAAGTCTCACATGCTTAAAACTTACTTAAAGGCAAAATATTGTGAGAAATATACATTTGTGACAAATGTAGGAAAAAGTTCATTCCTTGATTATTTCATGTCTTTTTTGCTTGATGTTGCGTCTCACAAAATGACCCTATATGACATCCCTGTTTGACATTCCTATGTGACATCCCACGAGGCATCCCAATATGACATCCCCATGTGACATTCCTATTTGACATTCCCGTGTGACATATTGTATAAGATGTTTTGGCTGACTTCGTTTTTACACCAATCGATGTTTCACTTTAACCAATCCACACTCCAATCAATGATGCTTCTATACTTTACCATAGAAGAATGAAATGTCCAGTTTTGGCAATGCTCCCATATCCATCCATCTGCTAGTATAGTGCATTGTCTTCATCTCCATTGACTCGCCTTTTATGGGGAAGGGGGGTGTTTATGAATATTGACCATATTTTGATGTTAGCAGTCTATTTGTGCATATACATTATACTGGTTTTTAGCAAAGCATTGGATCCCAAGATTTGGTTGATTTAATGAACAACTTCTTGTATGCAAGCAATTAAACGAGGCTGCCAGGCCGTGATTTACCCACAAAAAATCGGTTCATTTAATGACCCACCGAGTCCTCCACTTTAATTCTCTTTACATTCAAAATGTTTGTTAACATTTTGACCTTCATAAACACCTGTACTTTACTTCACAGAGGGTTGTTGTTTTTCCCTTATTACAGTTTTAGATTATTAACCATGCGCATGTTGTAAAATACAGAATGACTATACAGTAAAACCTGTCTTGGTGAACATCACTTCAAGACACATTTTACATTAAAATCCCTTCTCTGTAGTGAAACCTACAGGTTTTACTTTACTTTGCTCTGATTGGCCAGATAGTAATACAGAATAGCTTTACTGTCTTCTGATTGGCCAGAAAGTAATACAGAATAGCTTTACTGTCTTCTGATTGGCCAGAAAGTAATACAGAATGGCTATTCTGCATTCTGATTGGGCAGAAAGAAATACAGAATGGCTATTCTGTGTTCTGATTAGCCAAAAAGTAATACAGAATGGCTATTCTGCGTTCTGATTGGCCAGAAAGTAAAACAGAATAGCTATACTGTGTTCTGATTGGCCAGAAAGTAATACAGAATGGCTATACTGTGTTCTGATTGGCCAGAAAGTAATACAGAATGGCTATACTGTGTTCTGATTGGCCAGATAATAATACAGAATGGCTATACTGTGTTCTGATTGGCCAGATAGTAATACAAAATGGCTATACTGTGTTCTGATTGGCCAGATAGTAATACAGAATGACTATACTGTGTTCAATTTTAGCAAAATTAGTGGAAAAAATGTGGGATATTTTCCAAATCACATCCTATGTGTGTGTGTGTGATAGCTGAAAATATCCATACAGGTAAACAATTTGTTCCTATTTTCGTTATTTATCTGATCAAGTACAATTACTGCAAACATCAAAATATGGTTTACCATCCAGAACCTTTTATATCAATTGTGGTCTTTTTGTCGTCATAATGGTTGAAATTAGTATAAATGACATCATTTTGAAAAATAGGCTAAATGACATCATTTTGAAAAAAAGGCTTTCTAAGACAATTGAACATTGATTAAAAGATTTCTGCATTACAATATCTTTAAAACCATTTGCCCAATTAACATTTAGTTTAGATTTAAGCAATTTTCATCTGGAACTAATTTCCCCCTACAGCCTACATGGACACCTTTCATTCCAGATGAACACCCTTCTCCCCGAATAAACACTCAAATGCCAATGGATGTTGTTAGAGATGTCATTTATACAAATTTTTATGACCATTGTCCTCGCATAATATTTGTTTCAATTTTTTGTTTGTCCAAAATTTAAAAAAATCTTGAATTTTGTATCTGAACATTTTGAAAGCCCAATTTAGTATTATGCATTGCAAGGACTGACAGAGCCACCTATCGTTGATAAAGTAAAATAGAAAAATACTACCTTTCCGTAGGAATGACCACTTTGACGACAGCGTTGGAAATGGTCTGTAGAGAACCACCGTGAAAAATATGATAACACGATTACATCATTATATGCCCTCAATAATAAATATAAATACAAAATCAAAACTAAGGCCAAGGAAATGAAAGCTGGTCATTGAAAATAACAAATACAATACCATTAACCAGATAATATTTTCATTGGCCTATATGTGTGATTTATTCTCAACACAGAATTCAAATAAAAATTAATAACTGGTCTCGTGAATATCAATGAGACACTAATCAGATTTATTTGCATTGGCCTTGCCAAAGATTGTAAATCGAAGAGAAATTTGGAGATGCTTTCAAAAGTTCAGAACATTTATTGCATTTAAATGAGACACCATCAATTTTCTTAAGATTTCTTACGCATTTAAGAATTTTCAAAATACAGGATTACATCCACACTTTGACGTGCCATTGCCTATTCCAATTTTGTAGTATGTACGATATATGAATTCATAATTTTCTAACTACATGCGAAAGAAATATCTACAGCTTCTATTTTTACTTAACAGAGTTTTTGTATATAAATGGACATTTATGTGTCATGTGTTTAAATGTCACACTGGTCAAATGATGTCATTATTTTTTAACACTGCTCAAATTATGTCAGTATACTGATGTCACAATATTGAGGATTGAATATTTTATAAATTGAATAATTCATTCCCATCAATCTTGTTTGATATAAAAAGTTTTGAGAAGATTGATTACTTGATAGATTTCCCATAATGCAATGTGAAAGCAGACGACAATTTTACTTAATTTGACCAGAGTAACGTTTGAACACCAAAAATGTATTTAATAAAATCTGACGTGTATTTAACGTCATCATGTATACTGATACCTGTTCAATTGAATTCTCCTCCCTAGATGGCGCCTCCTGTCCCTCTGGTGGCGGAACATTGCCATAACCCTTCTCTCCATTGTCTTCGCGTACATCCTGGTATCGTTTCTTCCGTGGTTGAGCATTGAATGGTAGCCCCGAGGGTGGGGGAGGCAGGGTCAATTCTACCATAGAGGGGGGTATATACACGGGGTGGGGCGGTATTGGGACCGCCTTCCCCCAACCTAACTTCATTTCAAATGTCATTATATCCTTCCCTAGAAAAACAACGCTTTGGTTGTAAAAAGTAAACAAAGCATATACAAATATTAACCCTTGATGGACCATCTTTATGTGCAATTTCACATCTGTACTGTAATAAAGAGCATTTGGCAAAATCTTCAAATCGCTCCGCATTTATAATCAATCACTAGGAATAGAATGATATTATATGAGCTGAAATAGTCGGAATTCGCAAAACCACCCCAAAACATCAATTTCCCAAGGAATTGACCATAGAGGGTTAATATACCAATGGATTTAAATATATTATAACAGCAATGTTAACATTTGATTTTTCCGATCTGCAACCACTGGCTGGAAGAAATGTGATTAGAAATCACCAAAATACAACTCGGTCATATATGCTACGTTATAACATTTTCAAATGCAATGACCAAATTGTATTTGTTGATTGACATTATAATTGAACATTCAGTAAACAAGTCCTGCTTCTTTGATAAAAGACATATAATCAAATTACAAGTTTAGATCCTTCTTGAATAAAAACACATTTATGTGCACAATACATTGAAACACAAAGCCACAAAATAGAATTAATTAGGTTAATTAGGTATTAATTTTCTTGATAAAGGTAATACATATTTTAGGCTTTGCGTAACACTGTATAAAATAATAGAATTCCTTCTTATGAATAAAAAATCTGTTAAAGAGGTGAAACAAATAATTAAATCCTTCTTAAGGAAAAAGCAATTTACATGTACAATACAGTATGAAAAGCCTTCTTCAAGAAAAACACATACACTGTCAAGTCATAAACCAGTATCAAGTTACAAGCAAAGATTTTAGTTTTGTCAAAGCACTATTTTATCATTTTTCATATTTTTTCTCTTATTAATAAATATATACTGTGATCTTTTTTATTACACGAAAGTATTTTTAAAAATGTGAAGTCCCAACTCTGTGCTAAAAAGAGAAGGGGTACGGGTAATTAGCTACAGTTTCAAATTACTGTATTTTTAATTGGTAGAAGCATCGGAGTGCTCAGAAGTTAAAGGGAGAATCAGATCTTACAAGCAAGCAAAACAAAAAATTGTTTCAACTGAAGGATATTTTGGCTCATACAATTTCCTTGTCATGTCGATTTTTTTAAATTCGGGAGAAAATGTATTTGAGATCATAAGGATGAGATTGGTAGGTTATTTGCATACTTTACTTTTTGCAATTTTGTCAAGTCCTATAATCTGATTCTGCCTTTAATAAAAACTCTTCAATGTCTTACCTTTCAGGGCCGCCAACGCCCTCTCTCCATCTTTCCTGTTCATGTAGGCCACAAAGCCGCAGTTCCTACCACGTGACCTCTCGACCTCTGACCTTGGCCACATGACCTTGACGCTAGCTAATGGGCCGTATTTTCCAAATAATTCACAGAGTTGTTGCTCAGTAAGCTAATTAACAAGCAAAAGTGTTAGTTATATAACCGAGACAATGGTAGATTAGATACCACTGAACTTTTTAAAAATGCTGTGATTATGATGGAAATTTTATGTTAGACTTTTGAAATAAATCGTATTTATGATGAAACAAAAACGATCAATATGAAACACCCAAATTTTTTTTACTTGGGCGGGAGGTTAATATAGTAATTCAATGGAAAATAGCATGATTGTTTGGAGTTTCAGGTTTAACTGTGTGTTTATATTATTTTTATGAATCAAAAATATGTATAACTTACTTTAGGATTTAGGTTGCCTAGATACAGGTTTGTTGTCTCCGTATCTGTGTCATATTTGAACTCGTCCTTCTCAACTGAAATAAATTCATAACATTTTTTATATATAGAATTTTTAAAGGTTTTCATATATCTTTTTAATACTATGCAATTATATTCCTTTATGATAATTATTGTTTTACTCAAAATAAGTACAATTTGTATATATTCATCTGATCCATCTTAGCTAGCTGAACATGAATTGAATTGAATGTCATTTCATTCAAAAGTCAAATGCATTTTGAAATTACTTTGGTGACAACTGACAGACTTTGACTATTGTCAACCAAAACTCTCTGCAAATGGATTTTCAGTTGGGTGTAAGCCTATTCTCAAAATCTCAGGTGGGTGCTATGCCAACTTGCTTTATGCTGCTGGGGAGATCACTGCTACTATTGGCTATAAATTCATCATTTATCATTATTTACAACAATTTCTCTAGCTTACTTTGGTTTCTTAGAGATGCCAGTTCTGAAGGTGTCATGGGTGGTTTTTCCGGTTCAAAGCGTGTCTTACGTCTGTTATTTAGGCCTTCTTCATAGTCGTCCATCTGTTTCTTTAATTTGTGACGTTCTTGCCGTTCTTCTTGCATTCTGAAAATAATTGATGGGCTTTTTCAATTTCGAGTTTGAATATGTTTAGAAGTTGACACAGAAAGACAACTAAAAATTTCTGAAGAATGAACATTGTGAAGTTTCTTTTTTATTTTTACAATAGTAATGTAATAAATAATTGATGGGCTTTTTGGATTTGAGTTTGCATATGTTAAGAGGGAATTAAATTTACATAATTTGGCAAAGTTCTGAAGAAACGGCTTCATGTTTTAAAAATGAATTGCAGAAATGAAGAATGAGACACGGAACAAGACTAGGAAGCTATGATATTCCTAGATCATCCCCTTGAGTAGGAAATGTTCAAATTGAATTAGCATTAAATTCAACCTACTGTCTGAGTTCTTCTTTGAAGATTTCTAAATTGCTTTTTCTTTTCTCTTCCATCTTTTTCTTTTTACTTGGCAATGGCTAAAATTAAAAAAAAGACAATTAAATAAATGCAGGGCTCTCGCTGGGCTTTGAGGCTGTGTAGCATCACCCCAGATTACTAAGTTAATTTACTTGCAATTTTGCTAATTGACTTGCACTTTTGATAATTGACTTGCACTTTTGATAATTGACTTGCACTTTTGATAATTGACTTGCACTTTTGATAACTGACTTGAACTTTTGATAACTGACTTGCACTTTTGATAATTGACTTGCACTTTGGATAATTTATCTATACTTTTGGTAACTGACCTGTTTTCGATAATTAATTTGTACTTCTGATAATTGACATGTACTTTGATGATACTCAACTTATACATTTCATACTCAACTTATACATTTTACATTTTCATACTTGACTTATTCATGACTTATTCTTTTCATACTTGACTTATACTTTTCATACTTGACTTATACTTTTCATACTTGACTTATACTTTTGATACTTGACTTATACTTTTGATACTTGACTTATACTCACAGGTCTTTCTGGAGGTTTCTCCTTTTCTTTCTTGGACGTAGAAAATGTTGCTGCTAGCTCTGCCAGTTTAGAAGTTGGTTTATAAAGTCCTTTCTTGCTTTTAACACCATCTAGAAATGAATTAATAGTTATTTTCAAAATTAGAGTAAATAACACTCATATAACAGGCTAACTTTTGTTACCATCTAGAAACAAGTCAATCGATCGATACTTATTTTTCAAAATTAGAATGAATACCATTTTCTGATTGGATAAACTTCGGATATCAGTTTGATCAATGGTTTATCTTTAATTTGAGAGTCTAGATGTGAAGATATCATCTTTGAAAGGGTTACCGTGAAGATGTCATCTTTGAAAGGGTTACCGTGAAGATGTTATCTTTGAAAGGGTTACCGTGAAGATGTCATCTTTGAAAGGGTTACCGTGAAGATGTCATCTTTGAAAGGGTTACCGTGAAGATGTCATCTTTGAAAGGGTTACCGTGAAGATGTCATCTCTGAAAGGGTTACCGTGAAGATGTCATCTTTGAAAGGGTTACCGTAAAGATGTCATCTTTGAAAGGGTTACCATGAAGATGTCATCTTAGAAAGGGTTACCGTGAAGATGTCATCTTTGAAAGGGTTACCGTGAAGATGTCATCTTTGAAAGGGTTACCGTGAAGATGTCATCTTTGAAAGGGTTACCTTTATCTCCTGCAAGGCCACCTTTCACCCATGTCTTGGTAAGCTTTCCTGTATCTTCAAACGATGCAACAAAATCTTCATATGCTTTGGCGGCAGCGGCTTCTTCTTCCTGGTAATTAATTCAATCATTCATTTAAGAAGCTAATTACAAATTTCACAAAAAGGATAAGATTCTTTTCTCGTCGACAAACGCTTAATTGATAAAAGTGACCATTGCATCGCTTTACCAGATTTTAAATAAAATCTTAAAGGTGATTGATCAATGCAAAGAATTAAAAAAAAAAACTCAAGATTATTATTAAAGACAACTTTATTCATTTCTTCAAAGAATTTTCAAAGATTTTTAAGTGAGTTTTTTTCAGAATAGCATTCACTATCAGATTAAATGAAATTGTCTGCTTTTTACGTTGTATTACAGGTAATTTTATATTACCGTCTGCTTTTCACATTGCATTATGGGTAATTTACCCTTTTCAGTATATTGCATTCACTCCATATGTCATTGTGCTCAGATTAAATGAAATTGTTGTCTGTTGTTTACATTGCATTACAGGTCATTTTAAATTACCGTCTGCTTTTCACAAATTGCATTATGGGTAATTTACCTTTTTCTTGAAGACTTCTTGTTCTTTCTTTGTCATGCCTTTCTTTGGTAAGTTCATACTGCCAATGCTAAATGCCTTTAGTTTGTTTTCGGATATTGACTGAAATAAAGAACAATAATTTACAGCTTTTTTACATATTTTTCATAAACAACACTAAACACCATCCTGCAATTTGATTGGACATGACGTAAGGGGGAGATTTCCCAAAGATGACCTTTCATATTGGCACGTTCGAAAACAAATCTTATAAATAGGCCTCATTTGTCATTGAAATGGATCTCAAAATGTTCGCTGTAGTTTTATGAGCATTCTCTACAAGTTTGGATCGAGTCCGATAGAATATGAAAGAATTATGGGAGCTATTCACTTCTTCTGAACAAAACTAAGCACCATGGGGTCACTTTGACGACTTGTTCATTAGGCTCTGACTCCTGATCATGTGAATGTACAGTAGATAAGTTTGCAATGGCTCTGATGATATGGACCCGGAGTCTATTTCTCCAAACTCCGTAAAGTTGCGGATCCGTAAGTCAATTGTTCTTTCTCAAACTTACGGACATTGTGCATTTCTCGAAAACTCGTAGATTTACAGGATTTTGTGTGATTCCTGTAAGTTTACAATGTTCATGATGTCATAGCCTTCTTTTTCCATAACTTTATGGGCACCTCAGACCCTGTCCATAACTGTTTATGGAAGAATTACGATACGGAGATACAATTTGAAAACTCCACATCTTTCTCGCAACTTTGTCAATTCTATGGAAATCGTAACTTTACGGATCTACAACTTTAGGGACTTTAGAGAAATAGACCGCTGACCATCAGGGTTGAGACTTACAGGGGGAGCCTGGTCTACTGTACTGTAGTTGTGACATATTTACACATTGAGGAATGGGACCTCTAATATTTAACGAGAAAGTGTCAAAGTGCGAGTCAATTTGTGTCAATCAAACCAAAAAATGATAAATCAAAAGGGAATATATGGGCTCAAATGGAAAAAGATTTAATTTTTGATACAAATCTTTTGTTTATTTCAAACAAATTATTTCTATAATATGCACTTAAGGCCAGGGTGCATGTTAGAATTTTTTGCAATTTTGAAAGGTAAACCACTGAATATTCTAATTATTCAAACATTCTGAAGAATTATCAACCTTCAATTAATAACTAATGCATATTTTGTGCAGGAATGAAAGATGTAGATGATATGTGGAATGAGTTATGTTTATCTGAAGATAGCACATGGTCATGGAATTTCATCAGAGTGCACCCTGACTTTAAAGGATTATGGTAACATACAGCTGACAAAATGGTTAAAAAAACATTTTCTCAGACTTTAGAGTCAATTTCAAGGTTCAAAATCTTCTCTGGTGACTCTATTTTCGAACTATGCATGAAAGTCCATTCAAAGTCGCCTATTGAACCTTGAAAAACCATATTTAGACTGAGGATTGAAAGGTGTTCATGACAACTTTCAGCTCATCTTTATTACGACAGACCGGAAGTGAATTTTCGAGTTGAGTAAATGGTGATAATGTTCTTTTTTATGAAGCAGGGAAGTCAAAACATTACTTATAGAAATCATAGTAAGCATGAGAAGATCATTTAGAAGCATTTAAAATCGAATCCACGGCAAAATCTGAATAAATAAAATATTCACACGAGGACGTCACAGAACGCACTTCTGGTTTTATAATCGATGATTTTATCAATCAAAAAATATTTTTATGAATTTATCCGATATCTGCTGAAATATGGTATGTATACTTGTTTTGATTATTAAAATACAAAATAGGTAGGGTAAAGAATATGTAAAAGTCGTTTGATCTTGTTCCTGAAGCAATACTTGTAATTCTTATCGCCTAGAATTCCTTTAATAACCTCTTGTTATTGGGGAATTAGTTTCTCAGAGTCATGAAAAAGTTATTCAGACTATGGTTGGGTCTGCCACAGCTCTGACGGATGCGACTGTAAGTTACTTCCTGCAAAAGCTATGTGGATTTTGATATAATAGCTTTCCCATGGCGCACTTGGACAGCTGAATAATAGTGACCTTTAAAACATGAATAATGAGATCCGTGGCTTACTTTTGGTCTCTAACTGTCTTACATCAGTATCATCAATCCGTGCAAGAATTGGAGCGCTGAAATACTTCTTTTTCGATCAAGACTTGTAAATTGTTCATCGAGTGAATGTCTTTTCTACCCATTTCCAATATGGCAGTTTGCTAGGAGAGAGATACGCAATGAACGAAATGAATTTGAGAATGAGTTAGGTTCAACCATGGGCTCTATCGGTGGTAGAGCCCATGGTTCAACCTCCTGAGATTTACGAAAATGTCAGAGCAGAAAACGCCATATTGTATATTATAACGTCACTATTATTCAGCTGTCCATTTCTCCGTTGGAGAGCCATAAGTTTCAAAATCGAACATGGCCCTCGAAGTGAGTAACTGTTAGCAGAGCCATCAAGCATCCCCATACATTTTCCGTGTGGGAGCTGTCTCGCGGAGTCTCTGTTAGAGAAAGCACCACTTATCAAGTTAGAAGAAACTGATGCTCTCCGATGATGAAGGTGATCATTATGAGGTTTATATCCATGAATGTGGTGAAAAAACATAAACAAATTTGTGTCAGCTTCATCTGAACTTTTATTGAAAATAAAAACAGAAAAAACGCGGTTTTTAGTTTTTTTTACTTCCAATTCTTGTTATAATTCCCCGGAATCGAGAGTGCATTTTACATCAAACATGGCAGATATGGAAAAATGTATGATAAACTAAATGAAGAGGGCAATTCTAGACAATTACCTTCATGGAACCGGGTGTGAGCCCGTCTGAAGTCAGTCCCCATGGTAGTTTGTCCGACATCTTGGCTTGCTTTCTTATTCACGGGACATCACGAAGTCAATACGGAGTTTACCGAATGCAAAAGGTGAAGGCCATTACACAGCACGAAACTGTTTCGGGTTTGCCACAATTTCCCGGGATAAATAGATGAAACGGAGATTCAGAGACGGACAGCCAAGATTATATGAAGGTAAGATATATATATATTAGATAAACATATCACCAAATGTCCCGGCATTTTCCGAAAGAGTTTCGCGGCAGATAGACTGAAGCCATATAAATTCAGTAATAGTGCAGACTTGAGTCCACAGGCCCAGGAATAAGATATCTAATAGGAAAAACTTTTTCTACCTAATACATAGTGACTGGGAGGGGGATGAACTCATGTTCCCATGTCTGTGCTTGAGTCCTTCACAAGAAAGCTCTAGGTCCCCCTTGCTTTGACAATCACACTCACTCTCATAGGCAAAGGCCGATAGGAATAATTTTTAAATAAAGATGGCATGGTAATCGATCTGTGTTTATAGAGAAAAGGCAAGGAGGATTGGCTCCCAGAGTGCAACATCGATATTCTGTCCCATATATGAGCATGTCGTGATACAAAATTCGAATTCAAGCATCCGCCATTTTGTTCACTTCAACATTTGAATCGTGAATTTTGATCTTATTTCCTCACGAAAAATTCCAAAACTCATAAGAAATGATCGAGATATTAGTTCGAATCTTTTGGACCGTTTATTTTGAATTTATAGTCGGTTATAATTTCCGAAAATAACGACATTTCGACGTTTTCATTGTTGGAAAATATCGAGTGTCGATCCTGGGAGCCAATCCTCCTTGGAGAAAAGGATAATACTGGATTCTGTTGGTGCTGCCATCTTTATATCGGCCCAGAAACTATGCTCACTCTTAAAGGGTAAAGCATATCGTTTTGCTTACCGTTTAGTATCGAAAAGGCACGATTCCGGAATAATACTCAAGTATGCCTAGGATGAAGTTAGTGTGGAGAGACCTCTGCCTGTTTATGTTGCAAAAGTGTAGTATAGATCGCCATGCATTTATAAAAGGGAAATTTTTATTTTGATGAATCAATTTCACCTTTAATTAGTGAAGTTTCGGGATCTTCTGTTTAATGGGAAAAATTGATATCTTGATTTACTTTTGAAGTTTAAGTGCAAAGCATGGCCTTATGAGTTGTAACTGAAAAAAACTAAAACCAGGATTTATATTTTGTTCACGCATCATCTGGATAATCAATTTGAATAAATACCCCTAATTTTTTAATAATAGACTGATCCGGTACACGTTTGGCTTAAGCAACTCCATTAACTATCTAGAGGCAAACTCCAAAATTACAGATAAAAATTGGACACCCACATATTCTATTTAAAAGAACAAACAAAAGTGATAACCTTTGAGGACTATAGGCTTAATGTTTGAACATTCTTTGCATATAAGTAAAATTTCAAATCAAACAATGCAAGTTTTCGACATTTTTTCTTTGAGCAAAAAATGTGACGCATTAGCCTACCCTGAAAAACAGCTTTTGAAATTGCAGATTGAAGAAGTTATTTTCCATAATTATATAATGTCCATAGTTCAATTCTTTATTTCTCCTTATTTACATATCATTTCACGCATATCTGACCATAAATAAAAAAAATAAATATAATTTAGAGGACATGGTGATTTTTATTATAAACTAATGTTTAATTGGCATCTTGTGTAAATTCTTTCAAAAGGCCTGAAAATGAGGGTTTTGTATAAATACCTGGAAGTATATTATTGAATTAAATGTCCTTTGGTGTCGGGTTTGGTGATGGTCTCGGATTGAGATATTGGTACTTGAATGGTGGGGGAGGGGAAATTAGACACTATTTGTTTTCATGTTATGTTTTGGGATAATTGGGGTTTAATTTCCTTCATACTGGTGTAGGCCTACTCTTAGATTTTTGTTGCTGTGTTCTATAACAAGTTTTGGTGTTTTACCGTTGGCACTTGCCCTTACATATTTATGATGATAGGTTGCCGTTCGGTTATGCATTGTATATCAAAACAAAGTGAGGTGAGAGAATGATTCGTGAATGCTAGCAAACGTTTCAAAATATGTTTACGATACGGTAAAAATACGAACGTCGGTAAAAAACGAACGCAATTTGTTCTGTAAAGCAATGAGTTTTCTGAGATTGAGATCTATTATCACATATAGGGACAAGATCATTGGATGTTTCTTCATTTTTAGATTATTATGTCACCACCAAAAGTGGTGACATATTGTTATGGTCTCCGTTTTTTTGCGACGGCGTCCGGCGGTTGGCGTCCGGCGGTTGGCGTCCGGCGTCTGTAACAATTTCTTACAACTTCCTATAACTTAACAAATACTGTTTAGACTGACTTCAATTTTTTTCTAAATCATCTACATGTTCTCAGAAGTTCAAATCTGACTTTAGATTTGACATTTGACCTTCAATGACCTTCTCAAGGTCAAAAAGGTCTTTTTTCAACTTGCTTCACATTGACTAATTTTTTTTTCAAAATCATCTACATGTTCTCAGAAATTCAAATCTGACTTAAGATTTGAGATTTGACCTTCAAATCTGACTTTAGATTTGACATTTGACCTTCAATGACCTTCTCAAGGTCAAAAAAGGTCAAAAAGGTCTGTTTTCAACTTGCTTCAAATTGACTAAATTTTTTTTTCAAAATCATCTACGTGTTCTCAGAAATTCAAATCTGACTTAAGATTTGACTTAGGATTTGACCTTCAATGACCTTCTCAAGGTCAAAAAAGGTCAAAAAGGTCTGTTTTCAACTTGCTTCAAATTGACTAAAATTTTTTTTCATTTTTTCAAAATCATCTACGTGTTCTCAGAAATTCAAATCTGACTTTAGATTTGACTTAAGATTTGACATTTGACCTTCAATGACCTTCTCAAAGTCAAAAAAGGTCAAAAAGGTCTTTTTTCAACTTGCTTCAAATTGACTAAATTTTTTTTTCAAAATCATCTACATGTTCTCAGAAATTCAAATCTGACGTTAGATTTGACATTTGACCTTCAATGACCTTCTCAATGTCAAAAAAGGTCAAAAAGGTCTGTTTTCAACTTGCTTCAAATTGACTAAATTTTTTTTTCAAAATCATCTACGTGTTCTCAGAAATTCAAATCTGACTTAAGATTTGACTTAAGATTTGACCTTCAATGACCTTCTCAAGGTCAAAAAAGGTCAAAAAGGTCTGTTTTCAACGTGCTTCAAATTGACTAAAAAAAATTTTCAAAATCATCTACGTGTTCTCAGAAATTCAAATCTGACTTTAGATTTGACTTAAGATTTGACATTTGACCTTCAATGACCTTCTCAAAGTCAAAAAAGGTCAAAAAGGTCTTTTTTCAACTTGCTTCAAATTGACTAATTTTTTTTTCAAAATCATCTACATGTTCTCAGAAATTCAAATCTGACTTTAGATTTGACATTTTACCTTCAATGACCTTCTCAATGTCAAAAAAGGTCAAAAAGGTATTTTTTCATCTTGCTTCAAATTGACTAAAAAATTTTTCAAAATCATCTACATGTTCTCAGAAATTCAAATATGACTTTAGATTTGACATTTGACCTTCAATGACCTTCTCAAGGTCAAAAAAGGTCATAAAGGTCTTTTTTCAACTTGCTTCGAATTGACTAATTTTTTTTTCAAAATCATCTACATGTTCTCAGAAATTCAAATCTGACTTTAGATTTGACATTTGACCTTTAATGACCTTCTCAAGGTCAAAAAGGTCTGTTTTCAACCTTCAATGACCTTCTCAATGTCAAAAAAGGTCAAAAAGGTATTTTTTCATCTTGCTTCAAATTGACTAAATTTTTTTCAAAATCATCTACATGTTCTCAGAAATTCAAATATGACTTAAGATTTGACATTTGACCTTCAATGACCTTCTCAAGGTCAAAAAAGGTCAAAAAGGTCTTTTTTCAACTTGCTTCAAATTGACTAATTTTTTTTTTCAAAATCATCAACATGTTCTCAGAAATTCAAATCTGACTTTAGATTTGACATTTGACCTTTAATGACCTTCTCAAGGTCAAAAAAGGTCAAAAAGGTCTGTTTTCAACTTGCTTCAAATTGACCAAATTTTTTTTTTTCAAAATCATCTACATCTTTTCAGAAGTTCAAATTTGACTTTACAAGTTCTCAGAAATTCAAATCTGACTTAAGTTTGAACTCATAATATTGTGAGCAACTAGGTGGTGACATTTTGTCATGTTAATGCCTTGTTAAATCTGTTCTTTGTGAATTTTGACATCACAATCAGAAATTGTCACTATTTCTAAACATTGACATAAAATCATATCATTGACATCGTATTCATATCATTGAAATCATATTAGAGAAATTATCGCATTTCGCTAATAGTGTGTTTATTAATCCAGTAAACGTATAACTTACGAAGCGTTTGATTACGTCATCATTTATTGAGCACCTTACGTCCATATTAAAGTGTGACATCGTAAGAGAAGACTTTTAGTTTTAACTACAATAACATATTTACAGATGTATATTTCTATGATATATCAATAACATGATATTCTTACAGTATATAATACACAGGCTATAAAAACAAGCCGCTAGACACCCTAGTGGGTATATGTTGCGGTTTAACAGAAATTTTTAAAATGACATCTAGACTACATATAAGTATGTTACATGTAGGTATATAAAAACGGTATTAACAATTAATTTAAGTATGTACAATGTAGAAATATTACAAAAAAATCAGATACCAGTATAAAATCAACAATACAGTATAATATTGGTATTATACATTATCGATAGATGAGTAGTTTTTTATATGAAGATTTGAAAATATTTAGAGTGGAGCATTTTTCTAATATCATCTGGTAGAGCATTCAAAAGATAAGAACCTAGATGGCGTAGGGAAAGTTTAAAGCATTTAGGGATATGGAAATAATGCAACTGTCTTGTGTAATGATGATGAGCATTAATGTTGATATCAAACAAGTCTTGAAATAGATTTTTTGGAAGACTGGGGTATTTATTAAAGATTTTGTACATGACCTGACCAGTACAATATCTGTTAACATCAAAAATATTTAAGATT